CTGACACAAAAGTGCATCCCAATGCGGCTTCGTGCATCGTGTCCTGGCCCGGGCAAATAATAATACACGCATGTCCCAACCACCTCCACCTCGTCCGCCGCCGTCGCTCCCTCTGACTTCGACAACCAGCCAGGCTGCCAAAATGACGGAAACCCAAAAACTTCCCATCTTCTCCCCGCCAGGCTTTCATGACTACTCTTCGCGCCGTCTACCCCCGCTAGAAATTCCGCCAGACGCTGTACCACCACGGTCGGATCACCAGTTCCGCTCGCCCATCAACCAACTGCCCTCGATCCATTCTGGACTGCCACCCCGACACGATTACCACCAGCCATCATCAATACATCGATCAGCCGCGCCTGTCGACAAGCTTCTGCAACATTCAAATCCCTACACCCCACCGAGGTCGGATCCCCCGTACTCACCTCAGCAATACGGTCCTTCGATTTCGCCACGCTCAGAGTTTGACTCCAGAGGGCCGCGAAGACTGACAGAGCCACGCTATCCCTACGAGGAACACCGTCATTATCAACATCAACATCACCAACACCCAGAACAGGGATACTCGTCCCTTACTTCGCCAGTAGAGCCCTCACACCAAAGACCGGGTTACGCCCCACTTCCATCACCTGCATATACGCCTAGCTATGCATCAAGCAGCTCTCAATTCCGGACTTCAGTCGGCTCTCATCAGCATGCGCATTCGCAACGAGGCTCGATAGGGGCGCCCCCGGGCTAATATTATAGACAATACATAACCAATAGACTAACCTATAACGAATAGTGGACTTCTTGCTACTACCAGGTTCCATACCGCAACCTGTGTACAATGAGCAACTGTAAGCATGTCTTTTGGCTCGACAAGGAAAGAAACCCGACTAACACATGCAGGAACCTGAACTATGAGCTCCGTGTGCGACAACAACCCATTGCAGCCCGGGCGTGCGGGTTCGGAGAACGCGACCGAAGGGTGATTGACCCCCCACCCATCATCCAGTTACTAGTAACGGATCCAAAAACCGGTATTCCAGACGACGATGAGCTACGTTACTCACTAAACGTGGTGCATTGCACGCTCTGGAACGCAGAAGGGACGAATGAAGAGACCGCACTCATACAGCCCGACCGGCGAACCACCCGGCGCTTAATGGGCCAGCTTGTCGCCTCGCCCTCTGTAGCAAAGGACGAGCATGACAACGAGGGTTGTTTCTTTTGCTTCCCAGATCTGTCCTGCCGCACGCACGGCAAATACCGTCTGCGGTTCGTCCTGATGCGTATCGATCCTGTGAACCTACATGTTGGAGGCTTTTCACCAATACTTACAGAAGTATTGAGCGATGTCTTCACTGTCTACACTGCAAAGGACTTTCCTGGTATGCGTCCTAGCAGCGCTCTCACCCGAGCACTGAAGTTGCAAGGATGCAATATCCAGGTGAAGAAGGGGAATGAGAAGGCACTGGCTCGCAAACGATTAACCGCGAGTCAAGAGCACGACAATATCGACGACGAAGAGTTGAAAAGACGGCGCAGGGAGTAAGCATTCGCCGCAATACCATGTCATCAAGTCATGACTTCCTACCAAGCATCATTTACAGCGGGCCCTGCGTGGTTTGATATTCTGGTCATCGGAAACATTCTTTTCAGATACCGATTTGCATCTTGACGACATTACGACCGTACTAAATTTCTCCCGACACAATTATTTTCTCATTCTCTTTGGCTGGTGGCGACGATGTTGATTGCAAGGCGTTTGTGCAATTCAAGAGGTTGCCTGAATAACTTGGCAGCGGCGGCCATTGTTGTAATGCATTTTTGAACTTAAGTGAACAAGCACGATACCATTTGATAGCTCGTATTGAGAACAATAGAGGCAATTTGGGGAAGTTTAGTGTTTGTGCGTGAATCATGTTCAGTGTCTTCATCATGGCCTTGGGCTGCCGCAGTTCAAGCCTTTAGTAGCGCAAAGTCGCCGGTCGGCGGGGATCAGCCCCACTAGCTAAGGGTCCATGCGCCGATTTTCTTCCCAAGTTAACGCGTGCGAAATTTCAACTTTCTTTTCTTCCCTCCCCTTCCCCACAAGAAATCGAGGCACTGAAAGCAGCATCACATCATGAAGTACGTGCTTGTCTCTGGAGGTGTCATCAGCGGCGTGGGGAAGGTAAGATGCTGGACGCCGTACCTTTGATCTCAACTAATGCGTATATGTAGGGCATCATAGGTAAGCTTTTCTGATATGTGCGAGGGGCTCCTCGTCGTACTTCAAGACTCTACATGAAATCAAAGTCCCCCAGATAATGCTTTGGCTATTTCAAGAGCTAAGCTTCTCGGGGCACGCCATGACAGCGGCTCTGTAGAGCCCCTCATTCTCGAGACCATTCAACCCGTAGTGAAACCAATTAACGCGCCACAGCCTCGTCCACTGGTCTCTTGCTTAAGACGATTGGCCTCAAGATAAGTGCATTGGGTTGACGCGCTCTGTAAAGCATACTGACTGCTCAGCACGTCTCGTCGATCAAGGTTGACCCATATCTCAATGTCGACGCAGGAACGATGAACCCGAAGGAGTAGGTTGCGTCGCGACTTCCAAAACTCCATAGACTAAAAGCCATAGACACGGCGAAGTTTTCGTCCTCTCTGACGGCGGTGAAGTTGACCTTGATCTCGGCAACTACGAGCGTTACCTCAACATCACCCTAACCCGCGATAACAACATCACCACGGGCAAGATCTACCAGCACGTCATCGAGCGCGAGCGCAAGGGCGACTATTTGGGTAAAACCGTACAAGTCGTCCCTCACATTACCGATGCGATTCAAGACTGGATCGAGAAGGTCGCGCGGATACCGGTCGATGACTCAGGTGAAGAGCCCGATGTCTGCATAATTGAGTTGGGAGGCACAGTGGGCGATATCGAGAGCATGCCGTTCATCGAGGCTATGAGTCAGCTGAGGCGGCGGGCAGGTAAGAACAACTTCATGCAGATTCACGTCTCGTATGTGCCCGTTATACATGGAGAGCAGAAGACGAAGCCTACGCAGCAGGCTATCAAGGCAGTCAGGAGTAATGGTCTGATCCCAGATCTGGTATGTGCTGCACGCTTATCATGTTGGAATTGCATAGTTAACTGTTCAGATTGCTTGCCGCTGCGAACGCGAACTCGAAGCCTCCGCTGTCGAAAAGATTGCCCACTTCTGCCAGGTTGAGAACGAGCAGGTGCTTGTTGTCAGGGATATGCCATCCATCTACCAGGTTCCTATGCTTCTTGAACAACAAAAACTGATCCCCATGGTTCGTCAGTTCCTCGCACTTGAGGGTCTCACAATCACTCCTCACATGACGCAAAAAGGGAAGCACACCTGGAATGAATGGAAATCACTTACCGGCCATGATACGCGCTTCCATGATTCTGTCACGATTGCCCTTGTCGGCAAGTATGTGGAGCTCCAGGACTCATATCTTTCCGTTGTCAAGTCACTAGAACACGCTACGATGCGGTGCAGGAAGAAGCTGGATATCTGCTGGGTCGACTCTGACCATCTGGAACTGAAGTGTCAAACGACGGATCCAGCAAAGTTCCACGACGCATGGCACAAGGTTGTCAAGGCAGCTGGTATCCTCGTGCCTGGTGGTTTCGGTCAGCGTGCCACAGAAGGCATGATCGCAGCAGCCAAGTGGGCGCGTGAGAACAAGACACCATACCTCGGTATCTGCCTGGGTATGCAGATCGCAGTGATTGAGTACGCACGCAATGTTTGCGGTATCAAAAACGCAACATCGGAGGAGTTCAACGGCGACGCCGAGAACAAGCTCGTCATGTTCATGCCCGAAGTCGACAAGACCACAATGGGCGCGTCTATGCGTCTCGGTCTCCGCCCTACGCTGTTCCAACCCGGCAGCGAATGGTCCCGTCTCCGTGCTCTATACGCCGGCAAGGAAGAAATCCTAGAGCGCCATCGCCACCGCTACGAAGTCAACCCAGACTACATTGACATCCTAGAGAAGGGAGGCTTGACCTTTGTCGGCAAGGACGACGCTGGTGTACGCATGGAGGTTATCGAGATTAAGGACCACCCCTGGTACGTCGGCGTACAGTTCCACCCCGAGTACCTCTCCCGCGTCTTGGACCCCAGCAGACCTTACCTCGGTTTCGTTGCTGCCAGCGCGGGTATGCTCGACCAGATCACACACGAGTACCAACAGGGTGGCGCAAACGGCGTTGGGGCTGAAGGCATTGCCAACGGTGTCAGCGGCCTCAAGATCAACGGCGACGCGAGCTTCTAGGTGCGCTCTCTTCTTTGGCCGTGAATGTGTGATGGCGATAGAGTGGTGAATCAGGTAGCTGTCGAGCATATGCACCAGCGCCTGTTTTGGGTAAGAATGCGGGGATAGAAGGTGTTGCGTCAAATGGGTCATCATCATCTATTCATCTTGGCCTGGAGTTTCGGGGATATCAGCCATGGAAGTTATGAAAACACAACCAATCTCTTCTATCTGACGACAGACACGTGCAAATGATATACGTTATTAGCTATAGATCAGGAATGAGAAGATCAAAAGCATTATCACTCCGATATACCAGACAGCGAAGCTCTCACACTTATTCTTGTTTCATGCTGTGATTCCTGTAGTTGTGATGACAGAAATGTCAAAGCATTAGTTCTTATAAAAGCCCATTCACAAAAGAGTCCAATCAACTGCAAAGTTTGTCTCCTCAAGCAAAGATGTTCTTAGTGTACAAGTTATAACCATTGATTTGGGGTATCTCTTCCGCCCTACCAAACACCTATCCGACCATCTATCTAGTATGGAGAAAATCTATGCTATTACATGCATGATGCCTCATTTGCCACATTCCCCGATAAGACGCCATGCAAATGCGCTCTTCACATCCCCCTGCCTAACAATCATCTTGATCGAGAGTCATCTCTGCCGGCCGGTGCTATACCAGGTTGAAGTGTCATACCTCTCTTTCGTGTGCGAATATATCCGTGGTTTTCGACAATGGAACCTTGCTGAAGATGTGGAAAAGGCGACGTCGCTGCGCTGCATAGGATAGCACATTGACAGCAAATCGGTCGACATGCCGTGATCGACTAGACTTGCTTTACGAAAGCTAAAACACGGATATGGTTAGTATGTGTTCATGTCGTTTACTCTCCTCGCAAGAAAATTGGGAGAAATCGGGGAAAGGGCAAACTTACTAGCATCAATCTGCACCACCTGCGGCAGCGCTAACCTAACCTTATTCCTGTACAGCGCGGGCTGACTCCTCTGCAATGGATTGCCCTCAAAGTATACAGTTTCCAACTCCTCCTTGTCCCTTAGCTCGCGCTCGATCTCCGCGTAATCGCTCAACTTGCAGTTGCTGGCCCAGAACTCCGTCAAGTGCTTCAGGCTTTTGAGGCCGCTCAGGTGTTCAATGGGGTTCGCACTGATGTCAATGACGCGCAGGTTGGTGTTGTTGTCGAGACCAGTTAGTTCGGTGAGCAAGTTGTGCGAGATGTGTAGTTCTTCGAGGTTGGTCAGGTTTTCGAGGCCGGTGATGGTGCGCAGGCGGTTGGACTGGATGGATAATATTTTGAGGTTGGAGAGAGTGTCAAGGCCTTTTATTTCGGTAATCTTGTTCTTGCCGAGCCAGAGCTCTTCCAACGCGGTGAGGGTTTCCAGGCCTTGGATTTCGCGCACGCGGTTCGCGCCGAGTTCAATCTGGCGGAGGTTCGATAGGCCCTCAAGGTTCTCGATTGTGCTGATCTTGTTTTGCACAAAGTAGAGGTCTTTGAGCTTGGTGAGGTGATTGAGGCGCTTCATGTGCTTGATCTTGTTGAAGGAGAGGTCGAGCGAGGTAAGCTCGGTGAAGGCGTCGAGACCTTTGATGTGCGCGATGAGGTTGTCGTACAGATCAATTTCTGTAAGTGTGGGTGCGGAATCTGGAGGGATAGCGATGCTTTCTATGCGATTTTGGCGGAGGCAGAGACGCTGTGGTGTTTAGTATGATTGAATATTTGAAACGAGAGCGTGCTGCAATACCTTCATCTGCTTGAACCTCTCCAGCCGTAACGACGTCATATCTGAGATCTTGCAGTGTACCAATTCTATCTCCTCCTCGTCTTCTGGTGTGTCATCCAACAAGTCCTCGTCCGCAGCCAACTGTTCGGGCGGTGGGCCTTCGTCGTCTGAAACTTCTGGGTCGCTCACCACTTGCGCATGTGGATCTCTTGGCTCGTCGGTGAGCGACATTTTATCTATGCGTAGCTTGCCGTCCCACCCGCTACTGTCTCGCGGCTTGTGATCTTCTTTGTCTTCATCGTGTGTCTCGTTCGCGTCGGCCGTGGCCGCGGGGTCGCGCTCGCTGTGCGGGGCAGATTCTGGTTCAGTCATGTTGAGAGGGGCGTGTGCGTGTTTATGAGGGACCGACTGTAGGCCTCTGGAACAAGCAGAGGTGATGTTGTAAGACGTGCTTTCTAGATCGCGGCACTGCTGGAATTTGTGGGTGATTGTGTAAGCGTCTAAGTTACGTCGTTTACGTTGTTGGTTGCTAGGTAAGCTCTGGCCAGGCAAGGGTTCAGCGGGGTGACGATCGTCGTCAATCAAGTTTAGCCAGCAATACGCCAGCGCTACGCCATCATGCCTGACAACCAGATCGACGCTATAAAAACGCGGCGGGAGAGTTCGTATTTTTTACTAGTGCATTCATGACGGCGAAACCGTCGGCACTTGCAAGAACAACGTCCTAGTCTTTCACTCAACCCCCACGTTTGCGGCTAGAGGCTATGCAGCGCACAGGGTCATTAAGCATTAGACTATCACCCACACGTTACATTGTTCCTTTCAAAAAAAACTAAAATGATAACCTTCTTAAGTTATGGCATGTGCCATACTTAAACACGTTTTGTTAGAGACTGTGGCTTGACAGTTTCCCCTTGTAGCGCTTGTTATCTGCAGCCACCTGCATCATCAGCCTTCAATAAGTACAGAAGATGAGTATTCTAGAGCGAGAAAAAAAAGATCCTTCCTGCCTTCAAGCAAAAAACATACAACAGCGGGGATTCGCCAGTGGTCACCCACCTGACTACTAATCCGCCGGTACACCGCTTGAGTACCGCTGAGCGAACGGGAAGCGCTATTCTCGATGTCCTATGGTCGTATGTGGAAGATTGTAGGTTTTGTAAAAATCTATAATTGTATACTCACCGCGGGAATTATCGTGTAATGCCGCCTACATACACTTACTGCATGGTCTGTCCATTCAGGCTTCACGTAACAACTCAGAGAAGCGTCGTGTTATCAAGGGCCGGCGATTGGCCAGCCTATGCACATGGCTTTGCAAAACCCCGCACTGAGGGCGCCTATCTTCTGTCTATTTTCAGTTCAGCCTTGTTAGTGCATAAAGGATTTCAATGACCCGGAGTCTGTCTTTCTCCAGTAGCACTATACTATACTATTTTGATGTCTTATATTCTTCCACGATCTTGAACACTGAGACTTAGAATATATGAACATCTAGTAGTATTTTGTATGATTAATGCTACGGACTGACTTGTGTAAAAAGCAGTGCATAGTACCCATGTTGTTACTTCTGTTTCCACCCCTGTTCTATTTATGTCATCTTTTGTTGTTTAACCGGGAAGGCTGGATCCAGTGGAAGGCCCGGCCAGAGCGCCAGCAGCTACAAGCCGTTCAATACCTTATACGGATCGGTATCATGCGGGGAGGGCCGATGTACGGAGGAACGTTGTTACACAAACACAATAGGTATTAATAGTACAGCCTCTTCGTGTCTGCTGGGCCTCCATGTAGCCTCAATAAGGTCCCAACTTTGCTGACCCTGCAGTCCGCCGCTACGAATACCTATCGGCTCACCCGTCTTCCGCCGTCCTCAGACTCCGCAACAATCAATCGGATCGGCATGATTGATTCCTATCTAGGTTAAAGGCTGCCTAATGAAGTAATTCTTTAACCTATATAGGAATCAATCATGTCAATCGATTGATTGTTGCGGAGTCTGGCCGTCCTACACTCAGAAAGAGGTCAGGTATCTCTTCCCCGAAAGCGATCGAAATCTTATCGTCCCGCCTATTTCCGTGGCAAAATCAATATACGATGAGCAGTGCACGAAGAAAGTGGCAACAGTGTCTTTTTCCCAATTACCTTCCTTCGCAAAGACCAATCAAAACGGATCTCAATCTAGATTGAATAGTGCGAGGCTCTCCGTTGCACCATACGAGTGTCTACTTACAGAGCTGCTGGATATTGAGGCGGAAGAAGCGCGCTCTATTTCGATTGACAGTCACTTCAACGAGTTGACACCCTTGGTTGATGTTGAAGATGGAGCAGAGGCTGTAGAGTACGTTCATAACTCCGGAACCCTTTTGTCTATTGTTGATATTGACTCTGAAAGTATCGTTGCCTCAACTGGACTCGCAGGCAGGGCATTTGAAAGCTGGCAGCACTCAAGTGGCCAAATGTGGCTTCGAGACCATCTTCCAGACGATGTGAAAGGCACCAGAATCTTACTATGGAGACAAGGCTCGAAACTGCGGGATTGCAATTCGCATCTCACCACGCAAAACTTACAGGATGTCTTTCTTGAGGATCTCCTAAAGCTACTTCAAACACAGGAAGTAAGTTGCAGTTGCCGCACTATGGACTGTGAACAACTTACAAAATTCCAAATAGGTGCGTCCACTCGTTCTTATTGGACATTCTCTTGGTGGCATCATCATCAAAGCTACATTCGTCAAAGCATCCCAGGTACAAGAGTATGCTAGCTTATATGAGGCCATTCATGGGCTCGTCTTCTTCGTAACACCACATGATGGGATGGAGACAGCACATTGCAGACTCCGCAACAATCAAATCAATCAATCTTAAGGTTGTCGATTGGTTTGATTAGCTTGCGGCGACGCTGCTGATTGATTGCGGATTGATTGTTAGGGTTTTTGAGCAGATTGATTGCGATTGATTGGTTGATTGGCTGATTGATGCTAAGAAGTAGTATACAGGGGGTTATGGTGTTGTACTCCAGCCTTCTATATCGTACTGTTGTACAATCTCCTCATCTTTGACGTCACTCCACTTATCTTCATCATCACCGTTGTTGTACAAGCCGTCAAAGCCAGCTCGTCTCCACGAACGTACAAGCTGAAGGGCAGCAAGTAACTCGCTGCCAAGAGCTCGCCGGCGCGGCTCAAGTAAATCGCCAAGCTCGCTAAAGAGCCTCTCGCAGTCGCAACTAGATGCTGGTATCGTGAGTATATCAATCGCAAACTGGCTTAAACACGGGTATTTTGAGCGTAATTGAATCCAGTACTTGACTGGGTGGCCATCGCTAAGATACTGTTCGCTTGTCCACTCTGGCTCTTGAGTTCTCCAGCGCTCGTACTCATCGTCGTGGGCAGCCTCTACCTGAGCCTCACCTCGGACATCGGAAAGCTCAAAGCTGCGTCAGAACAACTCCCCAACGTTCGCGATGACCCCGCCTTCAAAGCCCTCGCCGCTGAGCGCGACCTTGCCGCCACCGAACGCAATGAACTCAAGCAGAAGGTTGAGGACCTATCCCGCCGAGCCGATGAACCGGAGAGCGGTCCTAACTACGCAGAGTTGGCACAGAAGCTCAAGGAGGAGTCTGACAGCGCCGACTGGTGGGCAGACCAAGCTAAGGCCAACGCTGAGCTCTGCGACAAGTTCAAAGGACAAGCTGATCGCTATTCTATCGAGCTTAACCAGTATGATGTCAAGTACTCTAACATGGAGGCGAACAAGAACGAAGCTCTCGCCCTTAAGGATAAGGCTTACGATGAGCTCAACCTCCAGCTCACCGAGGCTAGACGTGAGACAAAAACGGTCACCGACCGACTGCTGCAACATGAACCCAACTATCAGCCGTACACCCTCTGGCGGCGCGAGCGATCTTACGACCCAGTACGGCCTGTACAATCAAGCGTTTTGCTACAGCGACCTGTAGATGGTACCGCTGACCAACTCTCACAAGATCCTCGCCGAGCTGGGTACACCCCATGGGATAACCGTACTCCCGTGCGCGACGCCTCGCTACCTCCTCCATCATCGAACCCATACGCCCCCGCTCCTACAGTACCGCGACCGCCGCCCGTCGCGCCCTCTACCGCCGGTGGAGGATTCTCTTACAAACTCCCAGAACTTGAGACGTTCAAGGGCAAGGTCGACGACGACTACGAGCGGTGGCGCGAGATGGCAGTGGCCAAGTGTCGCACATACCCAGAGGACTGGCAAGCGGTTGACTACCTCAAGTTCCGCATTCAAGGCGAAGCTTACGAGCACATCCGAGATGTCAAAGCTCGCCATTTCCTAGATTTCCTAGAGACTCTCGACAGCCAGTATCTCACCTATGATCGGGAAGCTGACGCCGAAACCCTCATCGCCGACGGCTCGCTCCGCTACAAGTCTGGACAGAAGTTCATGGAGTGGAAGTCTAAGTTCACCTCTTGCATGCGAATCCTCAAACACAAGAACGCGACCCAGATCCGATACGCTCGCGAGTTCATGCGACCCGGGTTAGCTATCGCGACCACTGCCGGATCTCACAAGGATGAGACCATCCAGTCCTTCTTGCTGCGAGCGCAACACATCGACCAGGGACATCAACAGATTGACGCTGGCCGAAAATTAACTCCCGTTACGAAGACCGCTGGTGCTAGCCGTACCCAAAAGTTGGTCACCTTCCTAAAAACAAAAACACTCCAGGTCACAACAACGCCGCCAGCACGCATACGTACAAGAAGATGGCCTTCGAGCGGTCAGAGAAAGACAAGAAGCGTCTAGCTGACTTGAAGCTCTGCTTCAAATGTGGCAAGGATGACCATCAGATGAGGCACGAGACTGCCCCCTGCCGCGGCAAGCCCTTCACTCCTTCTCACCAAATCCCCGCACTGGCTTCTTTGTACATCAATGCTCTCGACGCTTCCAACGAAGAGGAGCGAGACGAGGATACTGAGGAGCCGCTGGACGACAACGACTTAGTGGATGACGATGGCTTCTACGTCAACGACGAGGAACTACTTGAGCATTTAAATTAGGGGCTCCCGCGCAGAGCCGCGTGCGGGAGCTCAATTGGCGTAACGCAAAAAGACACCAGCGCCGTGTTCGAAACCAGCATCGCCGTTTCGAGATCGCTGCAGCCTTGCTGCTCGCCCCTGACGAAACGCCAACTATGACGGAGGTCCACTTCGTGTCCTCCGCCTCCATCGGAGGCAAGCCTTCTAAAGACTTCAGCCGACAACTCGAGTTTCCCGGCTCCGCTCTCACGCGACCTGATTGTTGGCAACCGATTTCTACCCTTATCGACACGGGAGCCAGCGCATGCTTCGTCAATCAGTCATGGGTTAACCAACACCGCCTAGATACTATGCCTGTGGCCAAACCCATTCGATTGTCACTAGCCAACGGCGGAGAAGTGGACAAGCTTACCCAGGCCGTTGATCTGCCCGTCCGACACGGAAGCCATACGCACAACGTCCTATGCTACGTCACCAATATCGGCAAGTACGACGTTATCCTAGGCATGAATTGGATGGACTATCACCAGCCTGCCCTCCACTTTGGCGACCAGCGATCACTCACCTTCGCTAAGGCAGGGTGCAAACTTAACTGCCTCCACGAAGGACTCCCAGAGACGGTTTACGAAAACGGAGTTTGTCACAGTCACGTACAACTAGTCAAGGGAGACTACCAGACAGGCGACACCACTACTAAGACGAACAAGGATGGTAAGGTGACGACTGAGGAGACTATGGCTGATATCTACCTCATCTCCGCTGCCGCTGCAACCGCACTCGCAGCCAAACATCCTGACCAGGTCATATGGTTGGAACCCCGCCATTGGGCCAAGCTTGCGAAGCCCCCCGATGAAGACCGAGAAGGCATCGGCGTAGCCGCAGTCTCGCAAACTGACTTTGAGAAGTACATGCACAAGATGGAGCAACCTTACATGACTAGAGACCAGATTGGCCAGCTGGTACCTGAGTGGGTGTTGGACGAACTACCTGATCTGTTCAACCCTCATCTGGCTCATCAACTCCCCGAACGAAGACCAGGAGTCGACCACCCCATCGACCTGCTTCCTGACACTACGCCCCCTAAGCCTCATGTCTACGGACTCACTCGTACCGAGACTGAGGCTGTTAAGAAGTATATCGATGACATGCTGCAAAAGGGCTTAATCAAGGCCAGTAACTCCCCGTTTGCGTCACCTGTCTTGATCGTTAAGAAACCTGGAGGAGGTCTCCGCATATGTGTCGACTACCGAGCACTCAACAACGTCACTAAGAAGAATCGAAATGCGCCACCAGCCATCAAAGAAACTCTAGCGCGCATGGCCAAAGTTCAGATTATGTCTCTCGTCGATGTTGTAGCCGCTTTCAACACCGTTCGGATTAAAGAAGGTGACGAAGAGAAAACCGCCTTCCTCACCCGGTACGGACTCTATGAGTATATGGTCATGCCCTTTGGACTGTGCAATGCACCAGGGACGTTCCAAAACTTCATCAACGAAACGCTGCGCGAATACTTGGACGTTATATGTACCGCCTACCTAGACGACATACTTATATATAGCGACAACGAGAAAGACCACCGTTCGCATGTCCTAAAGGTTCTCCGCAAGATTCAAGGCGCAGGACTATCGTTGGATCCCACGAAGTGCAAGTTCGAAACCAAGCGAGTCAAGTACTTAGGCTTGATCCTCACCACCGACGGCATCGAAATGGATCCGGAGAAGGTCTCCACTGTCCTCGATTGGCAACTGCCGAGATCAGTGAAGGACATGCAGTCTTTCCTCGGCTTCTGCAACTTCTATCGCCGGTTTATTAAAGGGTTCTCATATATCGCTAAGCCACTCACGGAACTCACCAAGGAGGGTAGTCAACGACATTTCCCTCTCCAAGCTAATGGACAAGCTGCGAAAGCCTTTGAACAGCTAAAGCTTGCGTTTAAAACAGCGGGCGTACTGTCCCACTTTGACCCAGATTTGGAAACGTGGCTCGAGACTGACGCGTCGGACTTCGTTACCGCAGCTATCCTCTCGCAGATGCACAAAGGTGTTCTACGACCTGTAGCGTTCTTATCACATAAGATGACACCTGCCGAGTGCAACTACGAGATCTATGACAAGGAGCTCCTCGCGATTGTTCGAGCATTCGAGGAGTGGAGGTTTGAACTGTCAGGTACTGATGATCCCATCTTGGTATTGTCAGACCACCAGGCCCTCCAGACGTTCATGACAACCAAACGCCTCAACCGACGGCAAGCTCGATGGGCTGAGTTCCTAGCTGAGTTCAATTTTAGAGTCAAATACCGTCCTGGTAAACAAGGAACTAAGCCCGACGCACTCACTCGCCGACCGGGCGATCTTCCAGCTAACGCCGAGGATGAGCGACGTCAACACCAGGTACAAGTGATCCTCAAGCCTGACCAGGTGGATCCTGAGTGTCGAGTTGCCACCTTTAGCTTCCACTTCGACGGTGGCTCCCGACACGCTGTATATCTGGCCAACGCCCTCGGTGACGAGCTCCGGACGTCCCCAGTCTCCTTGGCCATGATGATGTACCAAGACAGTGAAACGGACGACTTTAGCGACGAATACCTCTTCGCTCTCGGAGACACAGCGGAGGTCGATGACACGTCCGCTGCACCGCTTACGGAGCCGGACACGTCGCTGGACGAAGCCAATATCCTCCAGACCGTTCGACAAGCTTACCCGGATGACGACATCGTTCAAGTTATCCTCAAAGCCAAAGCTGATGGCCAGCGCCGCATCCCGTACCACCTAATTCACGGTCCAAACAGGATACGCTTAGAGCTTGGTGATTGCTCAATACACGACGGAGTCTTCTATGTCAAGAAGAAGGTCTACATCCCCGAATCAGGCACCCTGCGCACCCGGATCATCGAACGCGTACACCGATCCTATTGCGGTGGCCATAGCGGCAAACACGGTAGCTACGACATGTTAAACCGCTGGTACTACTGGCCGAAGATGATAAATGATGTAGCACAGTACGTCAAGAACTGTTTGGCCTGTCGGAGATCGAAATCTTACCGCGATGGGAAACACGGGCTCCTACATCCACTCCCGATACCTGAGCGATATTGGAGTAGCATCAGCATGGACTATATCACGCACCTGCCTCCTTGCACCGATAACGGCCGCACATATACCAACGTCTTAGTGATTGTTGATCGGCTTAGCAAGAAGAAGAAGTTTATACCTGTGGTGGACCTAAAGGTTGATACCCTTGTGAAAGCCTTCGTCGATACTGGGACTACCGCTTTCCGCCTCACTAAGGGCTATGACCCGAAGTCTGGTCTTGAACCACCTAAGGTGAACACTGGTCTCACTGCCCCAGCTCGCAGAGATCAAGACAACGCCAACAAGTTTGCAGAAAAGCTAGACGCGCTACGCAAAGCCCTTCGGCTCGAACTACAATGGTCACAAGCTAAACAGGCGGAATACGCAAACGACGCCCGGCTCCCAGCGCCTGAGTTTAAGGTCGGCGATCAAGTTATGTTGGACGCCCGTAACTTCCGTACTACACGTCCTAGTCTATCACTTGACTTCAAGAACCGCGGTCCCTTCACTGTCACACGCGTCATTGACAATATGGCTTACGAACTACTCCTGCCTCCAGAGATGGGCAAGCTCCACAACGTCTTCCACCCGTGGTTACTACACTTACACGAGGAGGCTCCGCTGCCTGGTCAACTGCGCGATTCCGCACCAGCTGAGTTCGCCGATCCCGACGAGGAAGATGGTACAAGCTATGAAGTGGAAGCCGTCCTAGACTCCCGCGTCAACAAGAGACTTAAAGACCCCTACTCTCGCAGCGGTCTTCTCCAATACTTAGTGCGATGGACCAACTACCCCGCCGGCACCGACAACCCATCTTGGGAACCATACATGAACCTGGTGGACTCCGCAGACATTGTCCAACAGTACCATGAGTCCCGCCCTAAAGCTCCAGGACCACATCGAAAGTTTGCGACGCTCGCAGGCAAACAGGATTTACTTATGATTACAGTGATCGCATCCTCTAACAATCCTAAGCCTCCACCAGGAGCCCCGACGATACAGCAGACGGAGGAGACTATTGGCCCGCGTAGCTTTCGCAATACCGGCAACATTGCTGTTTAGGCTTACAGAAGCTTTTGCAAAGCAAGCTAGACAACTCTTTTTAATTACTTTAAGCGACGGAACCTGCTTTTTTTTGAAGGGGGGGTAGTGTGATGGATCAAACCTACGATCCCTCACGCGATCACGTGCCATACAATCACGTGCCACGCTGGCAGTTGGCCCGTGCGAGGAATAATAAAGTTCCCCTCGTACTTGTATATAGATCTGTACACACAATCTCACTTATTAGAGGCATCCTAACTATTGCAGTGTACTAGTGCCTTTACATTTCTACAGGAAGCTCACTCTAAGCTAGTCGCTGAAAATTCTCAAATAGCGCGTACTGTTGGGGTGTTTTAATATAGGATATAACTCTAAGAAGTACGCCTAATAGGCCGTCGCGTCGCTAGTCCTTCATAAGCTCCGTCTCCTCTACAATATTAGATAAGGCGTGATCGTTGTTAAACGCCTCTGCTTTCCTACCCTAAAGGAGCACCTAGCTAATAAGATTAAGCGTGTAAGGGCCGCAGCGGAGGCGGCGGTAGATAGGGTCAAAATCCCACTCTAGTTTGTGCGCAATCGCTTGTATCATAGAGTCGTTATTGCTAGCGTTATTAAGCACGAAGTAACTAATCTTGCGCGTGTTTATTTTAAACTTCTGTAAAATTATTAGTACCACCTTAGCTATCCTCTCACCAGTATAGGCGCCTATAAGTTAAGGTAGCGCGATAGGCAAGTCGCGAAGCTTGCCGTCGGCCGTGACGTAGTAGGTGACGATACTAAGAAAGCCCTTCTTGCCGCCCTTTGTCGTCCATCCGTCAAAGCTTAGGTAGATCTTAGTTACTAATCGTGAAAGTTCCTTAACAACTAGTGGCAACAGGTAGTCGTAGAGGCGTATAACGTATCGCGCAACGCTATTATAAGAGCTCTAAAGCGCGTCCTTAGTAAGTAGGTTAGCGAGGGCTATTATAGCGCGAAAGGCAGGTGTCACGAGAGACTACGTCGCAGTCGAACACAGACAGAAGATAGTCTTTACAGTTCTTTATTGATCGTAGTTACTATCCAGTGTAGATACAAGACGTTGCGTAAGGAAACAGAACAGGTTCAAGTTGCGGTGAGCAGATATAAGCGGGGCCTGTGCGCTTAGCGCGGGGTCTTAGCTGCTCTTAGCTAATCAACAGATGCCAGGTGCTTACGGGAGCACCTAGCGTCTATGGCCGTTCAGGTGTCAGGGAATCAGGGTGATTACCGTGACAGCAGGCTTTTCGAACTTAGAAAGTAGGTAATTATTCTTAATAAGCCACCCTATAGCTGTAAGCTAAAACTGCTAAATATTAAAGCCGCTAAGCTAGTTAGCGACTGCTTAGGCGAGTAGTTTGCTAGCTTACAGCGCGCTATAAACACTGCTTTCTAGCCTTATCTTTAGTGTCTTTCTAGGCGCCACTATCTTATAGCTAACCTTCTTATTAGCTAGGTAATGTGAGGGATCGATCAAGAAAGATTGGATTTGACAAGATACAAGCTATCGAGCTATCTACGTTGTGAGCCCGAACTTATGCTGTGGGCGCCAAGGCGCTAGTCCGATAAGATAAGAATCTTATCGATATGGGGGCCATGGACCCGTAACAGGTAACGCTTAGCAGCTAATATTAAGCTCGTAGTATAGAAGATCCCGCGCCTAAAGTCGGTGGCCTTGCTACGAAAGCAAAGGTGACAAATCTACAAAATTCGAGCTAGATCGCTGCGAGAAGCGACGCGATAGCTATATTAATAGACCTAGCTTTTCTTGTATTTGTAGGTAGAGAGTAGCAGCTAAAACTTCTTTAAGCGACTCTAATCTATGCCGTTATGATTGTCTATAAGATAAGCGTTAAACGCTTCAATTTCCTCCTCGCTCTCCTTATTAGGCGCTTCTAAAGCCGCCGCGGTGGCATGCTCGCTGCCTTTAGGTGGTGCAGTAATAGAGTCTGCAGCGCGCAACTCTCGAATTCGCGCTTCGAATGTAGGGGCCTAGGACGCGCTCACTAGGGCTTGAAAGGCGTTCGCGAGAGGTAGAGGAGAAGGAGATTTTAACGGTTCTGGTGGCTCCTAGGAGTTAATATTAATAGGCTGACTAGCGGTGCCTTTGGCGCGTTTCTTTGGGCGTTGTGACGCGCCAGAACCACCACGTTTGGCGGGATTTTTGGGGGCGTTAGGCATAAGGGCGACGGCAAGTAGATAGTGATGAAATATTAAACAAATTTAATATATAGAGCGTGGGTGGATGGGGCGGAAAATACTGTGTATATGGCACGACGCGTCCATGAGGATGATCTGCGTGGCTTACTACTGTAAGCTAAACTACAACACCATAAAACTATCGTGAGATGGCTTTTACTGCAAAACTAGCTGCCTCAACGCCCACTAACGCCCACGCGCCTACATGCTACCCACCAATCAGGCCACCTCAAGCCATCAAGCTTTTTGGCCCCCCTTCAGCCGGGCGGATACCTATTTTGTCGAGACGCGGTGAGAGCCTTCACTAGTATTCACGGTGAATCAGGCTTCCCGCGCTCTGATTGGCCAGGCACTGATTAGTCAGCTGCTCCGTGCGCGCACCATAGATATTCTCCCTCCTCCCGTAGCTCCAATACAACAAGTTCACACACGTTTCTCCACCTTCATCATATTTTAAGAGGCCTGCGGCCGGCTGGTTGGCTTGAGGAAAATAGGTATCCAGCCATCCGGCCATCAGGCTAGCCGAATTGTTGACAAGTATGGGCCCCAATAGGCCAGTGGAAAGGATAGTGAACAGATTCCTCAAAGATGTAGTTTCCATTGACAAGTGGTCTTGCATATTTGTCTACAAGAGTGCCATGTGACATCAATTCGCGGGCAACTTCACTCATGCGTGATGGATCGAACACGAAAAGCCAATGTAGGCACGTAACTTGCGTTCTTCTCACGCAGATGGAAGGATCTGCACCTAGATTTAGCAATAGTACGGTGGCTTCATACTGTCCCGCTATGCTAGCTTTATAAAGCGGTGTCTCGTCTTCCGTATTTCGAGCATTCAAGTCTAGATGCTTATCCTCTGTCAAATGGATGATCGCTTCACACACACCGAAAGCAGCGGCGAGATGTAAGAGCGTATTCCGAGGGTCAGAATGGTCGTCATAAATTTCATCTGGCCCGATTGTAATGCAAAGCTCACTAGGAGCGAGAGAGGTACTGCTGTTGGCGGAGGATATGATCTTCTGTTTGATAGCGGTATACTCGAATCTGGCTGCAAGAATGCTTTCGCGATTATATCCGCCTTTGCATCGAAACACTTGCTCGGCCGTTCTAGCCTTATTGGTATCAGACTTCCGAAGGTCTGAAAATGCCGTGATTGAGCCAGATGCTGCGGCTTCGTAAAGGTTGGGATTAGGCGTATGCGCGTGTTTTTCGGAACCACCGCCTGGTATGGCAGAATTTATCCGCATTACAATTCCTTCAGCGCGAATTGAGGGCTGAGCTACGGCAGTCGCTCCATTTATCAGGCTTTTTACATCGCTGTGGTATTCTTTGAGTTTTGCACTCGCCCGGCTAAGCGCCATGCCAAAGAGAATATCTCCTGGATAGCCTTGCAATTCAGTGGATACACCCGTATTGAGAAGTTGGAATAGCTCAGGTTGTAACTTGATATAAAATCTCCATCCTTTGTTGTAAAGTGGTGGTCTTCGACGGGGCAATATGCGCTGCTCCTGGTTCGATACAAAGCTTCTAGCAACTGTTAGCATATGCTACTTGATGAGTGTCTTGGCTCTTGTGTGCCGCCATACCCAGCTGGCAGTACGGTTGCGGAAAATTCCAGCTCTGAAAGTGACACATGATGACGGTCCTCTGGGTGCTCTGCAAGAAAGCTAGACTCGATAGCAACCCATGTGGCGCGCATGTCTTGCTGGGATACACTCAGATCATCACTCTTCACTCGAATGTTGATTTCATGTTCTCGGTGATATTTCTCTCGACTAAACGGGAGTGAAAAAGACCGGCCGGGTGGTGAAAATAACGTATATAGGGCAAGCATTCCGTAAGCATAGCTCTCTGACTTGAACAGTAGGTCTTCGTTACAGGTTTTATGGCGTACAGGGTCGTAATCCAATGATTCAGGAGGTTTCCAGGCCTTTGTTCTCCCATAAGAAGCGAACGTCAAGCTCTTGTTCTTCTGGGGATCAGTAGCGAATCCAAAGTCTGCCAATTTTGCCGTAATGTCCGATTTGTCACCCTCTCTAAAAACCAGCACATTTTCCGATTTCAGATCATTATGTATGATACGGCAGTCCCTGAGGCACTCTAGACCGGCAGCAATGTCCCTACAGATCTGGCTGCGGGTGATCCATGTTCATGAGGCCTCCAGAAACTTGTCGAGTGACCGTTCTACCGCCGGCTCCACGTACAGTACAGGAACCCTCAATGGCATTTGTAAGTTCCTAAGATCTTGATCATCGGGGGGTAGTTCGTGGATGGTATCGTATCCCCAATCCAATAAGTCTATGATATTAGGATGTTCATATATCTTCGAATTGGCCAGTGCCCGAATCTCGAACTCCAAGTCCTGAAGTTGGCCCGGATTGTCATTTGCCATGACTTCAAGACGCACTCGCTTCGCCACAATCTCCACTTCCGAATGCCTGAACACTTGGAATTGAGCACCTTTGCCAACTTCCTCGTACCATGTACTGCTCAGAATGAGGCGCCCTCTTGGCCTTGGCCCAGGAACGCCCAACTCTGACATCAAGTGAACAAATCTGGGGAGCGTGATGGTTTCCGAAAAAACACCCCCAGATAAGACTCCACTTCCACGAGATCTGAATTTCGAGTAAGCGCTCCCATGACAGGAGTAAGCCATCTTCGCTGATGATGCAAGAGCCGAAAGAGCTCGGTAGAGCTCTTGTCAAAATATTCGTGGTGTCGAGGCGTGGAGATAGAAAAAAGCGAAAAGGCTATGTTCGCAATACGCAAAACCACTCGAAATCTGTGAGAAAGGCAAAAACCATGTGGTAGCTTGCGAACATAGGAGGCTATGGTTGATGAGGCCGCAATTCCAGGCTTATATGGCTTGCAGCACAGTGTGCTCGTCACCTGCAGCTGACCGGTCAGGACGCGCAATGGCTGGAAGTCCTTGTCGACGCACATAAGCAGTCTGCTTGATTGCTACACAAGGCAGAGTACCAAGGCTTGCGAAGGGAAAAGAAAAGCGCTGATCGTAAGTTGTAGGCGTGCATACTGCCTGTGGTTGACTACCAGTCTAGCATCTAGAGGGTCAGTGGAGTACGCCGATAGCTGCAAACTTTCGCTCCAAGACATATTCAGTCTGACCGGCTATCATGCAGGCTTGCTAGGGAGAATGCGAGGTTGATGTTGTGAACGCCAGATGCGACGAATGCGTGGTACTGCCTAGTTAAGACGTGAGTGGCAAAACGTCATTCGTTTGTGGAAGGCCCGCGGAGCGGCATGCCTTCCTCGCCTGTCTACCCTCCACAACCAAACTCACACGTATTTTGTTGACATGATCTAAAGCATCAATAGTAATAGCACTGCGCAGCCTGGTGCTACTGCATCTCGCTTAGGTATTGTGGTGTAGTAGCTTGTCACGTGTTCGGCGTTAGGTAATCGGCGCTAGGGTTGAGTATTTTAGGGCGACTCCGCGAGGAGAAGCTCGACATCAGGGATCATCTTGTCGTACACCATTCTTAATACTACCGTTTATTGTTCGGATACCTTCTTGTTCTCTACTCTCTACCGATTGCGGGTCGGCAGCCTCTCTTCTGACTATTGAGGCTATCCCTCTACCACAGTATGTACTTAGTGTGCGTTGGGGAGGGGGGCTGTAAGCTACCCAGACGCCTTCTGCGGGAGCCCTAACATACAAGTTATTGTCTTATATTTGATCAAGACTGTCAACTCTGAAGTCGAGAAGCTTCATCAGAGACCAGCAACTATGTTGTCCAAACTAAACACAGAAGCGTTTGTTGACCAGAGGAAGCAGCTAATCGCGACCGACACAGCAACACTCCTGGAGCTTGATTCCACCATACAAGTCTTGAACGAGAGACATAACCCTAGGAGCGCCGTCCGCCAGATTGATGCCCGACTAGAGCCCTTCATATTGTTCATTGAAAGGTACGCGAAATCTGTTGATATTTTGTCACAGGGTGTGCCAGTGGCGGCCATCATCTGGGGTTCACTGCGTGTTCTGCTGGAGGTAAGGGTGTGTATCCAACATTTTAGTGGATATGATTGACATGGATAGATGGCATCTTCAGCATCTCGCTACTTTCAGAAAGGTATCGATATGCTAGAAAGACTAGGCTCACAGGTTTGCCTATACGCGCGATACGAGGATCTATTTGAAGTAGACGATCACTTCGCCACTGCGTTAGCTTCTACATACTCAGATATCATTGACGTGCTTAGAAAGGCGCGCCAGGTATTGAAGAAAAGTAGTAAGATCTTACATTCGCAATCAATGACTTTCTGCTAAGTTGTATCGCAAGGTTTTGTTTTTGTCATTCGCGCGCTCTAGCGAAATTTCGAGTCGGACTTCAACGAGAGTTTGGTCAGCCTGAGCAGACGTACAAAGTGCCTGGACGACCTAATTACATATTGTCATCGGCGAGAGGTACAGCAGCAACTTGTAGCGAACTCGAAACAGCAGTCCACTCTCCGTTCGCACAAACCTGAGCTTGCAGTGGTGCATCCATCGAAGCAAATGGTAGGTTGAGATCTGTGACTATCAAAGTTATTTACTTGCTGATCATCACTTAGAAAGCCAGCATATTAGACTGGATAGCTCCGCATGACGTATCCGCAGATCTTGTGACGCATAGCGGGAAGAAAATGGAAGGTACTGGCACCTGGATCCTTGACGATACCAAGTTCCGCGAATGGAGAGACTGTAGCGAAAGTTCCTTGTTGTGGATCTCGGGCACGTCTGGAACTGGAAAAACGGTGTTGGCTGCACACGTAGTGCAACATCTCACTGATTTTGACACCAGCAAGCAATGTATGACTGCTTTCTTCTTTTTCAACAAGTCAATTCGACAACAACATCCTTCGGAGACCTTAGCAGCCGCAATAATTGCCCAGATTGTATACCAAAGTCAAACAATAAATCCGACCCTGGTACGTACCTACGAGAGCTCTAGAAGGTTTGGCCATTCGCGCATGTCGCATCTGGATGATCCTTTAGGGGTTGTAAAAAAGATGGCAACAAGGCCACGTCAACTCAACATAGTCTTAGATGGTTTGGATGAGTGCGACGGCGTCACTGATGTTGCAATTGCAATCAAGGGTTTACTTGCCAGTGCGGCCACCGTACACGTAATTGTCTTCAGCAGGGATGTACCGCAGATTAGACTGAATTTTGGATTTGGGCCCATCATTGCGCTTGATGGTACCAGAACCCGTCAAGACATCGATCGCTTTTCTCGGCAGTCGGTGGCGAGGCTAATGCTAAACGACATTGCATTTGAAGAAAATGTCGCGAATACCTTGGCGCAAAGAGCGGACGGAATGTTCCTTTGGGCTGCTCGTGCTACGGAAAGTCTGAAAGGGGCTACAAATCCAGGTGAGGTATCAGGGATCCTTAGCGGATTACCAGCCGGTATCGACGCATATTACGAAAAGTGTTTATGGACACTGGCACATGATCACCCCTACAAGCGGAAGCTTGCGGAAACTGTCCTTCAACGGATCTGCTGTATAGCTCGGCCATTGACTTGGGTCGAGCTGGAATGCTTGCTGAGTTTCAACCAAGAGACTGTCGAGCAGGACCGGCTTCAAACACCGTTTCAAAACGTCGTGCTCGAAATATGCGCCCCATTCATAAAGATCGACAACGCTACCAGAATTATACAGCTGCAACATCATTCCGCACGGGAATTCTTGCTTCAGCAAACTTCGAATCTGGAGATACGTGGCTTTCATGTCGACGAAGCGGAGATCCATCATGGCCTCGCCGAAATCTGTCTGCGGCAACTGATTGCACAACCATCTGGATCGCATCTCATACAATATGCGACATTGTTCTGGCTGGACCATCTACTACAAGCTTCTTGCGACGAAAGTCTCCAAGCACTGATTCTGACTTTTGTGACTGCTCCGGCAGTTCTAGAGAAGTGGCTCCTCGATCGTATGAGATGGGACAGTCAGCGCGGTTTCTCGATGAGCAAGATTCTAGGATCTCAATCGGTGTTGAACTCCTGGATGCAGTCTTCTCCTAATGCACATGCAAGCCAATATATTTACTGGACTGGGCCGTTGGTGCGCGCATTACTCAGAATCGACCGGTTGCAGACGCAAGGAAGAGTCGGACATCAAGAACTCTGGCTAAGCCATCTCGAGAAGCTGATGATAATGCGAGATGTGGCCAGAGTCCTTACCCAGAACAACATGTTGGATCAAGGCATCGCATGGTTCGAGGCTGCACTAGACCAAAGGCGACATAAGTGTACTCAGTTAGACAATTGCTGGATCATGAGTGCACTTGGCATTCTCTACGACCAGAAGAACGACTTCCAACGATCGCTAGACCTACATTCCCATGTTTTGAACATACAAGAAACACAACTAGGTGGGCAAAGTCTCGAGACACTCTGGACAGTCAACGAGATGGGCCGCGTACATCGCCATCTACATGACTACGAGAATGCTGAGAAGCAGCATCAAAAGGCGCTGAGATCGCTTCACCAGATACTTCCTAACGACCATCTGGAGATTATCTGGACGCTCAACACACTCGCACACGCTTATCGAAAGAACGGCAAGCTGACCGAGGCGCTCTCTTTGCACCAACAAGCACTCAGTGGACAAGAAAGGGCGCTTGGAGTCGTGCATCTCCATCCTCTCTGGACGAAAGGCGACATTGGCAAATGGTACCTCGGCCTTGGAAATCTGGACAAAGCGGAAGAGTTCTTTCGTGCTTGCCTGAAAGGACGGACGACACTGCTAGGTATGGGCCATGTGGATTCTTTGTGGACTATGGCGAAGCTTGGGCAAGTCTTGGCTGCTCGAAACCATCGCGAGGAAGCTTTCGGTCTGCTTCAAAGGGCTTTTGAGGGACAGACATCGAAGCTGGGTAGCAAACATGCACAGACCTTGAAGACAGCTATTGTCTTGCGTGGCTTGGAGACTACCAGACCAACCTTGTTCGGGGTAACGGTTGTTGCATGTCCATTAAGGAAATGAGAGCATGTGAGGAAGTATGCTCGCTAGTATGAAATATTGGCCAAATTGAAGATTGTTTAATGTTCTGCAAATGACTATAAACGTACACCAAACGACACCTAATTTTCCAACATGAACACAGAAGTCCCCAATTCTTGCCACCCACGTCCCCTTTAAAGTCTTGTTGACGTAAGTCGATATTTAGATCTCATATGCTCTCCCTTGGTGTAAACTTCAAGTAAAGAGGCGGAAGCGTCACGGTCAACGTATCCAACTTCTCCTCTTCAAACCGCACACCCGTCTCCCCTGGCGCAAACCCAACATCAAAACTCATTGCTATCATCGAAAGCGCAGTCCGCAGACTCATCATGGCTAGATTCTTCCCCGGACAACTATACACACCTACGTATGAGTGTCAGCTTCCACGACTCTCAGCATTTGTATCGCAAGTAAGGTAGCTCACCAAGCGAAAAAGGTAGATACGGCGCCCCTTCCGTCTCCATCTCCTGTTTTAACTCGCCAAAGCGCTCAGGGACAAACTCCTCGGCTTGTTGCCACCACCGCGGGTCGCGTTGAATGAGAGAAACGGGTATGACGACGTTTGTGTTACCGGGGATGTAGGTGTCGTCTATTTGAACGCCTTTTGCCGGTGTTTCGCGCGCGCCGCCTGTCATTAGTGCTGGTTGGAGGCGCAGTGTCTCATTAATGATGTCATCGAGGTAGGAGATTGACTTTGCTTTTTCGTAGGACCAGTCCATGAAGCCGCCTGGCATTGATTGGTTGAGGAGATGTTGAAGTTTCGTCTGCTTTGCGGGATATTTGGCGAGGTAGAAGAGGGCGGTGGCGAGGGTTACGGCTGTGGTCTCGCTAAATGGTGTGAGCGGTTGTATATGAGCTGTTGGACTATGAGTTACCTTCCAGCGATAATCATCAATCGTGAGTCATCTTCCAAGGCGGCTGCAGTTTGGGGGGCAGAGACATCCTTTTCTTTGACGGCTTTTAGTAGCCATGATATGATGTCCTGGGGGTACTCTTCAGCATCCCATGTCTATGGAATGTCAGTCGTTCGCCCGCATATTGAGAAAGTAGGCCATGTACTCGATGTTTCTCTCTGATTTGATCCGAGCAAAAAGAAAAGAAGCCATTATACCCAGCTGCTGCGCCGGGTATCGAGCCTATAAGGTTGGTCAACCATGGTACAGCGTTTAGTATCCCTACAACCTTCATGTGATCATGTACACTCTTGATTGCAGCATGTTCAACACCACTTTTGAGATTGTTAAAGTCTCTGCCGAAGCCGACATCGCCCATGACATCAAAGCTGAAAAACATGGACCATGCAGATACATCCATTGGCTTTCCCGCATTCTTCACGAGTTGGCTCTTGAGCAAGTCGGTTTTTGCCTTGATACGCAGTTCATATGTGCCGAGCGCTGATCACAGTCAGAATTGAACAGTATTATATATTGCGTTACTGGGCATACCTTTGGTAGAAAAGCCCCTATCCCAAGCGCGCCGTCGAAGGCGATGTTCGTGGTGGCCACGCGTTGCATGTACAGAACATATCTTTGGATTGTTCCCGTTCTGACCGTATGGCGTTCCCTTAGTACATTCCGAGTAGGGTCCATAGATCAATGGAACGGCTGACTTGTGTAGAACGCTGATCTCTCGCGGCCCTTAAGTCTTGATCAACGCCAAATCTTTCAAATCCCCTCTGGATTAGCTGCTTACCGGTGCGTACAAAGTCACCATACTGATGGTGCAACTTTGCCAGCTCCTTGTAGTATTGCACATCTTTGGCTGCCAGACTTGCAGCGTAGAATCTCGAAATTCCGGCAGCAAGGGGGCCAGGAAACCTTCCGCATCGGTGAAAGAAGAGCCGATATACGGAGATGCTGGCCAGTAGTGCGGCGTTGAAGCTTGCTGTGAAGATTGTCGCTTTGACGAGTCCGAAGGAGTACACCATGCCGAAAAAAGTAAACATAAAGGCCGCCATGGAGTGATACATGATCAACTCAAATTCAAGGGGTTGGATTGCTAGGTGGAAAAGGACGCCGAACAAGGCTGCTACTCCAGCGCCACGCGTCACGCTACCTTGAGCTATGCTCTGTACAGCATCTCGGACTGCGTCCATGGTGAGCGGTGATGGTTGGGTGGTGCAGATAGAGAACGTGGGACAGAAGAAAAGAATAATAAAGAGTGAATTGAAGGCGTGACGCGACACCTGCCTCTAGGCAAACGTGGCCGCCTCACACTATATGTACGCTACTGCTTATTAAGTAAGCCTCTAAGCGTGCGGCTGAGAGGCGCACGCTACAGCCCTTTTCATCCGGGTCAGATTGTGTTCGTCGGTGAAAGCCATGTCTTACATGGTGGAGTCAGGTTGGTGGAGATGCAGAAGTCGATACTCCAAGGTAAGACTAAGTTGCGTCGAAACTAGTACTACCAATGTACTGCGTCTGTTCTAAACCAAGTCTGAATATCCAGTTCGCAGGCAATTATTACTACAACCAATCTAGCTTGTAACAATACCACGATTGAAGATGCCGGCTATTCCGTTTCAGAATTGGCGCGTATTTGTATGTGGTGGGGAAACCGGGTAGCTGTGGATTCAGCAGGACCACACCAGATACATACAATTCGCGAAAGGCACCTACCATAATGCAACAAGCTCTTGTTGTAAGCTGTTGCCCTTCCATGGAAAGAACGACATAGGTATTGAGATTCAGTAGAACGGATATTGGTCCCCGATTTGCATCCTCGATAGTCATCATGGAATATCCAAACATGCAATTCGTTGTACAAGAACTGCCAATAGAATTAACTGTCTCGCATGTACGACTTGCTCGCAATGGTGAACAAGGATGTCTGAAACTGGCAGTCCAAAACGGTCGGAGGATTGATGTTCCGCACTCGTATCTGCCGGACAGCGGATGCTGTAAGCGCAGATCTCTCTGTATTGCCTGATGCGCAATGCGCATTGGCGCATATTACGGGCAGCCTCCTCTTTCTCAGCGTGGTTGCACACCTGCAACGGGGACGGCGGATGGGGGCACACCCTCGGACAGAGACGTTGGGCTCGTGACATGGCGACATGGATGCTATGGCATGAAGCTGTAAGATCGACGCGGGATGACCTCGACGTGCGACGGGCCGCCCTGCACAGCACCTTGCCACAGTGGAACACGATCAGCTTTGACATGTGACAGCAAGAGCAGTAATCTGCGACAGCGACAGCGACAATAACAACAACAACGGCGACAATATTGATGTTGGGCTTTGTGGCCGAGGATGTGTGCGATGTCGCTGACGGGATGATGCCAGTGCATTCAATATTGGGCCAGCATGCATCGGGTCTGACGGCTGATATTGACGGTGATAGGTCAGTCAGACGTCGCTTCCCCGTACGATGGCGCTTAGCCGTGAGTCAATCTCGTCCGCTGCAAGCTTGTGGCTGCACAAAGGGTCGCAGGTCGCATGGCCTGCGAGTCGGTCGCCGTCGAAGGTTTCGCGAAGATGAAGCCATGCAGGGCTCGACCGTGTTAATTTGAGACCCCAAGGCCAGAGACGAGCAAAAGATGATGTCGGCCAGGCATGTGTGGTGTTCGCTTGGTAGGCGTTGCTGGACCCTCATTTCCCAATGTGATGCGCCAGCCCGGAGATGGGGTAGGGGGGCTGATTGGATAGGCAAATGGCTGAGTGATGGACGGGCTTGGTCTCTTGTGCTTTGGCGATGTGCAGTGTGAAGGCTTTGGCTTTCTGAAATGTATTCGGGCCAGGCCTACATGGCTAGGGCGGTTGCGGGCTAGGGGCAAAGGCGGATGCAATACACAGGCTGGGGGGCCCAGTGCGCCCATAAAGAAGGCCCCTGGCGTGCTGCGCAGCCCTGGTGCAGCTTTCAAAAGGCGCCCTCTCTGTAATCGCGTTGGATCGAGTTGCCATCCAGCAGAGCCGCATCGCCAGACGCAGCGCATCAACAGACGTGTAAGGAAACCCGTGCCGCTGAACTGGCGGGTGTTGTGGAGCCTTTGGCGCTGATGACGGTGAAAGACGGCGTCTCATTTCCGCCCGCGTTAGCGAACCAGCCTCATCCCAAGCAGGATCCAAGCTCCCCGTCGCCCTTTCCTCCTCGAACGCACTCGACGATAGCGACTGCCCCAGCTGCGCGACATCGCGATCGCTCCTTCCATCTCGCGCCCATATTCAAGCAATAGCGACCGGGTAACGCCATTGCCGAATAGGAATAGGAAGCAGCGACGAGCAAATATCCCATTCTCTTCAGCTACCTTCCCGCGCCCTCCACGAGGTCCAACTGCACGCGACGACCCAAGGAGCCCTCGCCAGATCCTCGAGCCTATCACTACTTGTCCTCAATACCTGCGCGCTTCCAGCCAGCCGCATCCGACGTGCAACCATGACCTCTCAGCCATCAGTCGACTCATCCCGCCTGTCTAGCGACAAGACAGGAGGGCCGTCTGAGCACACCAACGGCACCGGTATGTCCACAAACCCCTCCATGCACACCATGTTATGCACAAGTTTGCCGACCCGACTACTAACACAGTGAAGCTGGTATGCAGAACGCCATTGCCATGAATACCTTCGCTCCCGGCCAATCTTCGTCTCAGGGTCCATCGACAGATGCTGCAGGAACGACCTCCCAGGCCGACTCGAAGCAGAAGCGCTCCCTTCTCAATGTTCCCCGGTCCGGCTCGACTCCCAACGACAGCCAGACGCCCAACACTGGCCTTAGTGGAGCAACTGCGGCAGACGCTGAAAGCATCGGGCGGGGTTCCAAACACTCCAAACGGAGTCTCATGGGCAAACGACGGGCGGGAAGCACTGCAAGCAGCAAACGCTCTCAATCGCGCGCTGCAGCAACAGAAAAGGCCGACCAACCCCCTCCGGTACCGGCAGTGAACCGCCCGGCGTCGACCAGGAGCAAGACCAGGAAGTCTGGCGGTTTGCTGTCTTGCCTGCCCTGCTTCGCGCCCAAGGAGTCCCGGACGGCAGGCGACTCTACTCCCCCTGAGAACGTCAAGCAAGCTCAAACCGTGCCAGCCAGGCAGACATCGCAGTCTACGCCTGTCAAGAAGCAGGAGCCAATCGTTGCCGAGTCCAACCAGACCGAGTCAAGAGAACCCCTTGATGAAAAGATAGGGACTGAAACTTTGGGATCGGGCCTTGCCGAGCGACCCAGCCATGGTGACGGCACTGCCGAACGAAAATCCGTCGAGGATCGACCACAAGTTGTGACAAGAAGCTCCTCTCAGAAACAGCAAACAGCGCCCGTTCCCCCTCCTCAGCCTGCTACATTGCAAACCGGTCATCCCCAGATAAGCGTTACAAACCCCACGCCCGCCGCTACCCCCGTACTACCTCGGCCATCTGTGGAACAGCAGCGCATAATAGAAGACCAGACTGAGGAGCAGAAGCAGCTTGACAACGACATTGAGATGAAGGATGTACCACTTTCAACCAATGATGTCCCTCAAGAGGGAGAGGAAGCCACCGGAGAGGCCGAATCCGAGCACGCAAAGGTCGATTTACCTCCGCCACCGCCACTTGCCGAAAGGCAGGTTGCGGTACAGCATCAGACCGCCGAGGTAGCCGAGGCAGAGCCACAAAAGTACCTTTTGGGACCAATCGCCCCCCGTTTCCAAGGGAAGAAGTGCCTGGTTCTCGACCTGGATGAAACCCTAGTCCACAGCAGCTTTAAGGTATGTTACGAGTCCTTAGTGGCTGCTCCTATATACTAATTCAACGCTAGATTCTGCACCAAGCCGACTTCACCATTCCGGTCGAGATTGAAGGCCAATATCACAATGTTTATGTCATCAAGCGACCAGGTGTCGATCAGTTTATGAAGAGGGTCGGCGAGCTGTACGAGGTCGTTGTCTTTACCGCATCCGTCTCCAAGGTATGTACACACTTCGTTTTACCTGGATGATAGCTAACAGTTACAGTACGGCGATCCGCTTCTCGATCAGCTTGACATACATGGTGTCGTTCACCACCGACTTTTCCGTGAAAGCTGCTACAACCACCAGGGCAATTACGTAAAGGTAGGCTGAAACATGTCAATCTAGGCATCAAACACTAATGCGCTTTACAGGATCTCTCGCAGATCGGCCGTGACCTCAAGGATACCATCATCATTGACAATTCGCCCACGTCGTATATCTTCCACCCGCAACATGCCGTTCCCATCAGCAGCTGGTTCTCTGACGCGCACGACAATGAGCTGCTCGATCTTATACCCGTGCTCGAGGATCTCGCTGGCCAGCAGGTCAGTGACGTCAGTCTGGTGCTTGACGTAGCCTTGTAGGCACCGTTCGCGATGATGTGACGAGAGAGGATACCCTGGCGCATACCCTGTTCACTGCGTCGACATAATCACTTTTCTTCGGGCGGGAGTATCGGAACCAACGCTCCGACAACTTCTAATCTGTACTTTGTAATCAGTTTGTAATCTGCATAAGAGGCGGCTTGGTGGGTGGCAGCGCAAGATCCGCAGGAGCCCATGTTGCAGCGTCATGGCGCATTTTTGATTCCCGCACTGCAGACCCTCGCATGGGTCTCCAGCGACGCAGTCCCAACGCCCACCGCCTACGGCCATCGGACCTTGGAGCGCACCACCTCCACTTTACGCACAGAAACAGGAGGACCACGGCGCATAACGGCGTCTATTTGGCTCTAGGAGCCACAAAAATAAGCAGTAATATTGGCACATACCCCTTTCTACATATGCGACGCCTGGCCGTTTGAGGTCGCGTGGCAGTTTACTATCAATACCATTTCCTTTGTACATTGTGCTCTTCTGTTTCTTCTGCATGGCCGGAGGCAGTCGGCCCATCTGTTCCTCTCCACGACTGGAGCGTGCGTTTGGTGATCTCATGGCTCCGGTCCAGCATCTTTTTTTGTGTTTTGTACGGGTGAGGGGAAGAGCGCTTGCAGACGCAATCACATGTTAGTCAAGTAGAAGCTAGATAGCCAATACCACTCCATCTTCAGATGCAGGAACCAGGCTGGCGCATGCCGTGAAGCATGGGGACGGTTGCCCTGCGTTGTCTGGGCTGTCACATGCGCGTCAGACGTTGAGCTGAGGTGAGCTACATGTAGAACAGAACGGCAGTCTTGGCGCCTTCACATGCCGAGTAAAATGCATGACTCGCATGACGACTTGCTTGGATCCCGCCAAAGGCGACACACGACAAGCGGCTACATTTACCTTTGCCCGCCACGCTGTAAGGGTCCAGTGTCGTCACGCTACAGAACATAGACATTTCCCATTCTGCGACGTCCTCTTCTTCACCAGCCTCGTGACTGAGTCCTTTGCTGCATTGACTTATCGCAGCCTCGCCGTACATGGCTCGGTGACATAGTGTCAAACCACAATTGCAACAACCATCTTTCCCCGTAGACGTCACCGTGACCGTCCCACACCATGGAGAGATATAGTCAGTTTCGCGATAAAGGTACGTTGGGCATCTACCTTCTGCATCGTCATGTCTTGGTAGAGATTTGACGTGACCTGATCTCACGCTTCAGAAACTAACAAACATGGCAATAGGCACAGCCATAGCGCCCTTCCTCCCTGTTCCCCCTGCGCCGGCGAGTATCGTCTGGTTACCCGTCTACATTTCCCTCTTTTGCGTGCGATTGCCTTTTGTGATTGCGCTAGGGCTACTGTATTTTCTAGTACTGGAATGGGTGCCAATTGGGAGGAGGCTGAAGTATGCGGTATTGTGGTTGATGGCGGGGATTCCGGGGGTGTGGTGGGTGGATTTGCAGGTTGATGGAGTAAAGAGGGGGTAAGTTTAGGTGTCACTGGCCACAGAGTCGCAACGCTGACATTGTCATTGCTAGACAATTGAACCCAGCGAGTAACTACTACCCCAAAGCCGGGTCCGTCATCGCATCCTCGTTCACATCGCCTCTCGACCCTCTCTATCTCGCGGGAATCTTCCAACCAATCTTCACTCGGTCTTACCCCCACCACCGATACGTCGAACGCATAACTCTCTTTCGCGCCATCCTACTCGCCTTCTCCCCGCCCGCTCTCACTCCACAAGACCCATCAAAGCTCGTTTCGCTCAAGCAGCTCACGCACGAAAACCCTAACAGGGTCATTTGTGTGTTCCCTGAAACGACGACGACGAACGGAAGGGGTATCTTGCCCTTGTGCCCCAGTCTACTGAGTGCAGATGGCAAGACAAAGATTTACCCTGTCAATCTGCGCTACACACCCCAGGACGTTACAACACCGGTACCAGGTGGCTACCTGAGCTGGTTCTGGGGCTTGCTGAGCAAACCAACACATCAAATGCGCGTCCGTATCGCCTCACGTGTGTACAACAACAGCAACCAGGATACACCTGAGCGCCAGAAACTCGCGGAGAAGGCGTCAGGGTATGAGGCAAACATCTTTGACCAACCAGAGTTTCGAAACGGGGCCAGTGGCAAACATGGCGAGGGCGGTGATGGCATGCATATTGATGTTGGCAGCGCAGTGCAACAGGAAGTTAGCGAACAAGAGCAAAAGGTGTTGGAGAGGGTTGCCGAGGACTTGGCAAGGTTAGGTAGGGTGAAGAGAGTGGGTCTTGGTGTGGAGGATAAGGTTGCATTTTTGAAGATTTGGGGAAGCAGGAAAAGATAGAGGGAGATGGGGTTGAAAGAGGGAGATACGACAGGTTATTCAAGAGAAAGAGATAGTCAAGGGCCAGAGATGGGTGTAAGATTAGGCTAATCATTGTGTGAGTGATATGGCAGGATTGCACTTGAGCGTGGTATAATAGCATATTCTTGGAACATTTGGTGCTGAATGGGGGGTTAACATATGTATGTTCTCTCTATTTCTTGGGCACAAAAACTTCCATAGTTATGCAGAACAATTATTATATTACATGGATACAGACAAAGACTGGCTTCTCTTTTTGATCTCTCCCGAGTTTTTTATGTTAAATAGCATGCTCAAAAATCTTTATGTAGGTCTAGACTAAACAGAAACTAGAAGACTTGTGTTACGATCTTGAACCTTGATTTAGAACGGCCTCGGCATCTATTGCGTATGTGGTGTAGTGGTAAGTGGGCCAGATAGTACTGTGCTTACCAATTTACAGCCTGCCAAATGTTAAGTAATAGGTTTTCTAGTTCATGGTACATGGGAACATCTGGAGCCACGATTTACGAGAATCTGGAACTATAGTGCTGAATGTATTTGCACTGCGGACGTGTTTGTTTTGTTTTGGCGTGGTAGAGATAGTATTCTTCACACTGAAGATAAGCATGGGAGATGACCAGGCAACTAGATGCGGGGTTGCAAGGCGTGTCATATGCAGCTTCAATTAACCGCTGAGTGAAAGCAGTATGTTTTGGAAAGAGAGGCGGATGGTTCGGGGTGCACTAGGTCCACTAGCCAAATTTAGCATGTGGGTACAGGGATGGTGGATAGCGCCTTCTACTGTTTACTGTCCGAGCTCAGACCCCAAACAATCGATATCCGACGACGGAACAGCACTTCAGCGAACACGTCGCGCAATTTGCTTTTTGACCGCCACGGAGCATGCTTTGTTTATGCCATCCCATCGTTAGACACCAGTAAAAACCCTTTGACAATGGAGCCTGCGAACGAGAACGCGGTATGTACCCCCTAGTCATGGACAAGGCGCAAGTCTAACACGGTCACCGTTTTAGACCATCGCGAAGCGCTCAGGCATTAAACCACCTTCAACCTTCTCCGGCATCACGTCGCCATCTCGCGCCCTCAGCGAATTGCCCGAAGCTGCCGCCAATTCGCGCAGTGCAATGCCGCTCCCTACCAAGCATAAGCCCTCCGGCTGTACATTGCCCCTCCCCTTGTCCATGAAGCGGAATGGCTCACTGACACTCCCAGTACCCGAGCCTGCGTTTAAGCAACGGAAGACGCTTGCTGAGCAAGGCGGCGAGCCTATTTCTCGAGGACGATTACCTGCGCCAAAGGTCTCCAGTAGTATCAAGACAACGGCGCCGCGCGCACTAGCAGCGTCCGCATCGCGTACGCTCTCCAGACCGACAGCGAGACACCCTGCTGCCTCGACTCTTCATAGTAGTGTCGGTGTAGCCCCCAAACCCAGTGGAAGTGTAAGACCGAAGTCGGCCTATGGCCATGGTGGTAGTCATGGTAGGAGCAAATCCTACCACCAGGCGCCGCGGCCTGCGACAGCCATGTTAAACAGAGACGATGATGATGACGACAGTGAACAATCTGAGCGCAAAGGTGTGCACCCATTTCTTATCTCTACCAACCCCCCAACACGCCTGAGGGTGCCCAAAGGAGTCTCTTTAGACACCCAAAAGCGCACGGCTTCCCTAAGTATATCCGGACGAAGATTCGCTCGCATACCAGAGTCGCGAGCTGTCTCGTCTCCTTCCGCTTTCCGCCCCGTCACTCCGGTCATTGAAGAGCCTTCCGATACCGAATGTGACGAAATCTGCACGAGAGTAGGGGCGCTCACCGTGGGAGCGTCCAAGGCAGACATACGTGGCAGTCGATGCGTCGGAAATGGCATGACTTCTGACTACGGGACGAATCCTTTCCTCAAACCGAAGTTGCCTACATCTATTCCACAACCCAGCCCAACACCGATTCGGTCGCAACAGGTAGATCCGTCGCTATATCGGCCCCCATCTACCACACCGAGGAAACAACCACTAGCACCCTTTCTGAGCCGTTTCACTAACGACCGGTGTCCAGATTTCTACAATGAACGAATGGAGGCCATGGAACGCGACTTCCGCATGTTCAAGGAGAAGATGGAGACGGATGTGCGACAAGCCACCGACTACAAAGAGTCAATTTCACAATTGCAGAGTCGCGGTATGTATTCTCCATCTAACCATGAGCTTTGCTGACTGAATACTGCATAGTTACGGAGCTCGAGACCATCCGCACGCGACTAGAGATTGTAAACAAGGGCCTAGAGTCGGAACTCAACGATACCCGGAGCTGTCTAAAGTCAGTGAAGATGGAGCTGGACATGATGCAGCAGAAGCACACATTTGAGGTCGACGACGTTAGGCGGAGACACCGTAACGAAATTGAAGACCTCGAATCGCGACATCGAAAAGACACAGACCGAATGGAGAGGGAAAGAGAAGAAGTAGAGAGGAAGATACGCATCGAACTCGAGGGACGAATCGACAGATTACTGAAAGAACACGGCGAGGAGCTCGCAGTGCTACGGAAGAAGCTCGATGCCGACACCGAAGCGGAACGGAGCAGACGCACACAAGAGGCACAGAAGATTGAGGGGGAATATGCGTCAAAGCTCAGAGCAGCCGCTCTGGATGCGGATGCGAAGCAGCGCGAGGCACAACTGGTCCAGGGCGAGCTCACAAATGTCAAGTCCGAGCTGGATCGGGAGAGGATTCTTAAGAGCGGTCTTCAAGGCCAATTGACTGAAATGACAACACAGAACCTGACCCTGGACGCAGCGAACAAGGCAATGAAGGAAAAGATCGACTTTCTCGAGTCGGACAGCCAGGCGCAATCGTCAGCCTTCAACGACCTCCACAAGCGTATGCAAGACGCCATTGAGGCAGCAGAAAGGGCGCAGGATAAGCTGCGCCAGGAGGAGACGCTACGAAGGAAGCTCTTCAATCAGGTGCAGGAACTCAAAGGCAACATCAGAGTCATGTGTCGTGTGCGGCCAGCTCACGAGACAGAGAGTAACCCTGCGCAAATATCTTTCCCCGACACCGATACCGACAGCAAGGAGGTCGCTGTGCTCGGTCCAAACAAGATCAGCGCAACTGGAAAGGATATCACGGCCGCATACTCGTACTCTTTCGATCGCGTGTTCGGGCCTGTGGCGCAAAACGGCGAAGTGTTCGAAGAAATCAGTCAGCTTGTGCAGAGCGCCCTCGACGGGTACAATGTATGCATCTTCTGCTATGGTCAGACGGGTGCCGGGAAAACACATACCATGTCGTCCAGTGACGGTATGATTCCCCGCGCCACAAAACAAATCTGGGATGAAGCACAAAGACTACAAGAAAAGGGGTGGCGTTACAACATGGAAGGATCTTTCATTGAGGTCTACAATGAGACTTACAATGATCTGCTCGGCCGCTCAGAAGACCTGGATAAGAAAAAGGTTGAAGTGCGGCACGATCCAGTAAAGAAGCAAACCAGCCTCGAAAATGCTGTCAGCGTCATGCTCGACGGGCCTGGCCGAGTGGAAGAGATCCTAGAGACAGCCAGCAAGAACAGAACGGTGGCTGCAACCAAGGCCAACATGCGATCCAGTCGAAGTCACTCAGTGTTCATCCTAAAGCTGATTGGCACCAACGAGATTACGGGCGAAAGAAGCGAGGGCACACTCAATCTCGTCGATCTCGCAGGATCCGAACGACTAGAGCACTCCAAGGCTGAAGGCACACGCCTCAAGGAAACACAGAACATCAACAAGAGTCTGAGTTGCTTGGGTGATGTCATCAACGCCCTTGGGTCAGCGAAGGAGGGCGGACACATCCCGTACAGAAACTCAAAGGTATGTTATACGCAATTGTCCTCGAAAGAATACACACTAACATCGAAATAGCTCACATATCTCCTCCAATACTCGCTCGGCGGCAACTCAAAGACACTCATGTTCGTCATGGTCAGCCCATTACAAGCACATTTGCAAGAGACGATTACGAGTCTCAAATTCGCAACCAAGGTGCACAACACGCACATCGGCACAGCGAAGAAGCAAACCAAGACATCATAATCTTCTTATCAATACACGCGCTGGCGCTTGTCGTCATGTCAATACAGTGCACAGGATGTCGAACGTGTGTAGTATCGGCTATGTTATTCAACAAGAGGTCTTGTTTGCGAATAGATGTGCGCGGTAGGTTTTTTTTTCTGTACTTAGCAGCGGTAGTGGAAGTGTTCGACGCCGACTTGCTCGTTTTTGGGCTGCAAAGGTGTTTGGCGCACTGCGATGGGATGGGTGGCGCGAGAACCCCCAAACGGCGGTTGGCTTTGCGCGTTGTACAGCTCTCGCGCGCGGCGTTTTAGAGGGATCTTGGATAGTTTGAATGATATGCTGGGGTCATGATGTATTCATAACTTGCGGTGTTGATATGCATGTGATGGCCGTGTTTGTGAGTGTTTGCAGGTTGGCGGTTGCTACTGATTGTTCGGCGTGCACGTGTGGGTTACCGGTAAGAGATGGTTGGCAAGGCGTTTGCTGGATCGTGGGTATAAAACGGCTCTTGTTTGACTCATATGCTTCTTCTTACACATCACATTAAAAGCCTTGATGTTAAAAATCCTCGCTATCAACAAGATGTCTGTTTGTTCTTCTTCTTCTTCTTCTTCTTCTTCTTCTTCTTCTTCTTCTTCTTCTTCTTCTTCTTCTTCTTCTTCTTCCTCTTCTTCCTCTTCTTCCTCTTCTTACACATTATATCATAAGCCTCAAATTTTGAATATCAAAACATCCACAGCGATGTCTGTCTATTCCTCTTCCTCTTCTTCTTTCTAAAAAGAGATTGGCAAAGCTTCAGTAATATGAAGCCGCCGAAGTGCCTTTTCTTTTTATTCATAAACATACCTCATGGCCGACATCTGCCGTTTTTTAAACTAAGAACAGTGCATTAAACGACTTGCACCCTTCCAGGCTCTGATCTAGAAAGACCCAGATAAAAGAACATATGCTCTGTACATGTCGAAATGTTCACGTCGCACGGGTTTGGCGTTGGCTGAGCGGCTGCCTAGTCGCTTCACCCGCGCGGGAGAGCAAAACGATGGGCGTATAAATACCACCTGTTCGTTATCTTCTTCCTTCTTTACTTTCTACACATTGCATTGAAAATTACGAGGACTTAAAAGTACTTCTACGAGTTGCATGACGTTGTCCGCTGGACCATAACTACCGACTTCACCGCGCATGGTGTGCTGTTCCTGCTGGAAAAGTCTAGTGCGAGAAAAAAAGTGTGTGTACTCAAAGTGGAGTATTTGAAATTGAAGTCAGGCAGTGATGATGTGTGCCTCTTCTTCGCTCTTAAAAAATCATTTGGTCACTTGGCTCATAGGTGCAGGGGTGGAGACGGATGTGTATGAAACTGTCTTCGCTGTCCGGGTCTCCGTGTCTTTGTTCCTCACTTTTCTTCTCTATTCTCTAAAAAAACTAAGTACGAAAATAATCATATTATACTACTCTTCTTCTTCTTCTCTTCCGTATCTAAGAACAAAAGATTTATGCTTATGGAAGGTTAGAGACCTGTATAGGAGGTATTAAAACCTCTATTCTTTCCTGTTCTCTACTACTATTGTTTCCCCTTGATTTCTCCCCTTATAGAACACAGAGGATAGCCTTATATGTGTCGCGTTCTCTGCTTTTTGGAAAATCTTCACAAAACTCCCATTAACGAAGTAGGAGAGCGTGTGTATAAGAGCTTATTTTTCCTGCTCCCCTTTGCCCTTTCCATCTTTATTTTCTTTTTGAAATATCTAAAACTATTTCATCTAGCAGCTATGTGTCGGTTTCTACTTTGAAATCAAAGTGCGATCGAGATATAGGAGAAGTGCGGGAGCGCGTGCATAAATTCGTCTTTTCGTCCCTGTTCTTGAACTTCCTTATCACCACTTTTCTTCTGAACCTCCGAAGCCCTTACTCATATCTTTCATGTTTCGCTTCTCTATTTCTAAAAAAATACTATCTAAGATTTCATGTGTACCTAGGTGTGTGTGTAATCTCGGTTATATTCAAAACATGTCTACATGAACATACCTTTATTCTTGAAAATACCAAGATCCCCGGGAAATATCACCTAATCTACTTTATTATTTTACGGCTAAAGCAAAACACCATAGAGCCCATGTTGAGAGTTCTGCTAGGCCGTACTATAAGAGTCTCTTTACTCCTCCTCTCTTCTTATTGTCACTAGTTACAGAGAGTAACTATTTAGATTTTCTAAAACATCCGCCATCAACACCTATGTCCGGCGTTCTCTGTTGTTTCTCCCAAAGCCTGAAAGCACAATTGCATGGTTTTAGCGATACGGAATTAAAAGTTGCAATGGATGAAATTATGGCGGAAACACAGGTTGCGAAACGGCTGTATGCGCAAAGTTTAAGAGCTACAGAAATGGTGCTTCATCGGAATGGTACTGGTGTTGTAATGAGATATGCATTGATACTGCTGCTTTTCCTCCTTCTTTCTAATGATTTACTATAAATTCCCACCAAAAAACCCTGAAACTACCATATCCATGTGGTCCTGTCTTCGCAACGTTCGAAAGACCATGAATTCAGACATGTTTCGAGAGCCTTGGGAAAGAAGTGGTCCTCAACATGCGTATTCTCCAGTTTGAACAGAAAACTATGTGGTAGAGAGAAAAATCTACCGTATGGTGCTATGATACCAACCCTTGTTTTAACAGAAAGCTCCATCGTTCAATAGTTCTCATCTCTCCTATTTCGGATCAATCTGAGTAAGACGACATGGTTGTGCATCTTAAGAAAGGGACATTACTGTTTTATGCCGTGGTATGTATGAAGCTTGGCGCTCGATAACGGTGATAATATCGACGCTGTCTGAAATGTGGAAATCGAAATGCAGGGCTGTGCAGCTGCGACGCGAAGTTGTGATGTCTTGCGCAAGTGAGGAGAGCGCGATCTACATCTCGGAGAATTCTTCGAGAACGTGGGTTAGTGGATCGGTCCCACCTGTCTCGATCCCTTCGATTGAAAAGAGTTTCCACGCACAAGCTGAAGGATCATTGCAGTTAGTGGTTCGGCCAGAATAGCCGTATCTCGTATTCTTTTCGGCAGTATTGTTCGAGAGGTGAGAGGCTGGTGAGGGCGCAAAAAGAACCCATCACCTCCATCTCCGGTTCTTCCGCAAGCCGGTACTCCAAAGGATTTTTACGACTCAGTTTCACAACGATGTGATGTGAGTTGAAGCATTTGGTGGTGGTGGAGGATGGTGCTAATGCGGGGCCTAAGGTTTCACCAATATCGCTTCGAGTTAGCGCCGACGTTAGCACACGTTCGCGCCGATTACCCGTTGTCTCCCTTAGGTACCCCACATGCGCGAGTCAACCTAAAGGGGCGTTATTTACATCGCTATCAGCCATTCTGCACTGTTTCAGGTGGCTTTCTCCAAGGCGAATATGGCGAATCTATAGATTGGGGGTCCCTTCCACATGTGCCATTTAGCCTAGCCGCATGTGCTTCATGCACGTGGCTCACTTCACACAAAATGTGGTTCCGATTGGTACCGGCTCGTGTTCATCGTTAACTCAACAATCAATGTCCGACGCACCTGGTCAACCAAGACATGGTGACATGCCACTGCTTACCTTGCCAGGGAGGAATACGGGCTACGACCCGAACACTTTCTCGTCGGGCACGTACGATCAAACATTCGGTTTCAGAGAAGATTGTAATCCATACAGGGCACAGATCATCCCGTATTTCTTGACGGCCATCCTCCACATGTTCGCATGTTCCAACTCTCTCTTCAATCATGTTTCGATACTATCATGCCGTCGCGTCTATGCTAGCAGTTTCCCTCGCAAATGTCGTCTTCAATATACCAGACAGTACGCCAGGTGGCACTGATACCCTAACATCTGGCGTGGATATAGTTGAGATCCGGTGGCCCGAACATCTAGTCTTCTCTCCTCCTGCTACTACAACATACGGCGACCTTTATCTTATAACCAAAGAAGATGAGCGCATGGTTGCGCGGATAAAGGGTTCGTTGAACAAACAGAATATGGCAACTGCAATCACTGACTTGTTTCAGAGGCCGTGGTTTTTGTTGGACTAAATGAGTCGTTTACGTATACGCTTCCACCCAGCAATGAAAGTCAGGCTCTCATGTTTTGCATCATAGCGACGAGCAAACCAGGCACATCCATATATAATGCAACCGAGTCGCGGGCACTTAGTCGAAGCTTTATAGCCAACCCATCACCGTCCTCTTTGGATCCAACGACACCGAATTCGACCACAAGTACACCGCAGTCATCAGCGTCGCATGCACATGCACCGATACCGACGAACTATGGATATACCAAACTATCTCACGCGGAGATCGCAATGATAACCCTCTCTAGTCTGCTGATAATCGTTCTGATTGTAATGGGTATCATTGTTCTTGACAAGAAGAAGCGAGGAGGACCAAGCAAAAAACGTGCTGTCATAGAGATTGCCGGTACTCCGGTGCCACATAAACATGGAAACGACGATGAATCCGAGCTTCCTGCAAGATTGACACGGCAGGGGTTTTAGATGGCTATTATGTTTGGGATCTACAAGAATGGTCCAAGAAGTTGGTTATACCAGTCTCACTTTGGAGGTTTATGCAAGGGGTGGCTGGGCTGCGCCTTGCGATAGCTGCACAGATGTGGCACTGCAGCCTTGGTAGGCAGAATGACGATAAGGAGGTCGTTAAAGTGGTACTTTTGCGGGGAAAAGCTTGCATCCTATCACGCTCTGTTGCTTTTCTGTTCGTCTTCTTCTACCTCGTCTTTTAGTTTTCCCTATTCAATCATTTAAACAGCATTTGTCTAATAGAACCAAGTCATGAGAGTATCACTACTCCTATCATGCTATACATACATCATACCACTTGTATCAGCCGCTTTTACAGTCCCGAATGCACAAACTGTGTGGAATTTGGGCGACCACGTAACCGTCCGCTGGTCCTCCTCCTGGCCGGACTGGGGAGATGGTCCCGTCTCAGCCGATATACTCGATTTCTGGGTCACCTCATTCGATAATCACTCTTATATCCAGCAATACAATTGTAGGTCTTCGCCGCCAAAATTACGATTGGAAAAGTAATTCCTGACTACCCGGGGTGCAGCGATGAGAAAACCCCTCGACGGCGGGTCCTACGGCTGGACTGTTTACGCGCCTGAAAGATACATCAAGTCCCACAATCTCTTTGTATTTAAGTTCAAGGAGCATCGGGATGACCATGCATATGATCCGACGTCCTGGGAGTATCCGAGTACGCCGTTTTCTATATATTCAGCCGCCGGATCTTCATCTTCCACGAGCTCCACGTCTTTCGCTACTCTCACTTGGAGCTCATCGCTCCGGAGTATGACGGGTACATCGACTTCCGATGGTACGGATATAGCAAGTACGCCCACGGTGCCCATTGTACCTCAGCCATCTAGCACCGATTGCGTCCCGGAGTTTCATCGAATCAAAATTGCTAGTAAAATTGCAGGCGCTGTTGGTGGGAGCTTGGCGGGGGGTGTAGCAATCATGCTGGTAGTCTACTTTATCCGACGAAGATACAGAAAGACTCCAAAGCATGTGCCTATCTCTGCGTCGGAAGATGCGATGAAAGATGATTCAGGAACAAATACGACGCCTCTGATGGCGGCAACGAGGCCAACGCGTGAGATTCATATGGGTAATGATCTACCGGAGTGGGTACCGCCGAGGTAGAAGATGTATATTAGCCTGTTATCACACCTATGAAGGTTGGAAAAGGCGCTTGGAAGCGATGAGAGTATATATCCTGTGTGATCCATATGTGTGACTGGCATAAATTGCGGCAGGTGGACAGTAGATATACTTGGACTGCGACGATGACTGTCGCTTGTTGTTTGATGGACTTGTCCTTACATCAGACGACACGTACAACGAACAACTCCCTGGGGAAGCGACAGAATAGATGACAGATGATGGATAAGCGTAGTGACATACACCAACTAACATACTAGCCAATGTCAATTTTACTTTTACAGAGCCCACAGCCAGCCCTTCGCTTGGGCGTTTTCAACGTCAGACTACATGCACTGTTTTTCACAAAACCGAACAGTTCTTATCCAAGAAAGCCCAACCTTTTATGTACTCAAAGCGAGCGTTTTTCGCTCACCAAATCGTATATCCACCATCTACCAGAATCTCGCTGCCAGTAACATAGCTACTTGCATCGCTCACCAACCAAACGGCCGCGCCCCGAAACTCCTCTGGCTTGGCAATTCTGTTCAAAGGAATATCTTTCAACCACTCTATGCTCAGCTTCCCCATCTCCTCGCCCTCATTCGCCTCGGTCTGGATGTATCCAGGGCTGAGCGCGTTGACGCGAATACCATAAGGTGCCCACTCCGATGCCAAAGACTTCATAAGATACGCTGATGCGGCTTTGGAAGCGTTGTATGCGGACTGCTTTTGCGGGCGGTTGACGATGGAGCCAGACATCGAAGAGATGATTAGGACGCGGCCGTGGACTTTGTTTTCGATCCACCATTTCCCCGCCGCCCTGGCGAATAAGAAAGTTCCGGTCAAGTTGACGTCGATCATGCGCTTGAAATCCTCAAATGGGTAGTCTTCTGCTGGTGCGCCGCCTGTGATTCCCGCGTTCGTGACAACAATGTCCACGGTGCCGAAATCCTTGACGATTTTGTTCCAGGTTGATTTCACACCTTCTTCAGATGAAGTATCACATTCGTAGCCATGGACTTTAGGTTCGGGGAGCCCGTGCGATTTCGCCTCTTCAACTAGTGCTTCGGCAGATTTGTCGGCACTGTCCTGTTTGAGGTCTACGATCGCGCCATGGGCACCCGAGAGGGCGAAGGCAGCGAGGATCTGTTGACCAAGACCTTGTGAGGCGCTTGGCATCGATTAGTCGTTTTGGAAAGAGGCTTGGTTCAATCGTCCCGTGTGAACTTGTGGGGTGCACATACCCGGTAACTAAATGGAGTTAGTGCGTTGATGGACGCTTATAGGCTGGGATTACTCTACCAACAGCTACTTTGCCTTCGAGCGAGAACTCAGGCAATGTCCTGCGCTGGGTATGAGCAAGTCGAAGAATAGGTTTTGAGAGATGCGAGAGCGCAAGTGAGGTTCGTAGGATAGCGCTGCGGATGACGTACGGAGGCATTTTGGTATCGTTCTTAGTTCGTCGTACTGTGCGTTGTGCTGATGCTGATCGTAGAAGCGAGGTGATAGATCTGGTTCTGCGTAGGAAGTTCGAGAGCTCATCGACGCAGTTTTGCTCTTTGGATTATCTGCAAAGTACGATATTGTGATGAAGGAATTACGTCACTTGTACGTACGCCTATGTGTGTAGGATTTGGATGTTTCGAATGGGAGTTGCCGAAGTAAATGACACCTCATCAAAATAAAAAAAACTTTGAGAGACTATGGAGACGACGAGGAAAGGAAACATTGCGTGATGCGACGATGCAGATCTGTCAGAGTACCTGGGTAGTACAAATGGAGGCCTCATTTGGAAACACAAGCACTTAAAGGTATTCACAGATTGGTATTCCTATCCCCTAAAACTCCCGTCCATCGCTAATAGACCTATTCTTCATCCTTCATGCTTGTAAAGGTGGCTGCCGTTGATCGGTTTACATGACGATGCACCAGCAGGACTCGTCGCAACCGCAGCATTCGCAGGACTCGCCGCACTTGGTGATGGGAGCGGGCTTGATGATGGTGGAGACGGAGGAGGCAACGCTGGCAGGCATGATGAAGTTGTTGATTCGGAAGTTGATCTGGCGGGAGTGTCAGAGGTAGTCTCAGCAGTAAGAGAGATTAAGGAAAGCTTACCGGAAGAGGTATGTAAAGTAACTGCGGCTGAAGTTTGAAGGAATTCGCTGGTTTGATGGGTACCCGGGTAGAGTGTAGGTAAAGACGATGGATGGACTGTTGAGTTGATGTGTTGATGGAGAATGGGAACATTTATCCGCAGCGACCTGTGACTCTTTATAATCGGGCAGGACAGGGTAGGAGATTCCAAACACTGCTCAGGAGCTATGGCTGAATATGCCGCAACCGCTACGGCGGTCTGTCAGCTACCGTCATCGGCGTCTGTTGGTCGTACCCACGAGCTGTTGACGCTCAGGCATGCACTTCCAAGTTTCAAAACCTGCCAGCTGTCAGGCATATCATTGGCCTCTTCGATCGCCATGCACTGCCTCTCCGGCGTTGCTATCTCTTAATGCAGCTTCACTTGCGGGTCTGGATGGCGTGGTAGATGGGAGCGGGTAACGAATGTGGTGGCGCAGCTGGCACAGGGCCGCTCCTTACGTGCGATGATTGGTTTATCGGCCGTGGCATTCGTAACAATCCTGCAACTGGGCATGCAGAACCCTTGCGTAGGAGATGGGGGTGATTGCGTGGCTAAGCTTGATTAAGCTTTGCGGCGCCAATAAATGCCGCACAAATTCAAGTAAATAAGCCTCGCCAAGCTACCACCCCGGACTTGGCCGTGAATGACAGTGCGCTAGTATTCGCAGACCCACTCGCTGACCTCTAGACCTTGACTGTGCCACAAAAGCAAAGAGTTCGTCGACTTGGTGAATGCTCGGGTCTTGCGTGCGCACACAGAAGATATGCAAGTGAAGATTAGCATACGGGAATAACTCTAGCGGAAGGTTGTGATAGTTAGCGCATGCGCGGTTCCGTTGCTGGGATCTGAGACGACGCTACATCACGGCAATCTCACGCATCCGTCGGCGGCTTAATTGCACGGCGCGTTGCCAGCTGAGCTCGCGAACCCTTGCATCGAAACCACGACATGCGCCTCAGTCTGTCGTCAGCTACCTTAGAATACTTTGTTGTTCGTCGTAGTTACACGAGCTAGGCTTTATGACCAAAACGGAAACCTGATGCGAAATAAGGCGCAGTAGATGCACGGTAAGCCGGATGGAGGCGGGATAGACAACTCCGGTGGTGTCCGGTACGCACGTAACTTGTTCTCGTTTGCATGAACACGACCTCTTCACATCATCAAACAACTCAATCTCTAAGATCCCACACAAATAAGTAACTAAGACTTATCCCTCCCCTGTGGACATTTCTAATGATTACAACTCCACTATGGTTTCTCCCTGCTCCAGCCCGCACCACTCAACGCTCTTCCGCCAGAGTGCAAGCTGCATTTTCATCTCCATACTTTCTGGGAGCTATTCACCTTTTGTTCTCCTTCAAAATAGCCCTCTTGTCCGGAAAACTTCTCAGCAACAGCAACCTCTACTACAGACCCCGCAGCCTGTTCAACTTTCATAAGTCGAGGAACGACGAACCTCAGCAAGGGCAGCAACCACGTCACAATCCTGGCCATGATCTGGAGGTGGTGCGGGACATGTGGCTGACGAAAAGCTCGCGAATCGAGCAGATCGAGAGGATCTACAGCCACCGCACGAATGGCTTCGGTGTCTTTCTTCTGTTATTCTGGTGAGCATCGAGAGGAATGCAACGATGTCAGCTCGTGACTTACTGCCTTGAGTCGTCGGTTGAGCTCATACATCACCATGATGGTAACTAGTTTACTAGTTCCATATCTCTGGAAGCCTCTCCCTGTTTCTTCGCCTTGTTTGTCTGGTTGCGGATGCACCAACAAGTCCAGCTCTTCCGGTATCTGGGTTGGATAGCCTCTGGAGAGGCTCGCTTTCTCCGGCCAGTGCGCCACACTACCCAGGAACACGATACGTCCATGCACATTATCCATTCCACTTAGAAGTCTAAGGCATAGGGAGAAGTGCGCCAGATAATTTACCGCGATTGAAGCTTCATACCCATCGCTCGTGTACTTGGGTCCCCCGGATAAGTTCCAGGTCATTGCATTGCAAATTACAGAGCTTAGGCGTGGTAGAGCCTTATCGTTGATTTCGGAGAGTATTGTATCGCTGAAGACACGGACCTGTTCTAGCGATGCAAGGTCGAGGACACGGATGGACACGTGTGCATCCGGTTGTTGAGCCAGAATACGGCGAAGCTCTGCTGTGTTGTGATCTTTTACAGAATCGTTCCGTACTGTGAGAACAAGGGAGTGTTGAGGGTATGCTCTCAAGAGATACTCGACAGCAGGGATGGCTAGCGAGCCGTTTGCGCCAGTGATAAGTATAGTGCTCGCCATAGTGACGAATATAGAAGGTAAGGCCCCGTCAAGTAAGTTTCACCGACGAGATGCGCAGGAGTGACAATGCAAAAATGAAGCGACAAGCTACCAGCTACCTTCACTATTCGACCACCTCGGTACCTCCTACCAGTTGAGTCCACCTACTTCAAGTTGTCAGCCTAACCTTGGCATGCACCACCATCTCCGGAAACCCCGCTAAATCCGAGATATGATACGTGTTGCGTGCATGTCGACGAACTCATGAGCAGATTTCTAGTTTGCGGTAAGCGCGGTAGCCCTGGAATCGCACACAGCCTCAAGACAAGGCGAAGCATGGTTGCGGCACAGGTCGAGGGGTACTTTGCTTCCCCGCATTCTCTGGTCACGTCTCTCTCCAACCTCGCTTCAACTCTCTCGCCAGCTTTATCTAGTTATCTTTGCAGTCGAAACATCTCGCTTTGTTTCACTGGCACAAAAATACAGAATACTTTTCGTTTCAACGCACATCCCGAAGAATCCGTCACGTGCGGAAATCATCGTAGATCCTGCTGTACAAGTTTAGCGACAACAAACGCCCTGCATCTTGCATAAATTGTGATTCTTGAAATTCCGTCAGCATGGACAACAACTTAACAGGATGTAATGATAAATGGCTGCGCCAATCATCGCCTTACTCAAATCACATACGGGTCGTCAGCGAAAGATGGCACAGCGCATGGACAGAGCTAACCGTATACCCTGTTGGTGCAAGAGACACCAAAGAGGATCATATCAGCTCTTCGATACAAGCACTGTTTTCAAGGCGAATATGGGCTTTAATCGATATACCTGTCATACACGACTACCAATACGCTCCAAGACCCTGAGAAACGTATTCTCGAAATCATCGAGCACGTACCCCCAACACATAAGCCTCTCGCCCCCGGAGAGATTCGTTTGATGCAGTTCGAACAATCGCGTTGTAATGAACCGATTCGGATCAGCCTGACCAATATATCTCTCGAAAAGGCCGGTGATGATTACAGTGCCATTTCCTATTTCTGGGGCGAACCCAATATACTACATTAGGAAAGATAAGACATCGTTACTCGCTATGACAAAGGAAAAAAGGCTGTAAATAAAATGAAAGAAGGCGTGTCAAGGCGATATACCAATACACTTTCCGGCGTACCAATTCACTCAAAAGTACACAGCAATCGACAGTTGAAATCCGACCTGCTACATTGGGAAAGAGGAGATAACAAAGCTTATCGTGGGATACGAAGTAAACTCTGTATCAAGGTGAGTAGAAAAGTCCCAAGTCGACACCACTGTACCTCCCAACACGCCTATTCACCCTCCTAGCCGCGAGAATCAACACTTGAACCAATACATGCCGCTTTAGGTAATAGAACCTAATGAACTTAAAATGGTAGAGAAGGCATGTGAAGCGTTGGGCAAAGGAAGTAGTAAAGGAGAATTTACCAGGTAACATACATCAGTACCCTACCTACCCATGCCCCGATGAGCCAATTCACTATAAAATGTGCAGGAATCGACAGATGAACATTTACCTGCCGCTTTAGGAAATAGGGTACAGCAGAATAAAGTGCTGGCATGGATAAAAGCAAAGGAAGGGTGGGTGTAGGTCACGATGGTGAAGGTTTGGGGCGTGGGCGGGTACGCCCCTAACAGTGAATCATTCACCTTCTAGGTCGCTGCAATCGACGCTCTAAAGCATACCTACCGCTTTAGGCAAAGAACTCTACATACCTCAAATGCGATTTTTTAAGGGAAATCTTTGTGCGGGACAATAGTGAGAATAGAATGCGGAGGTGAAGGGTTGGGTAGGTACAGGGACGCAGGATTAGCCAGTTCATTCACCCAAAACACTACGGGAATCGACACTTTACGACGTACCTACTACTTTAGGCAAGTAGTCCTTCCAAACTTCATTTGCCAAAAATTGCGAAAGAGGAGACCTCGTGCGGGAATGCGTGAGGGTAGAAAGCGAGGTGAAAGTTTGGTAAGCATCAACGGCCAGCTCCTTCACCCAAAACATTGCAGGAATCGGCACTTTATAGCGTACCTACCGCTTTAGGCAAGTCTATATAGCAAACCTCAATTGCGCATATTACAGGGTGAGTTTTACGAGCGAAAGTGTGTAAGTAAGAAGCGTTTGAAGGAGAAGGTCTGGGTGCGTTGCAGGGACGTACTCGTGGGCGGTCATTCACTCAAAAGTCTGCCGCAATCGACACTTATAAGCCATACCTACCGTTTTAGGTAGTATGTTTTAAATAAATGTCACGAAATGGGAGGTATTGCAGTGCAGCGAGAAAGGAAGGATAGAAGTGAAGGTGAGGGTCTAGGTATGCTCACAGGCGAGCCTTTCACCCTAAACATTACAGTTATCCACGCTTTTCAGCTTCTACCTACCGCTTTAGGAAGTTCGGTTTCGCAAAATTTAGATTTCGCGATAATTTTAAGGGCATAGAAAGGGTAGGTAAAGGAGAGTGATGGTTAAGGCTTAGGTAGGCACCTAACCTGGGCCTTTCACTTATAACACTACAGAAATCGACACTTCAAGGCTTCTACCTACCGCTTTAGGGATCATAGCATAATCCACTTCAAACTTTTGATACGGAGAACATAGTAGGGGAGGTAACCATAGGAAGGGTTAGGTGAAGGTTTTGGTAAGCTCCTGCGTCGATTAATTCACTGTAAACAATGCAGCAATCAATAGGTAATGATTCTTGCCTAAAGAGGAAACACCGCTCTACAAACTTCATTTTCATGCAAACTTCATTTTAATCATATATGTGGAATGCGAAGTTGCTGGCGTAGAGGTGCGGACTAGTGAAGCGACGCGCACTTTTGCGATGCTACACAAACACCCTCCGCAGCCACCAAGGTCTATTCACTAAAAATATTACAGCAATCAACGGAAATTCATTCTTAAGAAGAAGAGAAATATTTGCCCTACAAACTTCATAGTGAGAGGGCAAGTTGAACGCGAGGTTGTTGGTGTGCAGACGTAGGTAAGTGAAGTAGTTCTCTCTTTCGCAATACAGCGTAGAAACCGGTACATGCAACCACGGCTGGTGGTTCTCCTCGGTCGCAAATTTTCTTTGTCAATGTATCATTTGAAGACTTTTGGATGCGGTAGTTTTGGGGGCAGTGCCTCGGGTCGACTGCATCATGTGCAACCACGGCACGCCAATGCGCTCTAAATCTTGCAGCAGTTGACAGGTGCAATTTTCTACCCAAACTTGCGATGAGGAAAGGCAAGTTTGATTATGGTTTAGGAAGCAAAGAGCGACGTCTGGACGTTGTTGGCGTGCGAGTGTAGGCAGGTGACAGGATTGTGAGGACGGTCGCTAGAGGTACACAAAACCCTTCACCACAATGCGTACGTTGGCCCAGAATATTACAGCGCTTAATATGTGCATGCGTTTATCTAGAAAGGAAAACAAGATTTGAAATTGCATATTGCAAATAATAGCAGAGACGGTAATAGCGCTACTTTGAAGCCGTCCGGAAATGAAGGTGTAGCTAAGGTCGGACTGTTTCACTCACGGGCTTCTACCGCGACGCGCTTGTTCACCCTAAAGATTGCAGTAATCAATGGGGTTTTACTCTTTCCAATTATGGAAAGATCTTTTTCGATCTTCGTAGCGGCAGCGCATGCAAGACCCCAGGACTGTGGCCGGCGTGCAGCTGTGCGTAGCTGAAAACGGGGATCTAAGTCGGTGCTAGTTGGCTTCACTTTTGTCACAGGCCTTTCCAAGGTTACTACCACACGCTTGTTCACCCTAAAAATCGCAGTAACCTACGACTTCGTATAGTTGCCTGATATGGAAGGAAACGACTATTAGTGCGTTTTGCTGTAATGTGCATGGTGTAGACCGTGACATGGGTTGAACGAAACCTCCAAGGCCTTCGCCGCTACTGGCGCTTCGCCCTAAAGATCGCAGCAACCCACATTCATCTGCAATTGCCTGATTCGGAAGCAAAAGGACCATCAATTTATCTTGCTTTGATAGTGAAGTAAGACGCAAGGCTGTAGACAGGCAAGCAACTGGCGAATAGGTAAGCAGCGATGAAAGGGTCGGAGCTTAGGTGTATTCACCCTAAAGATGGCTGCAATCAACAGAACCCCAATATTACCCAATCCGGCAATTGCACTCAGCAGACCTCATCACCCGAAGCAAAAACAAATAATAGGAAAGTCGTTGGGAAGACAGTTGTAGGCGGACTATATCGCTCCTGTACCTAGACGTGCCCGTCAATGTTGATCTCCCGCCAGCAACGAATCCACGTCTCCTCAGCTCGCGAAAAGAAAAAGCGAAAAAAGTTGGCGAAAAGCAACATGTCAACATGATATCCAACAAATAGGGTGTGGTATACCAACACCTATGGAAGCCTCATCTTGGCTACATCATTAAATTACAAAGAAATATGGTCCGCGGACTCTCGCCGTGCGTCACGTTTGCGCAGGAAGGGCGTGCAAGCGGCTTGGGTGGTGTGCACTGGCCGGCCCCAGCAGATGAAGTAGTCATATTGAAGTAATGTTGTAACGGTGTCCTCATAAAAGGCGTGTCTTTTTCACTTTCGATACGCAGATACAGAGATCCTGAAACCGTGCACAAGAAGAAGGGTGGTTACTGCAATTCCAGGCAAGATGACATCACACGCACGCCAAGACGCTAGAGACAAGGCGGGGACAGGGTGGTTGACAACGAAGGCGGAGTGGTACGGCGCAACGACGCAACGACATGTGCGCTTTGATGAAATTGATGGGGAAGTGAAAGTAAAGCATGAAGATGGCGATATCGATGTCGTTGACTATAATGCCTTGCTTGGATGGGACGAGCTGTGTAAGTCTGACCCACTACCCGCACTGGTCCCTGACTGTAACTACCAGGAAACATGCTAATTCAAGCGTTACAGTGCCGTGGCAGCAAGACAACGAGTTCATACTAACAAGCCACCGACGAGCGACGAACTCATACTTGCGTTCTCTGAAAAGTGTGTTCCGTGTGCACAACGAGACGGTGAATATCTGGTCACACGTTATGGGTGTTGCCATCTTCTTCTGCGCAGCAGTATTGCTATATCTTAGAAGAAATAGTAAAGGTCATCTTGATGGTCGCTACAGCATGAATGCGGATGATATGGCTGTGGGAATTTACTTCCTCTCGGTCATAACATGTTTTTTCTTTTCCTTCATGTGAGTATCCTTTGCTCTACGCAAGACTGCATGCTAATAGCGATGCAGTTACCACATATTCCTCGACCATAGCGAGTGCACGCGTACGTGGACTTGTCGGTTCGACTACCTTGGTATTGTCATTCCTCTCTGGGGCACGACGGTGTCCAGTACGCACTTTGGATTCTACTGCGAACCTGGATTACAAAATGCGTACGCCATCATCGGTACATTCGCGGGCCTGGCGTGCGCTGTCACTACCCTACATCCATCATTTGCCGGCCCGGCGTCGAGAAGGTTCCGTACCGGAATGTATGTCTTCCTTGGCCTTTCTTCTTTCTTGCCCATCATCTACGGAATCCTACTCTTTGGCTTGGATGCAATGAACAAGAGGATGAGCTTGTGGTGTTATGTTGCCTTGGGGCTTTTGCATGGCTCGGGAGCGACGTTGTATGCAAGCAGAGTGCCTGAGAGATGGTGGCCTGGGCGCTGTGATGTTGTTGGTAGTAGCCACCAGGTCATGCATGTGCTGGTTGTTTTGGGCGCGGCGGTGTATGCGGCTGGTGTGCTCAGGGCGAGGGAGTACTGGACGGGTGTCAGTTGTGTGACGCTGCATTGAGGTATGTAAGTTGTGTCGCGTTGAACACGAACCATCAGCAGATACAACGAAACTCATTACCAATATTCTAATAAATTCGTAGATCTCCACATGAGCGACAACAAGGCAAGGTCAGAGGTTGAGTTTTTCCCATACGCCATATCCGGGTATAGGATTGCACACCCACTTGGATCCATCTGCCCACCGGAGCTGCGAGCCTTTTTTTTTTAAGTATTTGTTAATATAATGCCAGCTGCTAAATCCGCTTGAGCCAGATGCACGATAGTAAGAGTGACTTCCGTAGCTAAAGTCTGGTATGGAAGACCCCTGGTAGGATTGTGTCTGGTAGGAGATTTCCTGGGATCTCCGCGGTGAGGCTCAACAGGCCTACATCTACTATTACGGACGGTGCCCACGTACAATATTTTCCTAATCGCTCGGAGATACTCCACATCCAATATGTGGAACGCCGACAACGACTGTTTTTCGCTTTTTCCGGTCTTCTCGCTCCGATATCGCGACGTCAGCGGATCTGATCCACACGTTGGGTTCCAATTCACAAGATATAACCGAGTATTCGATCATGTCTCCAGCATGTTCACTAAAAAGCATCTACCAAGTGTCGAAGAACCTTGGCGTGTGAAGGAACGAGTACAGGTAGACCTACCAGCCGCGGTGACGTTTCCCCAGACTTCTGGGCGCAGTGGCAGCGATATAAGTCTTTACATCGCGCATATCCTTTCAGGAGCCGTACTCCGAGCACATGGTCTGGCCGCAGCAAGCCTGCAGTCATGCAAGATAAGCCAGTGATCTCGCCGTTGATTGGCTCAAACATGTCTCATAAGTAGTCAGTTTCGAGGCAGGTACTGATCCCCAACGAGAAACGCGATCTATAGCCAATTTTTGGATGCGTCAGAGTTATGCGAAGAGGGAATACCTTCTGCCTGGTAGTGCAAACGGTCGTAATGAGCTGCTGCTTATCATCAGGTCTCCACTGACACATGGTAATCTCAACAACATCCGGGCACCCGTCACCTTTCCGAACAACCAGTCAAGCAACTCTACAACTCTCATCTGATGACGAGGCTCTAAAGTGAAAGTGTATAGTAATGTTGTTTGAGCAACACGTGGTCTTGTAAACGCCAAGTGCCGGGATTCTTCGGGGCGCCAAAACATCCAGTTGTGAAAGTTGAAAAGTACGGGCGACACAGCTATCTGTCACACACTGACCGCGGAAAAGCAGCAATTCATATTATCTCCAGATGTTCTGATAAGCACCCTTGTTGTGTTCGACCGCAGCAAGCCTAGTCTCTCGTCTGTCAGCGCCAAGAGATAAGAGAACGCCATTGCCGTCCCCCACCATCCCGCGTCAAACTTCAGCCCCAGCAACGCAACCTCTTGCATCAACACTCAATCAATATTCAGCCTTTCTTGTAGCACTTTAGCCAGTCCGCTATGAGATTTCATTCGCTACGAGGGCATGTGGATCGCAAATTGACGCCTCAGCGCTGATCGGAGACGTCTTGCTTGCCGCGGTTCGACCACGCTTTCTCCAAAACGTCCGCGGTTGAGACTGCCGGGGTCGTCAACGCAGATAACAACTCGCCAGTAATACCGCATACAGGGTCAGATCAGTGTGATTTCCCTTGGCCTGGAGAACCATTTGCGCCACAGGCTTGCGGTTGCCGTCGCCGTGCGTCACTGTGCTTCACCGCGGAAGTATCCATCTCAGGAGTCTGTACTCCAATCTATATAACGTCCTGGCTTCTATCTGCAGTCTTGCGGTCAGCAAGCGATATAATTCCTCTCATCGTGTCCGTGAAACCTCACCAGTCGGCCACATTTGTCTAATATTCACCAGGGCTCGCTGCACAGTTGGAGCACGAAAATCCGGACTTTAGTCATGCCGTTCGCTATCAGTATGCTCTGGTCGGCACCAGAGCTCAATCCATACAACAAAAAGGCCAGATCCATTCCTGTTCTGAACCCTATCAACAAATATGGACGAGTGTTCCTCTTCTCCTGGTTGGGCTTCTTCATTGCCTTTTGGTCATGGTAAGTCTATTGTCAACAAGTGGGTCAGCCCTCCCGCAGCATGCTGACGATGTACAGGTACGCGTTTCCGCCTCTGGTATGGCCACCCATCTCGAGCGCCACTATATAGAGTTCCCCCAACTGACGTCTCCACAGCTGAGTAAAAGTATCAAGGCGGACATGCACCTTTCCCAGGATCAGATCGCAAACTCCAACATCGTTGCTCTATGCGCCACACTATTGGTCCGCTTCATTGCAGGGCCCATGTGCGATCACTTTGGCCCTCGCATCACTTTCGCGTCGTTGTTGTTTGCTGGTGCCATCCCTACTGCTCTTGCAGGCACTGCGCACAACGCAACAGGCCTATATTTCATTCGATTTTTCGTCGGCATTCTTGGAGGTACCTTCGTGCCCTGTCAGGTCTGGACTACTGGATTTTATGACAAAAACGTTGTTGGCTCGGCCAATGCTTTGGTCGGTGGCTGGGGCAACTCTGGTGGTGGTATCACATAGTGAGTCAATTACAATCTGTGTATTGCCCCCTAGCTAACATACTCAGCTTTGTCATGCCTGCTATCTATGACTCTTTGAAGTCTAATCAAGGCCTCTCTTCGCACGTCGCATGGCGTGTGTCCTTCATCGTTCCCTTCATCATGATCAGCGCGTGTGCGCTCGCTCTCCTACTCTTGACCGAAGATACACCCACCGGAAAGTGGTCGGAACGCGGTGTTACCGTCGTTAGCGGTGACCGGCCAAACCAAACCGGCCAGTCCGTCGTTCCTACTACAGGTGCTTTGGATGACAAGCCCCCGACTGCCGCCTCTCTCTCTTCCAACGACGAAAAGAAGTATGAAACCCCCGCTAAGCCTGATACAGATGTTGAAACCGCCCATGGTGATGTGCAGATCATGGACGAAGTTCAACACGAAGTCGTTGTCAAGCCTAGCTTTAAGGAAGGTTTGAAGGTTATGTTCTCCCTCCAAACCGGCGCGCTTTGTGCAGGATACTTCTGCTCATTCGGTGGAGAGCTAGCTATCAACTCTATCCTTGGCGCCTACTATCTCAAGAACTTCCCTTATCTCGGACAGACACAGTCCGGTCGTTGGGCTGCCATGTTTGGTCTTTTAAACGTCATTACGCGCCCCCTTGGTGGCTTCATTGCTGATATTCTTTACCAAGCCACTGGCCACAGCTTGTGGGCCAAGAAGCTCTGGATCAACTTCGTTGGAATCATGACTGGTGTCATGTGCATCATCATTGGCAAGCTGGACCCTCACAATTTGCCTGAGATGATTGGACTTATTGCTCTCATGGCGATCTTCCTCGAGGCTGGCAACGGTGCCAATTTTGCTTTGGTGCCACACGTCCACCCTCACGCTAATGGTAAGCATCCTCATATTGCATGTGTCACGATGGCCAATCACTAACTTTCCCAAGGTGTCCTTTCCGGAATTGTCGGTGCAACTGGAAACTTTGGCGGCATCATCTTCGCCATCATCTTTCGTTACCACAAGACGAACTATTCTCAGGTGTTCTGGATTATTGGTATAATGATAATCGCGCTGAACTGCGCTTTCATCTGGGTCAGACCTATCCCGAAGAACCAGATTGGTGGCCGCTAAGGAGGCTTTTGGATTCTGTTATTTTAGCGTTGCGATGCACACGATACCTCTGCGTGGTTTGGGCTGCTTTGTTCTGCAAAATGAAAGTTTTTGATACCCACTTGAGATTGTCTTTCTCATTTCGTAATTCTGAACGTACTCTGGTGCATTCTGGTATTACTTACAGTCATTCAATGCACCAGTGCTATGCTCTGCAGGTGACTTTTTCTCGCACTTGTGCAAACGCAAGTCTGCTAAATTATGGCCTATTGCGTCAGGACTCCACTATGATGCAGGCCTGTTGCTAGACACTACTACAAAACCACGTCTTCTCCGTACTGGTTTGCGCACCAGCTGACGGTCGCGATATAGATAAATTTGGTTGACCCGAGGGTGTTCGATAACTCTAAATTATTGTTGGCTTCTGTGTAATGGTACGGTTCAACTCCACATGAGTACCATGGTTGCTTAATGACTCTGGGGGCCTTGTTATAATGTGATGACTTTGGTTTTAACCACGCCTTCTACTTCTGCCCATTCCCTACATGTACTCTTCACTCGATTTCGTGCGCCAGATTACAACTACGGAAAACATGACGGAACCGCCGCCGACCTTGCTCACACTCCCGCGAGAGCTCCGAGACCAAATCTTCAGTTACCTTTACCACGAGAAGCGCTTCAAATGGGCAGGGGAGTCCCCTGATAATCCGTCATATTTTGATCTATGTTCATTGGCGCTCTGGTCTCATCACGCCAAAATCTACCTGCACAACAGCCCGCAATTGAGTGTACTGCTCACCCATTCCCAGCTATATGCCGAGCACATGCCGGACCTTGCCGTATCGATATACCCCAACATTTCTTATCGCGGAATGTGGCCTGTGATACAAATGCATCCATGCAATCCCAAAAATGCTATAATCGAGGCCTTTCTGCGCCAAGCTAAAGTCATATCATTGTTCTTCCGAGTTCGCGATCAAGAGTCCTGGAAGTCATCCCATGAGCTTGTCAACGCCTTCAGCAATATCGCGCTGGAGATGAAAATCCTGCGTATCAGCACGCAAATTGCGTATACGCATAGTCTGGAGTCTGTTATGGGTAATGAAGATATCGACTTGAAGAAGATGAAGCAACTAGGTCCGCCATTCATCACTCCGTTGCCCAAGTTGACCGATCTTCCTCTTGCGCAGCATTGCAGAGCTTATCGCATCCAACCCTATATGAATTGGAATTTTCCGTTGCCTTGGGAAATATTAGCAGGTCACTGTGAAATTGATCTCATGAGTGTCAGCATGTCAGTATATGGGCGCGAGGTGACCGCCAAGCACAAGTGGACAACACAAGGATGTTTGGACGCTTTGCCGCTACCGCTAGAAGAAAGCCTCAACGTCGAGAATTTCACTCATCATGGCTGGTCTCCGGAAGTGGCGGAAAGATTGTGCAGGTATCCTTTGGAGATGCTTGAGTGGGAAGAAGTGGATATCAAGGAGTCGAAGAAATAATGAAGAGGCAAATGCGCTGTTCCGAAATTAGGCACATACTGGAACTCGAAGCTTGTTCCGAATTTGGGTTATGCACTTGCTGCAGTCTTGACGGAGAAGATGGATGGCTACTGCGGAGTTGGTGTGGGATAGCATACTAAACCCACATATCTACCTTTGTTATTCTCGTTCTACAGATCGTACCTTGAAAGTTTGAATTCTACTGCTATATTCTCACCTTAATTAGTAGGTAAGAATCGCCTATTGATTCTTGCAATGTTCTGAGGCGATGATCTCGTCGTGATTAGATACGGTTCTAGTAACGTTTTATGTGAATAGCCCTTCTTGTCAGGTGCATTTTCTATAAGCTTTAGAGTGAAGGTTCTTCTTTATTATAGTAGTAGTAAACCTACCTTTACTTCTCTTTCTACCTATCGGATTAGTCTGGCTTGCTCAAATCTGCCCCTTGAATATCCAGAGATGTCAACAAGCAAGTCAAGCTGGCTTGATTCTTATCGATTGCAGATCACAGACAATATAGAGGCTCGTGCACAGTGGCACGTCCCAGAGAATGGTCTGTGATCTGCAATCGATAAGAATCAAGCCAGCTTGACTTGCTTGTTGACATCTCTGTGAATATCCATGCATCTACTACCTGCTCCCTCTACTGCCTAATCAGGTAATTCACATCTCTTCCATTGATTACTGCAAACTTCTAGGTGAATGTACCCCCCTCAAAGATTCTTACGTAATCTATGTCTTGGCTCTATTTTTACTCCTCTGCAAAGCCCTACCAGCACATTTGAAGTTATTTATTAGAGAATAATATAGTAAATCTCTTCCTATTACCTAAATAGGCAATTCCCTTTGTTTTCTGTTGATTTCGGTAATGTTTTTGGTGAATTGACCCTCAATTCCTAGCCTTCGTCCCCTCCCGGACAGCCACCTTCTCTGTCCGCTTACCATCCCCTAACCAAGGCCTACAGAAACAACCATTCGGAACAATACCCTCATACTACCTAAATAGGCAACTCTGATTGTTCCATTGATTTCGGCAATGTTTTGGGTGAATTGACCCTCGATTCCTGGCCTCTCTCCTGTCCCTCACACCCCCTCCTCCCGTTCAGCCCCCTTCCCTTCCTACCCTCACCCTCCACCAAGTCTTACGCAAATGCTTAACTAATATACCCCCCTCCGACTACCCAACTAGGCAACTCTGATTATTTCCATCGATTTTAGCAATGTTTTTGGTGAATTGATCCGCCCTCACAGCCTCCCTCACGACCCCTTCTCTCCCCCAAGGCTCACATGTGCGCATACCTATCAAATATGACTTCTTTCGACCACCTAACTAGGTAAGTACATATGTATCCATCGATGACTGCAGTGTTTACAGTGAATTGACATTCCCTAACAGCCTCCTCCTCCTCCTCCACCCTACCTATCGTCTCAACTCTACATCCAGATACACGCTCAACATACCCTATTCTACTACCCAAATAGGAAAGTATTGAATTTTCCATAGATGACTGCAAACTTCTGGGTGAATAGGCCACTCCCCAGACATATCCCCTATTATCACCACCCACCACCCCTTCCTCCACCTACATCTGCACCCTTACCTACCTTTACAGCACCCTGTGCTGCGGAAAGCGTAGTCCCTAGGCTTTTAATTCACTATATTGAGTACAGTGTTCAACAGTAAGAAGATATTGCCTAATCTAGTTTCCTTCCGTGTGAGATGAGATGGTTCTGCGCTTTGAACCTTCAGCGAAGAGATCGCATATTGGTGACAAAGACGGTCGATGGGCACGTTTCCATGTAAACTTGGTAAGGTGAACATGTTGAAACGCGGTATACGAGAACAAACAGAGAACTATGTATCGGCACGGTAATGATATACTTGTATCAATGATTCTTTGGTGGCCCAAGCCGTATACTGCTCATTCACGTCATTCATTCAGAACATACATGCAAAAACAAACACTGCCGCAACCCATGACGCGTACAATCCTTTGCCGTTTCCACAACAATGCAGTAAACCACCCCTGGGACCGTTTTCTATCTGCCTGGTACGCGATGGCAATTTCCAAGAGGGCAGCAGGTTTCAAGGAACTGGTATGCATGATAAGGATAGATGGAAAAACAGAGAGAAAAAGAACACACACAACGACACCAAGAAGAGAGAAATACACGGAGCACTAGTAGTAGCTGTAAGTGCCCGCAAGCCGAGAAAACACCGAGGTTTGATGGGGAAAGGTCAAGGTGTAATGTGAAAAGTTGCATGGTCGCGGGCTTTTCGACGGGTACTAAAGACCAGGATTTGCCGCGGCCCAGTTCAAGTAGTTGTAGACGAGGAGAAGAGGCATATTCGTATCTCTTTTTTCGATTACGGTTCTTAAAAGTCGGGAAACAGGTGTCCGTGGCTATTCGGGCACGTCAGAATGTGATCTACAGTATAAGGAGGAGCCTGCACGCACGGGTCGTCCCCTGCCTGACCGTATGCCTCCGTCTCTTCCGGATACTTATCAAACTGACTGGCATCACCAACACCGGCTCGCACGGGTGGCACATAGGGTGCATCAATGTCCTTCTTTTGTAGCCGATCCCAAGTTACTTCGGCAAACCATGGATGGTTCATAACGTCCTTGCTGCCGCCGTGCAAATTGCCCAGTCGCTTGGTAAGGTCCGGCGTGATGAGCTTTTGTAGGAGGTCGTGCGCGTCGGGGTGGATGTATGGCGGGTACTTGACTCTCGACTTTAGAATGTTTTCGTATATCTTCATGGGCGAGCCACCGTCCCAGAAAGGAGTGAAACCACACAACATTTCGAAGATGAGGATACCAAGTGACCACCTGGCGTTGTTAGTATAGCTCCAATGTCATTGGGCAGATGAGACGCACCAATCTACGGATTTGTTGTAGCCCTTTGAGGCTACGACCTCAGGCGCCAAGTAGTCCGGGGTACCACAGAGGGTCCATGTAATGTCTGGGACTTCTTTGGCAAACCCAAAGTCGGTGATTTTGAGATGTCCATGGCGGTCTAGAAGCAGGTTCTCAGGCTTCAAGTCGCGATAGATGATATTGTGCGAGTGCAGGTAGTCGAGCGCAAGCGTGACCTCGGCGGCGTAGAACTTTGCGACGGGGTTGGGAAAGCGCTATGAGGGGTGTTAGCTGCGGCAGGCATGGGAAAACAAAAAAGGAAGGAACGCACCTGGGACTTTCGCAGCAAACTGAAGAGCTCGCCTCCTTCTACAAAGTCCATGACCATGTAGAGATTCTTTGAATCTTGAAAGGTTCCCCACAGGGTGATGAGGAACGGATGCTTGACCTGCTGGAGCATGCGCCGTTCATCATTCGTGTGCTCGACTTGCTTCATCTTGACCACCTGGGCCTTCTTCAGCACCTTGACGGCGTAGAAGCGCTGATTGTGCTTGGACTGGACTAGATGAACTCGGCCAAAGCTGCCAGTGCCGAGGGTGCGCTGGATGGTGAAGTCGGTGAGCGAGTACTTTCCCTTTGTCACGCGCGCCTGGTTGAGCGGCTGCGTCTGGAACTGCACGACGCCATTCTTAGCAGGTGACTGGGGCGAGGTGGCATTGTTGGGGTGTATTAGATTCTGTATGCTGGGCGTGTTGTGCGAGGACTGCGGATTGGACTGCGGACTCGCGCCATGTTGGTGTTGCTGCTGCGATTGCTGCTGCTGTTGCGCATAGGCGGGGTTCATTGAATCGGCCGGCTTGGATTGGGCGGCAGGCGCAGCCGGGGCCGTGGTGTTGGTGGTCGTGTTGGTGAGCGACTCGTTGGTCTTTGTCTTGTGAAGATGGAACGAGCCCGACTTGCGCGACGTCGTGGGCGTGATGGGCGTGGCTGTGTCTTTGATGGGCGAAGTCGGCGAATCCAGGTCTCTGGAGCCGTTCGAGTCCTTCGTCCGCTTCTTCTTGAGGAAGCCCAGGGTAGGCATTGGAGGGGCTTTTTGGAGGAATGCGGCGGCGACCCTCCTGCACGCAGCTCGGGCGATCTCAGCAGCAGCAGCAGTAGCAGTAGCAGTAGCAGTAGCAGTAGCAGTAGCAGTAGCAGCAAGCAGCTAGGAATGCGCGGGTGATTTGGGGGCGATGGGGCGGCGCGGCAGCAATTGGGGCGCTCAAGTGTCACTATGAATGTGCGCACATGGGCTGCAAGGGCTAAGGATGGACGTTGGTCAACAGGTGTTTGCGGCGTCGTCAGGCAAGCTTCAAGAGCCTGGCCTAGTGAGGGGAGGTTGGCGCTGCTAGTTCAGTTGGGTAGCGGACGTGAGGCTGGTGGGGAAGAAGCTACCTACCTTGCAGTGGGTGGCACCGGGCCATCACGCCTGCGGCCGTCAAAGAACCATGTTTCAGCGCCGCAGCACCATGTTTGCTTGTGTGAGCGCCTGCAGAGCTCAGTGCTCATTCCGCCGCGTGTTTGCCAAGCGCCTGTCCAACTTTGCATTTATTTTCTTCCTTTAATACCCTCCTGTCCGCCGCATATGCGGGAGCATGAACCATGGTGAACCAAGCCATGTTGCGTCATGCGTACCCGTCTCGGCTCAGCTTCGAGGAACAGGTAGCCCGAGTCCAAGCCCGTCATGTTATACCCAACCTGCCTATACTCCGAACAGCCTGGTCTCGGCCTTTTAATCACCGCCAAGCACATTACTCCCAGTGAACCCATGTAAGTACCGGTACAAAGACGCCAAGAAGACTCATTACATAAACACAAACTTAGATATCAACAGGACATTATACATTGCTTCATCAAGGGACAGAGTGGCAGCTTCGTCGTTTCATAGCTCGCCAGCCACCGCTTTCGTTTCATCCGCCCCACCGGATACCGCTATCGGTTGGTACGTCTCGAGGTCAAGGCCGCATACTTCCATCCGCTGCTGGCGAAATCTCTCGTACAGCTTGCTCCATGCCTCTTGCGCTTCCTCGTTCTTCGGCCGTAGCTTGGCGCGTTCGGCAAAGGGCACATCGTACTCTGGTCCGGGCAACTCAGGGTCGGATAACTTCACAAACGTCGTGGCCTTCTCAAAGGCAGTCGCGTTGAAACCATCTGTAGCATCGCGCAGCTTCTCTGACTCGTAGACGACGTTGCCCATTGACAGCGACCACTCGGATATGAGAGCATCTGGCACACTGAACGTCTTTCGGAACATGTTTAGGTCTGAAGTGGGCTTCGATGCGCGGAGTGTTCTGAGCTGGTTGTAGCTTTGCTGCGAGGGGTGAATCAGGAGCAACGACGTCGACATGTCCGTCCGCTCTGGCGTAGCTGGGTATGCGGCCATTGGCTCCGACTTTGAAAACGCAAGGAGCGAATCGAGTGCCGATGCATCGAGCAGAACACCCGGTCCCTGGAGGTATAGTATGCGCTCATAGTCGACAAGCGAATATAGAGTTGCCAGCGAGTAGGAAGAAGGCAATGTTTCTGATGTCGTTAGCAAGTGCGGATAGATCAGTCGGTCATTGACATGTTACCATCTGCGCCTTCTACTATAGGATCCATAGGTATGAGTCTTACAGCATACCGCCTTGCCGCGTTTCGCAGCAGTCGTCGTGTAGTCGACATCTCCGGGCTGTAGTGGTTGTCTTCTGTTGTAGCCAGCCATGATTTTGGGAACAGCAATATCCTCTTGGCCGGGCTCTTCATCTTATGCAAGTCGGACAGCAGCATGACGGCACTGCACAGTTCAACATGCTCGCGCACCACCTGCACATAGCCCAGCCTACTCCAGTCCATTGTCTGCCCCGCCAAGTACTGCGCAAATGTATCGTCAATCTCGGGCCGGCCGCCTACCGGTCGCGCCCATTTTGCATCCAAGGTGGGGGGTTCTATTGGCACCGGCGGCGGCAATGGCTTCGGTAATCGTGGTTTTATGGCGGCTTGCAGCGAATGCACATATCGTTGTTGCAGTACCCAACCCGAAAGGAAGAGGGCAAATGTGAATAGTAAGACTGTACCAAAGTTAGAAGATACGGGGACGCGTCATACTGAGGATCGACATACCAATTGCTGCAGACAGAATGACGGAGACCTGGCTGGAGGAGAGAAGTAATCTACCCATGACAAGATTGGAAGAGAGAAAAGGGCTAAATGGCAAAAGGGGTATCAAAAATATGCTATGAATATTGGGAGAAGCGAATGAAGAATACCAAGAACGACGAGCTCGTGCTGGGTTGCGTATGCCGTGGCCTGGTGTGACGTTCCATGTGCATACGGGTCTGGATGTTCACAGGGCTGCATCGTTCGTGCTGTCGAGCAGGCAACTATCGATAAGAAGCTAGACACCCTTGCTCAAATTATGTCGCAACCAGACACCCTTCACCTTCACAACTCCCATAAGTGCAATCCTACGATAAACACATAATCTAAGTCGCGACAAGCACAACACGACGAAGAATTACACCACATGTCAAAACCGGAATTTGACCGCGCCGACGCCAGCGCGCTCCTTGACGACCGAGGATACAGAGGCAAGCTCATTAGAGGCCAAAACCCTGCCCTCCTCTTCGAAAAAGGTGTACGTGAGCGCATCACCGAATCCTACTACTGGAAAGAGCAATGCTTCGGTCTGAACGCCGCAACCCTATGCGACCGCGCCGCAGAACTCAAGTTCATTGGTGGCACAACCGGCATCAACGGCAAACCAACCCCGTTCCTCTGCCTCGCCTTCAAGATGCTACAGCTCGTTCCCGATAAAGACATAATACTCGAATACCTCAACTTCCGTGACGATGACGACGACGAGGAACAAAAAGACCACGACACCGACGCGAACGCAGATGCAGAAAACGGACACATCTCAGACACCGACTCCACGACCGCCGCCGCAAAGAAAACGCTCGACCTAAACGCAAAAGGCAAACTTGGAAACTTCAAATACCTCCGCTGCCTCGCTGCCTTTTACATCCGCCTCGCCTGGGAACCCGTAGAAATCTACACGACACTCGAGCCGCTCCTCACAGACTACCGCAAGATCAAGCGCCGGCTCAAAGATGCCTTTACACTCACCTATATCGACCAGTTCGTCGATGATCTCTTGACCAAGGAACGCATCTGCGGCACTAGTCTGTGGAAGTTGCCGTCGAGGGCGAATCTGGAGGATCTGGATATGTTGGAACCGAGGGAGAGCCCGTTGGGGGATGAGGTTGAGGCATTGGATGAGGAGATGGAGAGGGTTAGTGTGGGGAGTGGGACGAGTTATGGGAGTCGGAGTCGGAGTCGGAGTTATGATAGCAGGAGGAGTAGGAGCTATGATAGTAGGAGTAGGAGCCGGGGGAGGAGCTATGATAGTAGGGAGAGGAGTAGAAGTAGGAGTCCGGGGGAGAGAAGTCGGAGTAGGACAAGGAGTCGGAGTCGTAGCCGCCGACGAGACTATAATGATGAGGAGTGATGATGGGCTTTTTTATTTTAGCGGCGCCCTTTCCTTTAGCGTGTTGGTGGGGAATGAAACATGTTATATACCCAGATCTTCATACTCACTTTTTTTTCTTGCAGAATACAAGCATATCAGGGAGTTGTGGGTAATGGCATGACTTTGACATGGCAGTACGCTATATTTATCAACTCTCCACCTATCAAGCCAAGTCACATACTGAGTATGCGCGCCAAGATCGCGCACACAATATGTCCCATATTGTTGAGAATATCTGAGTTCAGTCCAGGGTAGAAGGTGCTTGGGAGTCACATGATATGCTGGTGTGGCAGGCACTGCCCGGTGGGCAATAGCACCCACCACAACAGAGTGAGACTGCGACACTCAACACTCAACACGATAGTCAAGACAATACGTTGCAGCCACCCCGTTTTGTCCCTCCTCCCACTCGGTTATCCATAGTAGTCATACTACTAGAGGGACCTTGTTCCAATACATATTCTATATAGAAATCTATGTGTATCTTGTAAGTTGCGACTGGATCTTCGCCTTGAAATCAGAACGTGAGCTCTATGGGGCAGTTTCAACGTTGCGTATTGTGTGGTTGATTGTTTGAGTACGCTGGCTTTTTAGACGATAACATTGAATGAGTCCTACAACAATTATAAACTAATATATTCCTGCCCCCCCCCCTGTCTTTGATTCCTTCTCAGCACAATGTTGTGAGTTCTTGCCCGCTTGCTTGCGGTGGACAAGCCCGGTAAGTGCCCTGATATGTCCGCCGTATAACTTTGTCCATCTTTACGACAGCGTTTCCCATAGGATTCCCTTATTGTCTTGTTCCCTTTGATCCTTCCTGTTTTTCTCCAAAGTATCTTCTTATTCGAACAAGGTCCCTCTAGTAGTATGACTACTATGGATAACCGAGTGGGAGGAGGGACAAAACGGGGTGGCTGCAACGTATTGTCTTGACTATCGTGTTGAGTGTTGAGTGTCGCAGTCTCACTCTGTTGTGGTGGGTGCTATTGCCCACCGGGCAGTGCCTGCCACACCAGCATATCATGTGACTCCCAAGCACCTTCTACCCTGGATTGAACTCAGATATTCTCAACACTTTTACATGTTTGACTCGCTGCCCGCATTCTATTCTCGGATGCCCCACGCATACACATCATCCCCACGTTTTTCTGCCCAGATGATTCCCTTCTCCAGAATCCTGGCTGCCTTTTCATCTACTCCTAAAGCGATAATGAATTCATCTTCCGGGAGTGATCTCCATGAGCAGCAATCCTTGATATCCGATAGTTCAGCCCAGGGTATGTTGATTGTTTCCCTCGCAAAAACCCAGGCTCCAGGTACGTCTACATCAAATATTTGCCGACCAGGACCGGGATAGATCGAGGCTCGATATGAATATCCTTGTGCGCACTGGCGGAGGGGTAACCCGATAAGTTTGGCCGGTGGCGGAAGAAGGAACATATAGCTCGTAGCCGAAGCTAGAGTCCTGTCGTGCTCCTTCACTCCCTGTAAGGCTTCGTCTAATTCATCTTCAAGGTTGAAGTAATCTGCCCTGCCTGCAAGTATTCGCATGGTCGAGACATTTGACATGTATGGCTGAAAGGCGGTGGTGACTCCAAGAACAGAGGGCCAAAGGAACTCCGGGAAACGGGATCCAAACTCGCAAATCATGGTTATTTCGTGTGCCTTTCCGAGGGCTTTCTTCATGTAGTCCATATAATCCCCCTCGAGAAGCGTCGTGTCCAAGACATCACCCGCCTCGCTTCCGTACACGTGCATGTAAAATTCCATCCGCGGGTTCTTAAAGCATGCTGCCTCAAGATACTCATCGTGCATTTGTGAATTGGTCAGAAGTATATTGAGAATTAATGTATTCTCAAGAGTGGCGTCGTAACATATGTCGCCGATCGAGACGCTGGAATCGGATGTGTCCCGGGAACACCACATGCTGACTTGTACATCTACTTTTTCGTATAGGTAGCTGTAGATTTCGTCGCGGATCTCGCGTGGGATGGTGAGAAGATGTGGCGCCATGATTGTTAGACAGATAATTGGATGAAGGGAGTAGTGGCTGTTGGAGCACAACAACACGAGCGTTAATAACGGACCTCGGGATGTTAACTTAACGCGTGCACGTACAGACGAAGTGGGGAAGTATCCACCTCCATTTCCCAACAATAAGCCCGGACATACCTAGGTACTTACACACGCCTACCATGTACCAACTACCGCTGCAATAAAATAAATTGAATTTCCTGCGTCAGCGACATCGATTCTGCCTCGAAAACTGCGTATGCAAGCACACGCGGGTCCCTCCCATCGATCAGGCCTTATCACCACACTGCCCCGAAAGTATGGAAGGCGATGCAACCCCCAGAGCCCACCTTCTCGCGCTCCCACGTGAACTGCGAGACGAGATCTATACTTATCTCAGCCATGATCTGATTCTGGAAGAAGTCCCCAATGCGGGTGGCGTGCACGCGAAGATCTACAGAGCACCCATTCTCAACGTCCTGCTAGTGCATCCAATCCTCCACGAGGAGTACCTCGCTTCCGATATCTTCAAGCAGCTCACCATTACGATTCATCGAGAACTGCGACCATCAAAAGCTGCGTTGATGAAGGCGCAACTGGGGGGAGCCTTGGCACATGTTCGACATCTGGTATTCACAGCATACCCGGTCGAATGGGCATGGGTCTCTGGCTTCATCGATCACGTTCTTTACGATATGCCAAAGCTTTGCGCTCTCAGTGTTTTGTCTAAAAACCCGGGTGGCGGCCACATTGCTACAACTCCGCCACGGTCCTTGGCCGGACTTCCACTTGTACAGCGAGGTTTGGGTTCTCAATCAGAATATTATCGGGATAATAGTATCATGCCAGGTGGGTCTATGATACGCGGCCCAGAAAATAGCACACATCATGTGGTGAACGGCATAGGTTTCTACTTGTTTGCCCGGGACAGGATTGAGGATTATATGTGGACACGCTACAGGGTCCTACATGAGTTGGGACCTTACACTTACCAGTTATGGCGCAGGACTATGCTCACAGGGGGAAGGCCGATGGAGTGGGCAGGTATGTCATATGAAATTTCCGATTGCATTGAGCACGTTGGAGAAGACGCAAGGAATTGAAATGCAACATGCGAGTGGTGGGCGATAAAACGCTGCGAGCTCTTTGCAGGACAAATGTCAACAACATGGTCGTGTTCCCCATTTGTTCACTTGCTATTGAGGTCTTCATGGAATGAGAAGCGGGCTTTGGAAAATTTGTGGATGGGCACGCATCCGATAGAGAAGATGTAGGTCTGGTAGTTTGCGAAGCTAAGGCTGCGTCCTGGGCTTCAGTCAGCAACCATGACCGGTTCTTGGTCCCTAAAATATTCTGCCAGCCATACCGCCAATCTCTATCATAACTTTCCTAGTTCGGACCCTGTCTTTCAAAGACAGGAACTACGTCGGTCATTCAGCTCATGAGATTTATTGGCTTCCAGTCAGCATTGAACCAGCTGTTTGCAAGTCTCGGTATAGTGCTGACAGAACGTCAGCCTCGCGCTGAGTCCCACCCCGGTAACTGGAGTTCGGTATCCCCGATAAAGCCACACCTACAATCTTACTGTGTTGTTGATATCAGTGGCTGGAAACACGAGGCTATGCTGATGCAGGAACAAAGCACATGTCGCCTTACGAATAACCGCCCTTCGCTACCCTACCACAAATGCTTCCTGCATATAAAGCTATGAAACCAGCAAAAGCATCTTGAATCAAAGCAATTGTCTTTCTGTCTTATCTCAACATGTCTACACCTGCCCCATACCTTGATCCGCTGAACCAGGCTTTCGCCGACCAGCTAGCTAATCAGCCACCTCTCCAAGACTTGAGTGTCGAACAAGTCCGAAAGCTCCTAGATGACCTCCAAAAGCACACGCCCAACCCTAATGTCACTCGTACCAGCTTTACAGTGCCGTTCGAAAATGGAGTAAAGACATACGTCTTCCGTCCCAAAGGCGCCAAGGGAATTCTTCCGGTGATATTCTTCTTCCATGGAGGAGGTTGGACGAGTGGCAAGTAGGTATTCGCCTACTATTATTATTCAGTGATGGAGCTGACATTCTCCGAGTGTGAATACGCACGATAGCACATGTCGAGACCTGGCGTTGCAGACTGGCTGTGCTGTCGTTTTTCCAGAGTACACTCTCGCCCCCGAAGCCAGATACCCAACGCAACAGGAGGAGTGCTATGCTGTTGTGAAATGGGTACATAAACATGGAGAGAGTAAACTGCTGTCACAGAGCGTGTTCAGTATTGTCGGTGATAGCGCTGGAGGTTAGTAGTTGTCAATGGATCGGCCAATCCTCACACTGACTCTCAACACAGGCCAATTGACGGGCGCAGTCAGCATACTGTGCTCGACACGAAAGCCGTACATTCCCATTCGCTACCAAGTCATGATCAGCCCAGTCACAGATACCATCACGAGTGACCGGGACACCAAGAGCGAGTTCGATTTCTTCAACGGCCCATTCCTCACTGTACCATTCATGCGCAAGAGCGTTGAGGACTACATCCCCAACGCTGACGATCGCGTCAATGAACTTGCGACTCTTCGCAACATTTCTGTGGCGCATGCCAAGAAACAGCCGCCAACTCTCATTATCAACTCGGCAGCAGACCCGCTCCGGGATGACGGCATCTTGTACGGCGAGATACTCCAGCGCGCTGGTGTTGATTGTACAATTATTACAGGGCATGGCCAGCTACATGATAGCTTGATCTTTGAGGCGTTGCGAGGGAGTGCCACGCCGAAAGCCATGGTTAGGCTGATGGCTACACAGATTAAGAACGCGTCGGAGAATGTCGGGGTGGAGGTGACTGAAATCGAGACAGAGGAGGAGCCTTCGAGGAAGAGGCGAAGAAGACACTGAACGGGTTGCTGCATGTGAGATCTTACGGGCGTTACCATTCCATTTGTGTCGCAGCGTATAATTAGAACAGTGAACATTCAATGTTGGTGGGGTAATGCGTGCACGTGGTCCAACGAATCAGGCAACTTCAAGGTTGTTAGCAACTAACTAGGAAAGCGACCGGATATGATGTAATGGCGATTCCAATTTCACAATTAACAGAAGGCGTTAAACTTTTCTCGAGGCTGTGCTACGGAATTGGTTGTAGCAGGCAAAGTGCACTTTTCGAAGATACCTTGTGGGGGTGCACTAGTCATGATATGCACTAGCGGAATTGCACTTTGGCCCAGGACCCTGCTTACTTTTGCACACAGCATCCCATATGCCTGCCTGTTCTTGCGACAGCCATTCGGAGGAGAGGATCAAAACTTACAATGTTTCCTTCATCAGCCTTCTGCTTCAATACAGTACCAGCGAGCTCTTTCGACAGTGTTGACCAGTCATTGTTGTCGCCTGATTTCTCTCTGACGCGCCAATTCGCCTATACTGTGATGTATACTGTCGAATTATCCTTCTCGCGACCGGGAATACCTTGAGACCCCCCTACATCACTCAAGATGACGAAAGACTGGGACCTGGTACAAGATGAGATCAAAGATCTCTCCTTCAATCAAAAAAGGCCATTGGAAGAGGTGATGAGGTTGATGGAAAGCAAATACAGATTTCAAGCTTCGTAAGTATAGTCTTGGACTAGGCAATTTTGAGTGCTAACATCTCACCCAGTATCCGAGCGTATCGCATGAAACTCAAAGAATGGGGCCTTATGAGGCACAGGCCACGAAAAACTCACCGCAAAGTAAAGCATTCGGGCAGACACAGGTCAAAACAAAGCGATCATGGCGATGGAGAATCAAGTGATACGGTAGAATCCATGTCTGTTGAACCGCAAGCTGGAGAAGGTCATGAAAAAACTGGTGACTGGCAGGCTATCGTCAATCTGGTTGACGATACCACTGGCACACTTGCGGAGCCAATCCATATGGGATTGTTAGGCCAAACACAAAAGTAAGAGTTTCCCCATATCTTCAGCTACGGTTCTGAGCGCTAACTCAATGCGCCATAGCCTTCGGTCATCCATCGAGACGGAGCTCCAAAAACCCATGCAAGCGTCAGATATATCCCTCGATATGATCGGTGCGATACTGGAAAACAATGTACAGGATCTTGAGAAACTTGTGGTTGCCAACGCCGATCGAGTTAATGATCCTATCGGTCTTCCGTTCGATCAGCCTGGTAGCCGCTTCTTCACTCATCCAGCGCTGAGCAAGATGACTATTCGGCAGCACCCAGGCCAAACCTTGTTCGATGTCGCCTGTGGTATGCCTAGCGGTCCAGTTATCTGGATGCTGATTGCATACGGTGCAAAAGGTACCAGAAATCCATTTGGGACAGACTCAGCTCTCTACAACGCCATCAAGAACGGGAGAACGAAGACTGTCCAAGCGTTGCTCCAGTCAGGTCGCTCAGATGTCAACGGACTACCTGGCACGGTCTCGCAACCGCTTTACGAGGCTGTCTTTTGGAACGTACCCGAAATCGTACGCATCCTTATTAGTCGAGGCGCCAGATTAGAAAATTCTAGTCATTCGGTTGGCGGTCCTAGTCTCCAAAATGCGTTGCAGTTGTGCTTGTTGAACCGCGCTAGGTTCTATGCAGATACTTCATATCGGGAAAAGTGTCATGCAATTCTACGTCAGCTGATTGACGTTGGAGCGGACGTTCATTCCGCCCCTCCGGACCCTGCGATGCGATCAAACTTCCACATGTTCACCGAACCGTGGCAGGACCGTCCCTATTGGGCTTTAGAATTTTCAGAAACCGAAACTGCATGCTTCCGTCTGTTTGCGAGTAAGGGAGTGGACCTCGAAACAACATTCAAAGGATGTCCCTGTGGATCTGCCGACCAGAATACCTTTCAACACCAGGCGCTGTGGCATTCAACTCCAAGTTTTGCACAGTCACTCGTCGACAGTTTCGTTTGCACGCCTCTAAATGATGGTATGGGCCTCCTCTCTGAAGTCCTTGGCTCGTGCCCAAACGCGAAACGACATCCTGCCTACACGCAGCGCGACATTCAGGTGCTTCTTGGCAAAGGTGTGAGTCCGAACGGTACAGGGCGAGATAATTCCAGCCCGCTCCAGGTTTGCCTCTCGACATCTCCTGCTACTGATGTTGTTTCTCGTCTGCAAGTGCTTCTTGCTCATGGCGCAGATCCAGAAGCCAGAGACAAAAATATGGTTCAGGCTTATGTTCTTGCATCTGAAATCTTTCAAGAGCCACTGCGCTCAGAAGTAATATCAGTATTAGTCGCAAACATGTCCGGAAAATATGTCAATCAAATTGACGACGTGTCGTACTCGTGGTCCAAGGATCACTTTCCAATACCAAAAACTCCGACGTACGAACAGGTCATCGCGTGCACAGACGGAAAGAGTAGTTTTGCACAAGACATGTATTACATGGTACCTGAGCGAGCACAGGGAGAGTTCCGGACGGCATACTTCACAGTCATCAGTGGCTATTTCCTCGAATCTGTGGACCAACCAGCAAAGGCAGACTTTCCGCCTACGAAAGAAGAGCACCAAACAGCAAGGATTTTATCTTTGCGTGAATTCGGTCTACCCAAAGTCAAGTTTCAACAGGATCTCATGGATACCATTCTCAAGGCATCTTCACTCCCAGATATACCTGGCCTAGATGACGTTGCTTTGCTGCGTAGCCCGATGAACTCCAACACGACTCACACAACTGAAAGTTCCTCATTCTCGAGCGATACAACTATGACGACTATTACGCCCGCTGAAGCTCTTCTATCTTTCCAGTTTAGCATGAACGATCCGACGAGTTTTCAACAATGGGATGACGACTTTTTCATCGCAGAAACACTGTTAGATTTGTCATGGGACAAGCCTTAGTCGCTGAACTCACCACCTGGCCTTATGAATCCAGCAAAATCTCTAGCCGTGCCAATAGGAGAGGATTTTCACCGGTATTATGTGTGAGGTCTGGAACGCAGAAGAGATACGGAGTGAAGAATTCGTGCAACGCAAACAACGCCGCGAGGATGTCAAGACTATCCCCGCACGAACAACACACAACACCAAAACGGAAGCACATCTGCATGAATACCGATGAATTGATGGAGCTATCTGCCGCGAACTGCATACCCCAGCCAAACTCCAGACTTTCACTTACAACCCACTGACTCCCAACGCCAATGCTGTCAACAAACTGTTCAACAACGCAATAACGCTTACAAGAACCACGTCAAGGACCAGCTGCACCGCCAAGATGAGTAGACTCAATGCGCTCGTCAGCGGGTTCAGGAACACGAGTAGTCCAGCAAGTCCCAAGATCGCCACTGCAGCTGTAACCGTGGCAAAGATCTCGACGATAATGAGAGCGAGCAGAGCACTGACGGCGATGAGCTGGCGTTTTTCTTTGTGCTGAGCGACTCCAAGGACGTCAGAGTCAGAGCGGGAGGAGAGGGTGGGCTGCGTGGCGTTTGCGGGAGCGAGCTCCTTGATCGAGGCCGTGGTTGATGTGATGGCTGCTGTGATCTTGCTGATTTGCGCTCCCACTTCCGGGATCGCCGCGGTCTTTTCGAGGATGGAGGATGAAGGGGAGAGAGGGGCAAGGGTTGCGTCTGAAGGACTTTATTAGTAACACGATTGGAACGGACCAAGGTGTAGTAGAAGAGATGGGAATCATACTGATAGCTCCGGTGTAAATTTGAACAGTGGCATACAGGTCCGTCAAAAGTGTTTGGACAGACGTCTCAGCACTCTGCCGCTTCTCCTGCGCAACGGGCATGGCGAGCGAAGCGCCGCTGAGGGCAAAGACAAAAAGGTTTGAAAGGCGCATTTTGTAGAATAGATTCAATTGGAGATTGGAAAAGTAGTAATGATAGACCAGATGTAGTAGTAATAGTAGCAACAGCCAAGAACCAAACAACCCCAAAAGTCTTATATACACCTCCTACCTCCCTTTCCTTGTAGAAACCAAAACCTAAATCACAATTCCCACCGCCGTCATCATCGTCATCGCTCATTTCCTATAGCCCCCTAGCTAGCCCAGCCGGCCTGAGAAGCTTGGAAGAGGGAGGCGAAAGACCCGGGTCAACGGCATTGAGGTTCCTGTAAGCGAGATGGGCGAGATCTATTGATATCGCGTGATCCCTGCTGTATATCAGACACGCTGGCTCCACTATTCTTGCGGCTGTTTTGATTTAGAAGTTGATGTTTTATTTTACGAGAGGGGTTTGAGCTCTGTGTAGAGAGACAGATGATGGCATTGTGTTTGTTTTTATGTCGTTGTGGATGTAGGTAAATTATGATAAGTAAGACAATTCTTGCCTACCTTTGCTTAGGAGTTCATAACTACGAGAAGACTGATGGTTTATAAAGCTAGTAAAAACTACACCTACTACCAAACCGTGGAATACAATCCTCCCGCGGAACCACACCCCTACCCCTCGCTACCTACTTCTCTAGTGCTAGCCTTGCCTCGCCTCCGTATTTACCGTATTTCCCTTTTCTTCTCGCAGTCTAGATCCTCCAACCCTACAGCCCTACGTCACCTCTAAACCCAGAACTCCCCTTCTCAGCTTCGTCATTGGCTGTGAACACCTCTTATTGCCGTGGTACACAAAACAGGTACCCGCCCTGTCCGTGCCCTGCATGCACGCACACGCACGACGCATCCTTTTTTTTCGCGAAGTAACGAGGGGTGGGTTACACGAAGGAGGGGACGGGATGACGTCTATGGACGAAATGGAAAACATGAAAACAGTTGTCTGTGCTTCAATCGTATTTTGCGATTTTCTATGTTCTCTGTATGACATTTTCTTTGAGCTTTTCACCCCAACAAGGAATTACATGCAGACATCATCGCCATTAACATCACACAATCCCAACAACGACGACGGTTATAGTACACATCTTCTCTTCGATCAAGTGCGTACCGCTGGCGGCTTAATACAGCCCAACGAAGCTCTAGCAACCTACCTACTTATCCTGTCCTATCCCATCCGGCGCCTAGCGATGCTGTAGTTGTTGTTTGCGGAAGAAGAATAAGGAGAAGAAAAGAACGCCCAACCACCCAACCTATGAGCCAACCAAATGTCATTGTGGTTCATCGTCATCATCATCATGTACAAGCCAAACCCCTGCCCCCCATTTCCCATCATCATCGAATGAAAGAAGCCATGGTAACCGTCTAGTCTATCCGTTTTGTTTCCGTGATGGTAGTCGTCGACAATGTAAGACTAGCGCAACGCCGCGCCAACAAACCACATAGCATGCCATCCTGTCAATGAACGGGTGTATGAATGGATGTGTACTCACTCCTCCACGAGCCTGATTTCTGCAACGTCGTCTTCTTGTTGTGTAACGGGAGTGCCCATACCACCGCTCCACGGTCCCTTTCCAGGACCCTCGTCGTCGCCAAAGTCCTCCATCAATCTATCACGGAGTTCCATGCTATCACCGACGGATCCCTGGGCACCCGTGTCTGATGCAATGCCATCATCATCCGAGTCTGCGGTATTCCTGGCGTTGCCATCGTTTAGGGAGTTGAAACTCCAGAGAGGCTGGTCGTTGATGCTGCTGATGCCCTCCCACGGAGTCGTGCCGTACGACTCTTCGGCAAAGCCCTCGTCGACATCCTCATACGACGGTAGTTCCTCGTCACTCAGGCTCGCGGCTCCTGCTCCGTTCTTTGGAAGGTTCTCGGCTGCTGAGCGCTGATAGCCACCCCCGCGCAGGGCTCCGACTCCCGCTCCTAGAGCGCCAGCGGTCGACGACCCATTGCGGGACGAGCCGTCGAGGCGCGAGCCGTTTCCCGCCGGCGAGCGAGAACGCGGTTGTTGGTCGTCTGCATCCGTGTTATCTTCATCAGAGTCTGGATTGCTCATGTCGGTTGTGACGATCTGTTGAAGCGATGGTGGGCCTAAAGGGACAGGCGAGCGTCGGCGGTAGAAGAGTAGGTAGGCAGCTCTAGAAACGGGCTTGCGGCTGTCACATCGAGAGACGATAGAATCTACCCAAGTCAACAAACGTACTCTATGTCTTGGGCTGTTTTACTCACCGTTGTATTCGTACCACTGCTTATCGAAGAAATTTTGAGCGTAAGCCGTGTAGTGTCCACCTCCAAGTCCACCATAGTGGTTGTCGACAGCGAACAGATCATAGGTAAGGTCTTTATCTTCGGGAAATCCGACTTTACCTGACAGGTCTAGTCCCTCGACTGGGAAGTCTACCAATTCTTCTATCTTGTCTCGGAACGTTCGGTGACCACTGAAGCGCTTGAGGTGTATGATCAGTATGTCCGGCACTGTCCAGATTTCTAGTGTCTTTGTCGCCCTGCGCAATTCCTTACAACGACTGCAATACCATGCGTTGTCCTCGGAAAGCACTTCGCTCTTTGAAGATTCGACAAAACACGCGTCGAGATTAATGCCGTTCTTCCTACGAGCAGCACGGTTCGCCTTCTTCTCCTGGATTTCCGGGTCATCAAGCACTTCAATGAGCTTCATGACGTCCATACCCCTGGCGTCTTCATCTGAACTAGCTCCAAACAAAGCATCCATGGATTCCGCATTCCAGTCGAGAACGAGTGCCTCGCCCATACGGATCAACCTCTCGTCACTGTCGTTTTCTGGGTCCTCTGGGTAATTCGGCTCATCTACTACCTTGCCCCCCTTTCGATGCTTGAAATTCTTGTTGTTTTTGTGCTTGCGTTCCATTTTACGTTCGTGTTTCCGCGCCTTTTTACTCTTCTTCTTGTTCTGGCGACCAGATCGAGCAAAGTCCGACGCGCTCGGCTCGGTTGATTGCATCTCCTCGTCGCTGCTGACATTTGCTGCATCAATCGCAGCATTGGCATCAACAACAGTCGATTGAGATGTATCCTCATCCTCGTCACTGGATGCGGTCGAACTTCCATTTGTGGATGACTGCACAGACTCTTCTCTTGAGGGCGGTATTCGTACACGCTTGTGGATTGGCTCCAGTGCGCGTGCGGCGTCGATGGTGCTCCAGCCAGTGGTGACAATCTCGGTACCCCTCCGAGAATGTTTCATTTCGAACAAGTGCCTGTCACATATCAGCCGTGAACGTTGAATTGAACTGGAGAAATTCTTGTGGGAGGTATATACGTACCGAAACTCGGGGTGAATATAGCTACCCGGTCGGAGGATTTCAGGTATTTGGTTAGCCTCGTCAGTTTGGGCCGGGGTTGCCTCGTTTGAATCCGTCATTGTGACTTCGACCATATCTTTTTCACCTTCGACGGACCCATCTTTAACCTGTGGATCGTTCGGTGACGCATCTTCTTCTGTTGTCAGCACAACATCAGAGCCAGGCCGTGATTGATCTAGACTGCTGAGCTCGCTAAGAATCTTTCGAGTAGTCATCTGAGAGACCTTGACCAAAACCTTTCTTAGAATTGCATCGTAATCTTTAGCTTCGTCCCGCGTGAGAACAATGAAACTAGGCCATAGTGCCATGGCATGAGCAGATGATCTATGTGCGGAGGTGCTATTGCCACGATGGAGGAGCGGGACCAAGATGCGGTCGTGGAGCGGAGAAACCGTATCGGGAATATCCTCATCGGAAGATTGAGAAAGAATCGTCTTGTATTTCGAACCCTTCTTCTTCGGAGCAGGCCAGTTGCTGGGAGCCATATCAAGTTCGTAGAAATAAATGTCATCTCTCGCGCCTATGTTGGATTCTGAAACAGTGGCTGAGTCGTCGAGGTGGCGGTAGAACTTATGACTATAAACTTCAGATGCCATGATGCGGTTCGCTGGAACTCCACCACCACGCTTGCCGACATACTCTTTCAGGGACTTGATTGTGGCATTCTTGTCGATGTCAACCTCGAGCTGATAAGGCTTGCCGTAGAGCGGCACGTACGTGACGGTATGCGACCAGGTCTGTTCTATGGGCAGCTGCAGGGTGAGCTGGCTGTATGGGTCGAAAGTTATGCTGACTTTCTCGCAATCTGGGCAGACCATGGTATTCTTGTAGAAGCCACTGAACAAATCCATAGCTACCGAGTCGTTTCGAGCACGGTGGTTGTTGCGATAGACCTCGCCGAGCTTTCGTATGGCCTCCGGGTCGCGGAAAGTGTCATCGGTAGAATCGGGATTTTCACAATAGGGCTTCTTTTGTATCCTGTTGAGGTCTTCGTGTAACGCGTCGACTAGCCAGCTGACAAACTCCTGGGAGTCCTGTTGCCCATATCCTGAAAACAAAGTGTTCGCTTTGCCAAGCTTTTGCTTGAAGTCTTTGGGAGAGACAGCAGAGTTGTTATCGAGGCTGAAGATGGCATTGAGCAGGCCAGCATACGACTTGGCAATGACACCCTTGTGGCCTATGGGGTTATCGACGTTGATCTCTTCTTTCCACTTGTTGTTCAAAAAGTACATGCTCAGCTCTTCAACACTTCGGAGACACTGTAGAGCTGAGTTCATGTAGCAGGTATTGCCGAGGTTGGTGAGCCCGACATGACCTCTGACCTTGCCGTTCTGTTTCCTTGAGCGAGTCATGGGCCCTCCGCTTGGGGTAGTCCTCCCGCTGTTCGGGTTGCTCTGTAGGCCTTTGCTAGCCACAGAACCGGCCTTGTTCTTGGACGCCACCTTGGTCGTATCTGAGATGTACTCACCCTGCTCGTCATGTTCCTCAAGCACAATGGTTTGGTCCTGTGTGAGACCGGCATCGGCCAGGGTCAAAGATTCATTATCCTCCTCATTCGCCTTCTCGTCCTTGCCGGTAATGAGCTCACGTTCTGACCCATATGCAAGGCTGTTGAAGTCTGCGACGTCCATGACTAGAGACGGCCGGACACCAGGTGCTGGCGCAACGGGCGAGCCGTTACGTGGCGAAGCGTCTGGAGTAAGTATGCCGGCACTTTGAGATGGCTGAGGTTGGTCGGTTGACGCCGATGTTAGGATTCTCCACATGCGAACCTTGTTGGAAGTTTCGATACCCACAGCCTTCTTTGCAGCGTCGATGAAGGCGACAAAGCTTTCGTATCGGCTCGCGACGATCTTCTCGGCAGGTTTTGTATTTTCCTTTGCATTTGGCGTTTTCCGCACTTTTCGTATAGTAATGATGGGCGGATGTAGCTCGTATGAAATATCCATGGAATACTGGCCCGGTACCGTATTATGGGCGTGCCGCCGTATCACAGGTGACGTCGCCTTGTGCCCGTACCAGCTCAATACCAAGTCCCAGGCCTTGCGAGGCAAGATCTCAAAGTCCTGACCAAGCGTGGCTGCCTTGCTCAGAGGGATAAAATTATCGCCGTTCTGGTCAAGCAGTTCTTCCTGTAGCAGTTGCGTGTCCACGAGGTGTGTGTTGTCGACGGGACCAACTGGACCCTGTGTGGCTTCCTTGCTGAAATCCTGGGGCCTTGTGACGTTCTCCGATGTCCTCGCCCAAACCCGCTCCAGCCAGCGCTCCGAGATGATGTAGCCTTCCTGTCCGTCTACCAGAGGGGAACTGGACATCATGCCCATGACGCGGGTGACCTGCTCATCGATGCTGGGGAGATTGGACGACTGTGCATCGTCGTTGGACGGGGAAGCCGTATCGCCATGATTGCCCTCGGGACTGGCACTGCCGGGCGCGTCTGCCATGTCTACCGACGCGGCGCGTGCACTGCGCTGTGATGCGCCGGCTGGCAGTGGCTTGCTAGTGCGAGGGTTGGACGAGGTGCTGCTGTCCACGTCTGCTTTGTCGTCCATGTCTGAATGAAGGCGCTTGGCGGGTGAAGAAGCTCGTGGAGGCGGGCGTTGGGCGACTTGTTCGGCGGTGCGTGTACGGTCGAGATCAGTAATGTAGGCGTCGTGGGTGTCGAGGGTGAGGTTGGCGTAGGCTTCACTGGGCGAGCTTGCCCCCGTGTAGCTGTCTCTTGACACGTGACTGACTGAGTCGGAAGCGTCAACGAGGACTTCGTCGTGCAGGTGCGGTGGCAGATAGCGTGGTGGAGATGCTGAGGGCTGTGGGGAGGAGCGAGGGGAGCCTACACCAGCGCTGCCTACATTCGGTGAATGGGTGCCGTCCCTAGCGTCTGGCGATTCTTTTGCGGGGGCCACGATCTTCCGCTTCTTGTTGTTAGTGGAGGCCGTTTTGAAACTGATTGCCTGCCGTGAAGCCCGCGAAGAGCTTCAGGCCAGACTATAATGCGACAAAGGAAGAACGGTGAAGGGCCAACCGAAGGATGCAGCGCGTCGCTAGGGCTGCAGTAACCGCCTGGCTGAATCGGGCCTCTTTTTCACTATGAGAGCTGGCAGCGGTGAGGAGCGTGGGGTCAGATACAATTCGCCGCAAAAAAATGTGTCCAAACCCACCAACATTGACCGTCGTCACTCTGTTTGCAATGCTCTGCAAGGCTGAGAGCATAGGCGAGCTTGGCGACGCCCGCCTGTGCTAGCCGAGCTAGTCAACCAAACTGCATATGCAAGTCAATCATTCACTGCAACACCTTGTCACAACACCTCATCACCAGGTACGTGGCATATGTGTGTTTTTCATTTGAGCAAACTCCAACACTATATGCTGTTGTTATATCTTGATATATACTACGCTATGACATAGTAGACAACATGGCCGCCGGTGAAGCTCACTTTCCGCCGCTGTTCAGCCACGCAAAAGCAGAAGCCCCCCCAACTGGATTCGCAGACCGCGGCTTTGAAAGTGTGGGTACGTTTTCCTTTCCCTTTTCACCAGACACGCTTCTCTTTGCCGCCGGAGGTGTCGGATTACCCCACGCCTCCGTTTCGCCTCTTCGCTTTCCGTCATCGAAGAAGCGTGACTGCCCTGTCACCGGCGATGGGTTGGACGTGGACATGGTGCGCACCGCTTTTGACGGCTTTAGCACCTTTATACCCGTATCACGGCGTTGATAGCTGGGATTCGAGCTTGCGGTTTTACCCACACTAGCCCAATCCAACGAAGCAGAACCAGTGCTTGTCTTTTCGCCTTGATCCCGGCGCCAACTGCTCCAGATAGCTGGGGATGCACCTGATCTAGGTGCCCCATTGGCAGAAGCCGAATCTTGTGTCTCCCTAGTATCAGAGCGACTCGATGCTGAAAGAGCGATATGCGGACGCTGCTCAAGACTCGTCCGCCCACTCGATCCGCCATCATCAGAATTGGGCGCAGTGCCTATGCCATTGGACTTGTCAGCCGACGGAAACTGCTCATGTGCTGCTGATTGAGAGGGATTCTCGCTCATGGTGTCAACACGTGTTGAGGTGGGTACAGAGCCTCGCTCCATGGTCGAAGCACGAGATACACTAGAGACATGCAGAGACTTGAACGCTCGATCGTCTTCCGGGCGCACCAGGGGTATCTGCAGTTTGCTGTGATCATCATCATATAGCGTTAGCTGACTACAAGAGAACAGTAAGTCGGCATTGTGTGCTCGAAGCATGTCGCTGCCAAGGAGGATCTGAATAGCCTTTGGATTGGTCGCGGCACTATGCTCCTCGATGATAGTGAAATCCACGGCAACAGATGGTAGCTGAGGCGCCGGGCTGTTTGAGCGTGATGAGGCTGAAACAGGCACGGCTTCTGGGAGATAGACAGAGAGCTTGATCTTGCGGAGCCCGTCATCGGCCAAGATGACCTGGTCCTGGAAGCCAAGATGCTCGACTAGGTGCATATCCAGATATGAAGTGTAGGAGCCGGAGCACACGGCTGCATACAGCAGGGTGTCGTGCTTGAAGTTAGTGTTGAGCCAGCAACGTATTATGGCCGGCACGGAGCCGAGTATAAACAAGCCAGGAGCCAGTCCTGGGGCGTCTTGGGGCGTCGTCGGTCCACAACTTGTAAGGCTGTTTGCGCGCCCAGATGCCATGGAATGGACCGAGTGTCCAGCTGAGCTCTGTCTACCGTCCGACTTGTGCGAATAGCTGCGCTCGCTCATGACGTGCCCGCCCATGCCGCTGCCAGTGCGGGGTATGAGATCCAGTGACGAACGCGACGCGTGCGCCCAATGGCCATGGTTGGCCGTTTCGTCAAAACGAACACTATTTGCACGCGAGGTAGCGCCTATCCGGCGAGGCTCTTCATCAGCATCGAGTTGGAGGTTGCCGATGAGATTACTCGACTGGTCGTCAAAGTTGGAGAAGTGCTCAGCTGTCGGTTGTTGCAGGGGCACTGCGACATGTTAGCTATGCGGCTACATGTATACATATGACTGCGAACTCATGCCTTGCTGCGGTGTGCCTCCCAGGACAGAGGGAAAGGGCGAAGATGTCCCCCAGACGTTCTTCAGGCGCGAGTCGTCCTCTTGCTTGCGCTCCAAACGAGCAACGCGGTCAGCGAGGTCAGCTTGGCTCTCCTGCACACGGAGCATCTCGCTTTGGATGCGCCAGAAATCGTCGCGCGGCTGGAACGCTACGCTCTGGGGATCCATGCCCGTGACTTTCTCATCCCTTGCCAACGTGCTCAACAAAGAGACACCAGCCTTGCCGCACGGGCGCCCCTACCGACAGACACCGGACGACTACTGCACCCCGACCCCTCTCAATGCGTCTGCTGTGCGTTGCTACCCGGTTTGCGTTGTATTTTGAAGTTTCTGGCGGGTAAACGTCTCGAGGATGGTGGTGTCGGTGAGAAAGCGAGGAGAATACAATCACTATTGGCTTTGCAGGTTTAAATTGTCTTCTACACGGATGCAGTTGTCGTGATTACACGCGCAAGGTGTTTGAATTCGGTTTACGCGTTTCGACAGGCAAGTACGACGTTGGCCGATGGCAGACACTTGGAGAGGTGGATGCGGAAGGTGCGTTCAGAACGGCCGTCCTGTGCCGAGGCTCATAGTATCACTCGGGTTTGGGAGGGGGAAAGAGCGCAGTAGTTGGGAATATCAATGGGAAAGGTCGGTCGGGCACAGGTGCGTGAATGGGTTTTACAGATGTGATCGAGCATGCGTGCAGTCATTTCAGCTTGGTTGCAAGTTGGGCCACTAAGGCACCTGCCGGAGTTATGCGCGACAAGTCCGATTGGGCAGGACAGATGCGCCTGTTTCCGAAGTTTTCCCCAGATGCTACCTACTTGGCGCCCTGGCTCCTTCGTATATGCTATCAAGTCGCTGTTGTCACGTCTACGCCTCTTCCCACGCAGCCTCGTCATTCCACGCGGGCAACACCATGGCAAGTTTTTCGGGAATTTGATCGGGCCACTGCGCTGATATCACCTTGATGAATTCCTGGTAGAGGATCTCGTAGCCTGCTGGACTGAAGTGAAGGCCTATGCCCCTGTCAGTATCGGCACGACTGGTTCATGGGCTTTGCAGTCACCATACCGTCATACATGAGTTCAACCAGGGCATCGCTCTGCGCAATCTCCAAAGACCCGGGGAGAGCGTCTCCGAGCTTCCATGCGCAGAGCTTGAAGTCAGTCTTGGCCATGAAGGCCTCCCACAGATTGACAACAGGAAGTTTTAGTTCAGTACCTAATTCGGCAACTGCATCTGCGTATACCTTGGTCGTAGCCGCCAGACGCGTGACGCTGGTGTATCCATTCGACGCGTCTCTTGGCCACCACAGATGCTCATTGATTGGAGCGGGAGCCACAAGGATGATGCGCGGGCCATGGGCCTTTATTTGTGGGTGCGACACAATGGCCTTGAGGTTGGCTTTGAATTCATCAAGTGGAATGTGCTGCTTGTTGGGCGCATCTGGTAGCGATGCATCGTTGGCGCCAAAGAAGACAGCCTGGGGTGTTAGTCAAGGGGGCTAACCCAAGAGAGAGCCTGTGTTACCATAAAGCGTATCCTGGCTTGGTCCGGCGGGGGTACGATAGCCGGAAGGATCTTGAGAGCTTGACGAGTATTGTACCCGCTTTATGACATCAGCCGTGATTGCGGTATTTCAGGGGGGCATAATACCTGAAGCCCCGATTGACAATATCGAGTCGCCTTATGTATGCTGATGCAACATCAGCGTCATGCCTTCACCAAGATGCATCTACCTGGAGGCGTATCAGAGCATGTGGACTGACCATTTTGAAGAGCTGCAGAGAAGCCGAAGCCTCGTTCTTGCGAAAATGACTCTTGGGTTATGCTGTCCCCAAACAGCAAGAACAGTTCGTACGGAGCAGGCTAAGGCACGTCAGTACTGTATACATGCTAGTTGCGTTAGCAGAGACTAGTACATTATGTACTCACCATTTCGACAACCCTCAGATAGCTATGTCTCAGAAGAAGCGGCGTGTGTACACTTTGCTGCTTGTCTCTACAAAATACAACACTACAGGGTGCCCGTTCGGCGAAGGGCCGGAGTTCGGAGCTGGAGAAATATCGGCAGTGTTTCCTCGCAACTGGCAATGCGTGTTTCAGCAAAAAATAACTGTGCGGCTGGGAAGAGATGGGCAGCAGCTTCGCTTGGCCCCAATTGCCCCGAGGTGCAGATGCAGACGCAAGACGTGGGTGGTGGGGCAGTCCAAGCCCATTGGCTGCGACTATATCGCGCCTGCCCCATGCCCGGTTAGCGCCTTCCTGGCCCTGCATTCCGTCACCCTCGCGCGTGCAAGCGGACAATCACCTGGACGCGGCTACCGCCATTTGGCTGTGCATCATCAGACACAACTTTCTTCCCTAGTGCTGCTGTAATAACTAAGTGCTGTCGAGTCCTTCTTCTTCCTCTTCTACTGCTACATCGGTGATGCATTCGGGAAACGGGCCTGAAACCGTCGTCTTACCGTGGGCCCAATCTTGGTGCGTATCCATCTGATCCATCTGCACTCGAGACGCTGGGCCATGGGACAACGAAGCAGCCTGAGGGATCCGCGGGCGTAGTGGGGACATCTGAGCCATACTGCCCAGCCAGATATCCCATCGTGACACCGCCATCGCTTCCCAGATGACCTCGATAGCGGCCTCTGCTCGGCGACAAGTGTGTGACTGACTCCTCCACTAATAGACGTCTGTTCCCCAGACCCTGACTGTCTCCCCCATCCCCTCTCGCCATGCCCAAGTCTATGCAGTCGTACCACAGCGTCGACGACTACGATGCCGACGCTGACTATGCTGCCGAGCAACGTGAACGCGACGACACCTTCAGTACCACTACGCCTACATCACCCACGCTCACTTTCAGTGCCCAGCGACCGAATCGCGCCTCGGACACGGACCTCACCAGGTCACGAGAGAGCATCAATGAGCGGTCCAGTTTGCTAGGTCCCCCCCATCTACGTAATGCTAGATCTTACAAGAGCCTGCCCGCAACCACGCCTGGCACGCCGCGGCCGGGCATGACGCGCAACAACAGCCAGTTGCCTACCAGCTCGCGCGTGCGTGCCAGCAGGAGAGGCTCCATGACGGGCGGCCATGGCTTCAGTCAGCGCCTGGTGAATGCTTTGGGCGAGCGAGGCGCCGGACTAGAGCAGAGCATGCATTCAACAAAGGCATCGCTCTTCCAGGACAATCGTGTGTGGTATGATCAGTTTACCTCGACCGATTGGGTCCATGATAACATCGCCGACGCATATCGAGTCAAGGCGCTGCGGAGTAGAAAGGACATCAAAGGCCGCATCGCCGCTTGGTTCGACGGTGCTCAGGGCTGGATTCTCGTTGCCCTCATCGGCGTCCTGACAGCCGTGTGCGCCTACTTTGTCAACACCACTGAGACGGCTTTGTTTGACCTGAAGCAGGGATACTGCACAACAGGCTGGACTCGGAGCCGCAAGTCTTGCTGCGCCGGTGCCTCTATATGCTCCGACTGGCTCCACTGGTCTGAAGCTGTCCGCAATGACAAGCTGGATCTGGTCCAGACGCAATATGGCTTCTTCGTCCTTTCAGTCGTGCTGCTCTCAATGGCCTCTTGCTTGCTAACCCTCACCACCAAAACTGTCATCCCATCTGCCATTTCGCTTGCCACGCTCGACGAGAACCTTGGGGCCGATGTGCGCAGATACTCTGATCAGCAGGACGAAGAAGACGGGAAACGCAACAGCAGCCCCGGTACGAGGTTCGAGGAGGCGCAGAGTCGCCCGCCCATGGTGTATTATTCTGCCGCCGGTAGTGGAGTTGCCGAAGTCAAGGTCATTTTGAGCGGCTTCGTTCTCCACGGTTATCTGGGTGTGCGCACGCTCTTCGTCAAGACTCTGGCCCTGATTCTCAGTGTCGCCTCAGGTCTCAGTCTCGGCAAAGAAGGTCCCTACGTGCATATCGCAACCTGCATTGGTAACATTGCCTGTCGTATCTTTTCAAAATACAGCAACAACGACGGGAAGCGCAGGGAGATCTTGAGTGCTAGCGCTGCTAGTGGTGTCGCCGTTGCCTTTGGTGCTCCTATTGGCGGAGTACTTTTTAGCCTGGAAGAAGTCAGCTACTACTTCCCGTCGAAGACGCTATTCAGAACCTTCTTTTGCTGCATTGTAAGTGTACTACTGTACCACCCCGACTAGACTAACGGTTTGGTAGGCTGCTGCTTTGTCCTTGAAGTTTCTAGATCCTTATGGCACAAAGAAAATTGTGCTCTTCGAGGTACGATACCATTTGGATTGGAAGTTCTTTGAACTGGCCACCTTCATCTTCACCGGTGCTGTTGGAGGTGTTCTCGGCGCGCTCTTCATCAAAGCATCGCGCATCTGGGCAAGGACATTCCGTCGCATACCCGTCATCAAGAAGCATCCGCTTCTCGAGGTGTTTCTTGTCGCGCTTGTCACCGGTCTGGTCAGCTTCTGGAATCGATACACCAAGCTTGCCGTTACAGAACTCCTTTTTGAGCTAGCCAGTCCCTGCGATACTTATACGGCCTCCGGAGATGGCCTGTGCCCCACTATCGAGCATATTCCGGAAGTCCTCAAGGTCCTGTTCTTCGCATTCATCATCAAGGCCAGTCTGACTGTCGTCACCTTTGGAATCAAGGTACCAGCCGGCATCTACGTACCTTCCATGGTCGTTGGTGGCCTTGCTGGTCGCTTTATCGGTCACACGGTCCAATACATTGCTTTCCGTTTCAGCCACCTAGGTCTCTTTAGCGAGTGCTCACCTGATGGGCCACCCGGCTCATGCGTCGTTCCCGGTGTCTATGCTCTGGTAGCTGCTGGAGCGACAATGACTGGTGTCACCCGCTTGAGCATCACTCTGGCAGTCATTCTATTCGAACTTACAGGTAGCTTAGACCACGTATTGCCCTTTTCTCTAGGTATTCTCGTTTCCAAGTGGGTAGCCGACGCCATCGAACCGCTTAGCATCTACGACCTGCTCACAGACATGAACTCCTACCCTTTCCTTGATAATAAAGTCCGGCCCATCTTCACCTCCGAGCTAAACGACATTACGACTGGCAGAAGGAAAGACCATATCATCGATATCTCAGAGGATGCTCTCATTCCTGCGGTCGAGCTGCGCGCAAAGCAACGCAATCTCCAAATGGCTGGAGAATTAGATGGCGGTCTAGCGATTGTCAAGCATGGCATCCTCGTTGGACTCATCCCGGCGCCTGACCTGGAGTTTGCACTTGACAAGCTTGAGAACGAAGATAACACGCTTTGCCTCATGTCGCCACGCGTGGATTGGGCTGCGGGGCGAGAGCCACACGACGAAGAAGAGCCAGAAGCGTATGACCCGAGTGACTTCACGCCATACATTGACCCAGCACCTGTAGCCTTGGACGTTCACTCGCCCATGGATCTGGTATACGAGTGTTTTGTGAAACTTGGACTGCGGTACATTTGTGTGCTTAGAGATGGCAAATACGCCGGTTTGGTAAGTTACACGACAAAACGTCAATGGCAAACTCTTCTAACAAGTTCAACAGGTTCACAAAAAGACTTTCGTCAAGTACGTAAAAGAGCTTGAACACCAAGAGAAGGCTGCACGACACATCTAGAGCGTTGCTTAGACAACACCCTTTTCTTTATTGGCGTCCATACCCTCACTATACATGGAGCTATCTTTCATTGAGCGATCTTCTTCTTCTTGGCGTACACTGCATTTTGAACGGCGTAATCTGGATGGAAGTTGAAGAAGGTTGATCCAATTTGGACACCATTCTCGTTGTATACCTGTAAGGCCCTATGCGGCACTATGTCTCTTGTACTTTCTTCTTTCTCGTATACGAAGCATTCTGGCCCACTTCTGTAGGCTTCACTCTCCTTTCACCACAACATACAATCATCGTTTGTCACGATATGGAGAAGAAACAATGCGAAACCTCACTGCCACATTCCTTCTTGAGAGTTCATTGGGCCATCTGGACATAGCGTTCTCTTGTATCACGTTTTTCATCGATCCAACCAGCCCTCGCCGACGTTATGATGCGAGGGTACAGCAGAGCGATTACACCCGACTCAGCCACCCGTTTGCCGCAAACAATCTCTTTGGACCCTGAAACGAAAAGCTTTTCAAGTTTGAACACAGACGGCGGTGTGGCTGCGAAGATTCCGGCAATTTTCGCAACGGCTTTGAGACAGGGTCTATCTTCACGTTAGTGTCGCAATCTCACTACTATATATCGGGTTTTCGTACCTTCTAGAACACTTACTTGTGATACCAGAGATTGCCAACTCGATCGATCCTACGGCGTTGACAGAACATAGAGATTCATTCTTCTCCTAGAACTGTTCACTTGGCTTGACACACTCGACCGGTCGTATTCGAAGTAGCCAGACCTCTGCGGATCGCTCCTCGCCACAATGCATCGACTTTTCCATCTCTTGGTAGCACTCTTCTCATTGTGTCTACTTGTCTCCGGGGACTCCTACTGCGGCACCACCTCCAACATAACCATGTTTGACCCCTCATCTCTCCATACGCGCTCCATGACCTACCTAAAATTCGCCGTCGCTCGTCCTTGGCCCCTTAGGGATGGCCCCACAGGGCCAATCCGCCCGATACGATACTGCTACGCCAACAAAGAAGCCCAAGAAGAACTCAGCTGTCTGCTGATGGCTGGCTTTGATGTCTGGGCCCGGGCACTTGGGTTCCCTCATAGTCATACGGTCGGACACAATCTTTGCTGGAAGTCAATCGTATTGAGGACCACAAGTGGAACTCCACCCTTCTATAGTCCCTTCTGCTACCTCGACGACTACAAAAATCATGAGGATCCCGGAACTTGGAATCCTGTTGTCGCGGACGATGCACTCGTTGTCCACTTGACTGAAGGAACTCCAGCCGCGACCGTGGGGTGGCAACCAGGAGAGAAAGAAGGTCGCCATAAGCTGCTGCTGCCGAAGACTATTGGGGTGACGAGGGTAGCTCACGAGGTAAGTTCTTTCACTTGCTGCTTCTTTACAACTACCCCACCTCTGCCTCAACAAAAACACAAAACTAACGCACAAGTGAAAGATTGGACATGTGCTCGGCCTCCTCCATGAACACGCCCGCTTCGACCGCGACGACTTCATAACATATCAATGCACAAACCTCAAAGGTTACAGCCAAGCCGTCAATGCCGCCACCGACGCCGGTTTCGAATTAGCCTACGCCATCCTACGCCTCTGCAGCGAGAAAGATTTTGCCCTCCAATTCGACTTCATCGGCGCTGAATACACCAAAAACGACGCGTACTCTAATTTCGATACGGGCATCTTCGACGAAGGCGATTTCGACCTCGGCTCCATCATGATGTACCCGTCTTCCGCAAACACAGAAGATGAGAGGTGCTGGACCGAGTCTAGAAAGGACCTTTGTGTGCTGATGGCAGGTACAGAGCTGAAAATGTGGCCGATCATGCCGGCGCAGGCGCCGAGTAGGGGCGATGTGGAGTTTGTCAAGAAGTACTATCCGTACATAGGACTGCCTGCTTCTTCCTCGATGAGTTCCTCGACTTTGGATGATGCCGCTACTGCTACTGCTACTGCTGCTGCTACCACAGCTGTGTCAGATCAGCCGACAACTTCTGCGGCGGTAGTACAGGTTGCGGAGCAAAAGGTCAAGCGAGGTCCTCAGTCTGCCGTCAGGGTCCATCGCATCTTTTCCTAGGGATGTAGTAGTCTTCGGATCCAGTTGGGGATCACTTGGGGCTTGGTAGATTGGAGTGGCACTAAAATCTGGAAAGTTCCATAGAGGAAGATACAAAAGAATAATGAGAAGAGTTTTAGTCTTCCACTCATCCCTCCTGCTGCTGCATTGCATCGTGACTACCGGAAACCCACCACTATGCTAGGGGTCATCCACTTACTACGGGTCTGTGTGAGATAATGCGCTTGGGCTGCATGTAGCCCTATAGTTTTGACAAAAGAAAAGCACTTCTAATAAAGTCATCTCTAACAAAATTATCCTTCTGTCTTTCTTACCTTGCAACATGAATCTGAACGGACGAACGAAAAACGGCAAAAAAACAAGCTACTAGACACTTGCTTGCCTTCCGCCAGAATTGAACTGACGACCTCGTCATTACTAGTGACGCGCTCTACCACTGAGCTAGGAAGGCATGATTGCTGGTATCTTGGATGAAAAAAGTTTTCATAATTTATTAAATATACTCATATAAAAATCGCTGATTGAAGCAGCAGCAGCGACTGACTACAGCAAGCAGATCCTGCGCTGTGCCGAAGAGCAAAAAAAGTGGGCGGTGACGGTCATACGGCAACCGCGGGGTAAATTCAAACCTTAGTGTGTGTCCGTGGTACGACTCAGACCGGGGTGGAGTGGGGCGAAACGAGGACTACGGAATTGACGGCTCGCGAACAATCGTATTCACAAGGCACTGATAAGGGGCTGGACAAGCATGTCATTCAGTTGGGAGTCAACCGATATTTGGGCAGCAATTGGAGCAAGTGACACGGCGTGAGGATGATACCTAATCCTTGGTCAATTGCGTGACCGTGGACTGATGAGAGTTGTATTTCAAACTACAACTAATAAAGCAAGGCGTGAAGCCATGAGAAATCTATGGCATACCCAAATAAAAATTCAAAATACATGATGAGATTCTGTTCGGCCGTGAGTTCGTAGTCACGGTGAAAATATGCTAAACTCCGAGGAAATGCACGTGTGAAACTTTTGGTCGTGTGTTCGTCCTCCTGAATTGGGACATAATAGGAGGGGTAACGTCATAACGGTGGTGGGAAACAAGAGCTGTCTTGCTCATGTTGTGATGAATATATGGTTGAGAAGATCCCGCTTACTCGCCCTCGATGACATGTGCGTGAGAGAAGGGTTATGAGGGCGGGACTAATTTGCCAGTTGATTCGGTGTGCTTTTCGTCACGCAAAACCACCATGATTACGCTCACAGGTGAGCCCGGAGAAGCTCGTCCAGGGTCTTCTGAGTGGCGGCTGGTAGTAGTGCTGACAGGGCCATTGTCGACATTGGCGGTTTCTTCTAGAGACGAGGCCACGATTTCTCTGTCATAGTTGCGAAAGACGATGTAGAAGATGATCGTTGTGACAGCCATAGCACCTGCTAGGCTGCCGTAAAAGTGTACGAGATATGGGTCCCGGGCTCCCTCTGCTATGACTAGAGCAATAGCTGAGCCTATTCCAGTAACAAGCATGTTTATTGCCTGTACGAGCACCTTCATCTGCTTTGGCGCGTGGGTTTCCGCGTATTCCATAGCTGTGGTCATGGCGAAGACTTCACCAACAGCAACCAAAAAGTAGACGGGCGCTTGGTACCACACATCTGGCCGCGCCTGCGCGGTTGACTGATGATCCCCACAGGAGCTTGGGTGATCGAAGCAAGGCGGAGATATGTAGATGAAATGCTGCAGCACGGCTGCGTACAGCATTGCGAGTACGACGAAACTAAAGCCGATGACAATCCGAGTGACAGGTCTGAGGTAGATGCGCCGCCGTGCTAGGATAGGATCGAGGACATACTCCACTAAGGGGCTGAACAATATGCAACCGACTTGGTTCATTCCTGGCAGTACATCGTTGGGTGTGCTTCCGGTTTTCATGGTGCTCGCTTGGGATATGAGGTTGTTCTGCATCTGGTCGAAGCAGATGTAGAACACAATAAATGCTAGACTGAACTTGATGTCAGTCAAGTCAAACATAGAGCATTGGGACACTTACAAGACGCGACATGCCCCCAGAGCACGCGCAATTTCGTTGACAAACTGGCTAGTCCAAGGCACCGTCTTGCCATGCTTTTCGAGCTGGTATTCGGGATCTGCGCAATCCATTCGGCAACCGTGTCGCGCAGCGCAGGTAATCACCTTCGCCGCAGGAATCATGACGTCTCCGGTTCGGGAAGGATTGACTACGATGGTTAGCCCGAGCAACAACTCAATTTTGTGTTACTTACCAAAGTATTTCCTCCCACGGATGACCATCACGAAAGCGATGCATATGCATCCTAAGCCCAACGCATACGCAGGGAAAAAGCCGTACTTTTTCTCGATATACACAACTGGAAACGACAGCAATGAGCCTACGTTGCCAACCCAAAAGTAAAGATTATAGATGAACTTCAGAGTACGTTCACTGTCGATCATGACGACCTCTCCTCGGGAAGAGGCTGGCAGGTACTTGGAGAGCCATGTTCGTCTCAGCCACTTCAAAGCTCTACTCTTGGACCCGGATAATTTTGCTTTCCTGTTTATTCTGTTCGTATACTGATTGGCGATGAAAGATCTCATGACGGCTTGGGCCTAGTCAACGTCAGTGGATGCGCCAAGACTAGGTATCGTCTTTACCTACACTCCCACCACCTATGGCTATCAAGACCATGGCGACGACCAGACCCGGTATTCCAGCTCCTCGGTCGAGCATGCTCGGTAAGGAGCTGATAACTAGTGCTATACATCCCAAGACATATACAGCCATACCGATGACTATTGTGTTGTACTGTCCCAAGACGTTATCGGCCAGTGGCGCGATGAAGATAGGGATCGTAAAGTAAAGTATGAAGAATCCACAGAACGCGCGCGTTGCGGTGGTTTGACCAAGATTGAGTGCACCGGGGATTTGATCTTGGTCAAGACGTGGTGGGTGTTGCATGTAGTTTTCTATAGTACATTTCAATCAGCATGATTTTATACTGGTATTGAAGAGAATGGCAGTAACATACGCCAAGGTGCGGTCACTATTAAACATACTGTCAGCGTCTGATCAGTATTGGGTGATAATTCAAGCCACTTACATCCCCAAAACGTTGCTCTCTCCCAAAACCCGATGAAGGCAACTGTCCATAGCGTCCACGGTATCTCGTCTTTGACCCGCCGCAATTCGTGGCCTTCTTCCTCGGACTCTGTGGTATACATGCTCGAAGCTTGTGATACACGGCTGCCGGTATTTCTATGCTCAGTTAGTATATCGATCCTTGATTGTGTAGACAATATACGAACCCTTGCATCCCTGGGTTTTGTGACATCGACATACTAACGTTTGGCTGGCAACAGTGTTGTAGGATGACAACACCAGTAGCTCAAACTAGGATACAGTTGAGTGTTACCCACAGTCAGAGTGGATCCTCGCTACCCTATTGAGTGAGGGAAGTAGGTGGTAGCTTGGAGTAGTTGGTCGATACCGTAGTTGGTCAATGCCGTAGTTGGTCAGTACCGTAGTTGGTCAGTACCGTAGTTTGCCAATACCATGCGGGCGTAATATTAACCCTCAGTTAACTCTGACCAGACTTGCGGTGAAAACGTGCTTCGATATAACTAAAAAAAATGCGACATTTTTTATGTGGTCGGGCCGGTGCGCATGGAAAAGTGTCGTATTTTTCTCGATGACATGCTCTTGCACACTTATGCGGGCACCCGTAGGGAGCGTGCGTTTTTAACCAAGGCAAGTATTCCAGTGAATGCTCAGCATCCGTTTGATCAGTGCAATGGCATGTAGCGCTCCGAAAATAGTATTTGGCAAAAGCGGATCAGCAAAGGTCGCCATGCTGCCTGGTCATTTTATATTCCGCTCGAAGGCGCGTAGTTGATGTCAGCCAACCATGCGCACAAATACCTTGACCACCGGTGGTGAAACCAACGTGGCACAAGCCTCGCTCCCGCACGCTAAGGGCTCCATTGGGACCCGTTGAGGTCACAAAATCTCGGTACGTAGATCTTATTGCCGAAATGTTTGAGCCCACTGGCCCGGGCACAAAACCATAGACTGTCTTGGTACCGTGCGCACATGGCCAAGAATATACTCTACAACTAGCTGAATGGTGACAACGGGCTGGCTGAGGATTGGACTAACGTCTCCAATGAGCTACATTCCAGAGCTTGGCGCGTGTCGGTATGTCATCCTACCATGAAATAACGTCGGCTTTCGTGTTGACACAGACAACGAGCTGGCTGAATGATGACAACGGGCTGGCTGGGATTGGACTAGCTGTACATTCTAGAGCTTGCCGCAGCTATTACAACCTCTTTCATGTCCAATACGGAGCAGACGCGGATGGCCGGCGAGGCGGTACCAGCTGTCGGACTGTCAGGCTAATTCGTCTCGCGCCGTGTCGCACTTTGTGGGATACTTGCACAAAGAAGATGATAACATGACTAGTTCGCAGCTGAAAAAGCAATCGGTGGTGGTAACGACTAGAAAAGGTGGTCAGAAATGCAAGCCTTCCATGGATGGCTCTTACGCTAGTTAAGTAACGATTGCATCAGCAGCTGCACCGATGGCCCAAAAAGCTTCTCTATGTACTAGACGCATCGCAATCGACCAAATCTTCCCGACATTGGTTTTCATTGCGTCTGCTGGAAGCTGTTTTCTCGGCATACGCGTACCTGCATGTCTTGCTTACGAAGCTGTACCCATGTTCCACACGACGACGCGCCCGACATCGGCCGGCCGACGTGACCAAGCCCTTGACTCCAGTTAGTATTCTTGACCATCGAAACGTGATGTCGAGAAGGCAAGATGCGGATGTCGCACCATGTCGAGTAAGGGGATGAGGCTGAATCATAACCTCAACAGGTAAGTCTCACAGCTGACGGTTAGGGCGCTGCGCCGAAAGAGCCTCTGTCTCCTGCAGCCTCAGCTCGAGATGATGGTTTCATGCCACGCCACAAGACGCCCTTTTCGCTGCAAAGGGCCTTCTCTTGGGTTCTGGAAGCGGCGATACCGTAACACGCATGTTAGTGGCTGTCGGTGTTGGCGTTGCAACCGATGTGTACAACCCAAGGCTACCGTAGACCAGCGGCTTAGAGACGACCAGGACGACAGGGGACATATGTTGTGCTCTACCCCAGACGTGCATGCCGTACACATCATGTGCTTTGGTACTTTTTACGCCTGTCGTTGAAAGTAATCAATGTCAATAACGATTTAAAGGTACAATTTTGGACTGCGGTCTAGCCTAGTCTCCGACCGTGGGGTTAACGAAACGTGGGGATGGTCTAGGCCGCCGGTAAATTTGGGCTCAAATGATATTCACCCTTTGATATCTACCGGTCAGGCCTTTCTCTACAGAGGCCACATCCACTACACTCGTCCTTTAACGCGTCCACTTCGAAACCCAAATACTTGCTTACCCATTTTTTGTTTCGCACGCTTCTCAAATGTACCATCTAGAAGGCAATCCGGTTCCGTCTGATCAAAAATTGTTCAAGGACCTGCTTCAGATCACGACATCAAAATGGCAGTCAATACGGAAGAACAATTTGAGTGTGAAACTGGGGGAAACAACTCCAAAGCCCTCCCTATCAGGTCCTCGCCAACAACACCGCCTCGACGTGACACCAACACCTCCACATCGTGACCCGAAACTTCCGACCGATTGTACAGTGGTACATCCATCGACGCTTCGGTGATGGGAAATAATCGCAGACAAAATTTCAACCTCCGCGAAGCAACCTACGCCGCTCTCTACTGCAACTTGATATGGGTTAGTCAAGATCCGCTGAGAGAACAGGACGCCTTAACGTTATTCCCCTTGCGGTAAGCGTCGCGGGTTTTGAACGCGGCTGCCTGGCATTCGCCAACAATGTATTTCAAACCCACGTCCTACATACCAGCTTTTTTCGAGTCTGTCGTGTTCTCCCTAGAGACCCATTTGTACGATCAAATACCAAACCACATTCGTTAGCAACCCTCGGGACCGAACTTCAGACAGCACTAGCCTATGACACGCAATGCCCGACCCGGCCACATTTGAGAAGTTGCGCCCATGCGGCAGACTGGAAACCCATAGCACAGCGCGACACCATCTGGGCTTGTATAAGAATGTGGGACTTACTGCCGAATACAAAGTGCCGAGCAATAGTCAGCTTCGCCTAGAAAGTCACGTTTATGGTGCCTGCGACATGTCATTTCTCACAACTCGAACTTGAGCGCTATCGCTCTAAACGAAGACCAGTCTTACCCCAACGCTTATTTTGCACGACTACCAGCAATAAATCTACAGACTTGCGTAGAGTTTCTCGAAAGAAAGACCCCGTTTCCAGAAGATGGTGAGAGTGACCAAGAGATGGACAAGATACTGGTGCAGCAACATAGTCGTGATTTCAAGCAAGACTTGGGATCCAAGCCTTTCTGGCAGGTAATCATTGTAACTTCGCTGGTCGATGTTACGAAGTTCACAGCGACATGGGTGTGGCATCATGCGCTAGCTGACGGCATCTCCGGCTTCGTTTTTCACGACTCATTTCTCGCTGGCCTCAACTCGCTGAAAGAGGGGGACAACACCGACCCAATCATCAAATCGCCGACCTCAGCCCTACTTCCACCGCTGGAGGAACTACACCCAATGATTATCTCCTGGTCGTTCTTCTTGCGCGCCATCCTCGCATCTATATTACCCGCGATATTTGCGAAGCGGCCCGCAAAACTGTGGACTGGCAAAGCAGTACCATCAGACGTGACGATGGAGTCGAAAACGCGGCTTCGAACTCTTGTAATTTCCAAAGCAACCACAACAAAACTAGCAGAAGCCAGCCGAAGAGAAAAGACGAGTGTAACAGCAACGCTGCAATGTCTCCTAGCTGCCTCACTATTTTCACTCCTCCCAGCTGCGGAATACCACCGTCTCACCATCGAAGGCCCAATGTCTGTGCGGCGCTTCCTCAACGTCAAGGACGACCAAATGACAGATGCATTCACGCTCTACAACTTCCTACACGAACGCACCGAAAGCGACGCTCAAACAGGGTCTATCTTGCGATATTTCTCCTGGGACACAGCGCGAGCAGTCAAATCTGTCATCGCCGCCGAAGCGGCAAAAGGTGGCAATGACAACTCCATCGCGCTTCTCAAATACGTTTCTTCCATGGATCAATTCCTCCTTGGCAAAATGGGCAAGCCGCGCACGCCCTCGGCGGAGATATCAAATGTGGGTGTGTGGAAGGGTGTGCAAAGCCAAGAGACGCAGAGCGAGACAAAGTGGAGCATAGGTAGGATGGTGTTTAGCCAATCTCATAACATAGTCGCCAACCCCTTTGCGATGAATGTTGTAACTGGCGGGGATGGCAATGCTGTGGCGAGCTTTTGTTGGTCCGAGGCAGCTGTGGACGAAGATTTCATGTACAAGGTGATTGATGGTGTCAGAGAAGGTGTCGAGGAGTTGGTGGTGGGAGAGCCAGAGCGTTGAATGTGGACATGAATATATCGAATGCACGGTTCCCACCCCCGTTCTTCTACAATTTAGATAATTAAGCACAGCTCCTTTTACCAGATTACTACAATTCATTCCGATGCGCCATCTCAAAGATCTTCCCAAATACGAACAAAACGCCTACAAATCCCAGCCAGATGAAATCCCTCTGTAACGTCATGAACCCTCGTCATTCACAAACACGCTTTTTCTAACGCCCTCCCCTTTGATATTCCCAAACTTCTTGCTTCCTCCCACTTCCACCTCCATTTCCGCCTTGGCCATAGTATGTAGCATACGCCGCATTCACACCCTGATGGTGCTCCTTTGCATGTCGCTTGATGGAAGTCCAGATACCGTGTACTTTGCTTCGTTCCCTTAGCGTAAGAGCTGATCCAAAAGAGGCGATGGATTCCGCAGATGATGATGTGACGGTGGACTTGAGGTCTTCGATAGAGTTGCGGGCCGTACTTGCGGTAGAGTTTGACATTTTGAAAGGATGGGATTGTAGTATTGGAAGGTTTGTAAGAATGGTGTATGTCCAGGATTTGGTGGGGATTGGTAGGTTTTTTCTGACGATTTACTAGTCTGACCCAAGATTTGCTGAGGTATGATGCTTGGATTAGGCGTTTGAGTAGGAACGTGCAATTCGGGTGTTTGCGCTCCGTCTAGTGCAGGGTAGTATCGTCTAGTTTCCTGCGTGTTGCCGTATTCCGACGCGTCTCTTGTTTGATTTGCAGAATCTCTAGTCACAAGAGGGATTGATGTCGTTGTAATGATTCACAATACCTTGGGCGAGGACCAGAATTCCTTTACACCCTTGAACCCAACAAACCCACACACCAACATGTCCATATGTCCACATGTCCACACCCTGCGCCTTATGACTCCCATGATCCAACACGACGACCACGCCCTTCCACTTCGACCAGACTGCCGGTCAGACAAGCCTCGCGGGAAATGGATTTGGCATGTGCATCCCTGTACACGCTAACTATTCGACATGAACTCCGCATGTAGGAGCTTGCTCTCTTCGGCGATCGGAATAGGCTAGCGTGCGCATCCTGTTACGCAATGACGAGGCGTATGCAAAGGAAATTTACTATAACAAAGGCTACGCCGCATCGACCGCATCTTCTAAACCTAGCTATAGGCCTATTATGCGGCCATGACGGAAAAAGCGCAGGGAATCATGGACTAACAAGTTGGGTGTAAGGCGCACGCCTTGTGCTCCGCGGGAAGTGGGGCTAGCGGGTATTAGTGAGCCATGCAATGCGCCCTATGCATGTCAAAGGTTGGCAATTGATGAGCAAACACTTGGATGTATCAGATTTGGGAGACGTGGGCGTTATGCGGTGTTGCACAGAGATGCAGAGCCCGTTGGTAATGAGGTCTGAGCACAAGAGGAAATGTTGAAGTGACACAGAGTGGAGACATGACGGCAGCACAGATGATCATTTGCTTTTGCGAAAACTTTATCTTTAATCGATCGATTAATTTACATTATCGATGACGAGCCATCAAGGCTTCACGATGACCTGCCACGGCAGCGTATTATCGAAGAAGAAGGTCGCCTTCGGCTGAGCAGCAAGGCTTTCATCCGTCATGTTACATAGCTTGGTAAAATCGCCTGCTTCTTCGCGCTTCTTCTTGATAATCTTCTGGTACTGTAACAGTGGGCACGAAGAGCCAGGCCCACTGGTACAGTTTACAACAGGATAAACGACATCGTTGATGCGAATCCTCATGTACGTCTCCTCAATAGGCTTAGAAGGCTCGGCAGTTGCCGAACAGTTAGATATCTTGTGCGCGTAATGATAAGTGGTAGTGCTGTTTGGTGCAGAAGACGTGCACGACAAGCGTTCGAAAGCTACGGTGCCGCGCATCTTCACGATCTGAGATGAGCGGAATAGACGATCTGGCAGCGACATGTTGCCGGGAAGTGGTTGCTGGCCATCGAACACGCCGATCGCTGCAGCAAGCTGGTTGATTTGACCATCGTTTGAGAACGAAGCCATCATCTTGGGTGGCGTAAAAGTATCGTTTCCGACCTTGTATGCTGCATTGGGCCCGTCGACGAAGCGCTGCACAGCCATATCGACAACTGGCAACATTTGGTACTTTTCAATATCCGAGCCAAGTCCATTCCCATACCAGTAACGTAAATCTTGTGCATATTCATATTGTAAAACCTCCTCCTTGGTGAAAACGTCACAGAAGGGACTTCGGCGGCCAGTAATTTGGGTCTCGAAACCACAGAGGTAGGGAAACAACTCCACCTGGCTCTTGGTGAGGTTGAGATTACCCTGGATCTGAGCGTTGAGTCTCGCGACGATGGGTGGGAGGTAGATCGCATCCCATACTGGCTTGATGGGGCTACCGCCTTCGTCATTGTATGCTTTGCAGAGGTCACTCGGAGCGAGAGAGTTGCCCCAGCTAGAAGGATCGCTGGCATTGAGGGCGTAAATCGTTGTGAGATCTGTGGCATTGGGACCTATGAATCCCTGGGCGAATAGGCGTGCGCTGTCTCGTACACGAGGGCCGGACTTGTAGTAATTGGCCCACATGGTGAACGGGGTGTTGTACTCGTATAAGTCGGGGTAACGAAGGCGCCAAGTCGTTCCCATCTCATGAAGCTCCTTCCAACCAGTAGGGCTCACGTTGGCGATTTGGGCCTCGGGATTGGATAGTACAGGCTTCCAGGTCTTCAAGAAGGCGAGCTTCTCGTTAGTGACCTCAAAGTCGCCTGCAGCCTGAATGTACTTGGAGAGTTCCACCCATTCCTTATAGGCACCTGTGTCGGGATACCGCGAACCATGGCGCGAGAAGGAGGCTTGGGATATTAGTTGCTGAGTGAGACTTTTACATTATATACTGCTAAGATGTTCTTACCTGCAAGATCGACTTTGCATCCCGTAGGTACCTCGGATGAGATGCCAGTCAGTTCCTCGCCCGGAAGCCACTGTCCATTGCCTCCGAGATGTTGGAAGATGTTGAAGTCGTCTTGAGCCGCAACTGCAGCGCTGCTCACAGCGAGGGAAACAAGAAGAAACCTCATGGTAATTCACAGGTGCTACGAGCCGCCGGTAGCTGCAGAAGAGATATTGGGCACAAGATGCATTTTTATAGCCGGAAAATCTATACCACGTCTTGATATGAGGAATACATTACTTGGTCTAGTCTCGGAGATGAACCCTTGATGGAAAGGCAATGCTTCCTAAGACGGTAAGGATGCCCAAAATGCCGTTGCACGTGGGTGCAGACGCACCAGCTGGGTGGTTTCCTCGCATTACGGCACGGGTAGCTTTAACGGCCAAGAGAAGGCGTTGACGGGGCTTGATCCTTCGCTTATATTGAGGCTCGTTGAGAGAGATACGTTGATGATGCTTTACGTTGCCGTCTGATTAGTGACTTGTAAACAGGGCGGGGTGCGCCGATACAGCGGACGGCTTTGGCAGGTGCAAGCGAGGATTAGTCAGGCAGCTTGTCGATATCGGGCCCGCTATTCTCTTTATCGATACCGCACCCGGAATCTGACTCAATCTTTACACATGGTCAACACGACTCTTAACACCATGTATGTCCTCATTCCTCCTCGGTGACTATCCGGATCAGGTTTTTCCCGTTGCTTGTCACCCTCAGATCATGGCTGATCCGAAGCCGCGGCAACGCAAGTTTGCGCCAAGGTCACGCACTGGCTGCTTGACTTGTAGGACACGGCGGAAGAGATGCGATAGTGCCCAACCTCAGTGCGCCAACTGTGCACGTTTAAACCTCAAGTGCGAATGGCAAGCACCGCGGAAAGTTGTCGCAGAGTCGCCCGCCTCTCCATCGCGCTCGAAAAGTCCAGAGTTCCAGGTTGCAGGGCCATTATCTTCCTCGCCAGACGCATGGGATGCACTACCGGGTGACCATGGGTCTGAACGGATGCATCTACTTCAGTATTATGTCGAAGCCTTCGTACCCAGTGTGCAAGTCGCACCGATTGCAACGAGTTTTTATACCAGCCTATATATGCCTTGGTCCTTCCAAATCGAGGGCATGCTCGACGCCATCCTCGCCATATCTTCTGCTCAGTTGGCAAGAAGGAGCCAAGATGCCGACCGTGCAGAACATTTGAGGGCTGTATCTCTTCGACATGAGAGGAAATGCTATGAATTCATCAAAGAACGTCTCTCTCCATCTGGTGGACTACCAAAGGACACGTATCAGGTCACTGCTGTTATCCTCATCTTGGTCGGGCTCGAGGCGCTGAACGGAGTCAAGACGACGAGGTGGATATCACAGTTGAAGAGTGTACAACGCATTCTGGGCGCACTGTCTCCAGAGCAGAGCCTCATGGACTGCGTGGAAGTCGACTCTCTGCATCGTCACTTCACCTACCACTTTGCTTCGGCATCTCTCATGGCCCGCGTATCAAATGCTGGAAACGCGTCTTCTGCTGAACAAGGCTTGATGATGATAAGCGCCGCGCCTATGCCAGGCACCATCGACCCTCTAATGGGCATCTCATACCAACTATGCGATCTCATCTCCCGGATTCAGTACGTAACTGCCTCCAACCCTGCGTTTCCCCTCGCAACAGAAGCATCATTCAATGTCATCGAACAGGGAATACAAAATTGGACATACGAAAACCCATTCACGTTGGGCGTCGACACTCCGATAGCTCTCGACCTCATCGCTTTGGCAGAAGCTTACCGGTTGGCGGCACTCATTCAACTTTATCGCACATCGCCTACTCGCTCGTTGCGTATTCAGCACTACGCATCACGTACAATGGAGTTTATTGCGCGTATACCTCCTGGAAGTCCAGCCGAGTCGAGCCTACTTTATCCCATTTTCCTAGCCGGCGCAGAACTAGATGATGAAGCGGCCATTGAGCAATGCTTCAAGAGACTTGAAGGAATCCAGAAGCGGAATCGGTATGAGAATGTTGAATGCGTGCAGAAGGTGTTGAAAGAGGTTTGGCGACCAAAGCTGGAGGGTGGACAAAGAAGAGATTGGGAGGATGTGGTAAGAGAATGGAACTGGTCATTCACTTTGGGGTGAGGAATTTTAGCTTGTTTGGACGTATGGTGTTATAGTTGGCGTTGCATATGACCTTATTCGTGTTTCTGTTTCTTGACATGACATTTGCACCTCGCTCTGGATAGGAGTATCTGAAGATATGATGTCAATATAGACGAAGATAACATTATGAAGCCCAATCAAACGTTGGAACATATAATTCCCTGATGTCACTGTAGCTATATCTGAGCTGCACGATTAGCCTGGACCTAGAGGTCTCACACACAGACTTCCCATGGATAATTTGATTGAGCGGACGTACAAGGATCTGTTTACTGGTGATGAGTTCACTGTGATCAACTCAGCTCAATTACTCTCGAGCCGTGTGAGAATTATACATATCTTGTGGATTAGAGGCGGGAGATATTTTCGACAAGTATTTCAGGGTCATACTAAGACAATTGGACCTCTAATTATATCAAATGATTTGTAGTTGTGGGTATTGCAATCTTGGTGGATCAGATTAAAGGATTGGGGGTTATCCATCTGTTTGTTCATTGAGAGTTTCGAGATGCTTTAAGTCTGCTTCTTCGTGATCAGTATCTCAACTCTCTGGTGGATGTGATTGTCCAACATGGTGCAAATTGGATAAGATGAGTTGAATTAGATATATACTAAAGGAGATGTGAGATTGCTCGCTGAATACCAATTATATACGAAAACCAGCTTCAAAGAGGAGAAGAGAATGAACGATAAAGATACACCATTTGCCAGCGTCTTGGTACAAAATCTGCAGCCTCTATCGTCATCTGTTCCCACCACCCACCTGCAGCCGCTGCTCAAGCCGTGAAGAGTCTGTGGGCATGCAATGTCCAAGTTGGACTTGTCCATGTGACAGTTCCACAGCACGCCAAGTCGCAGAAACAGTTGTTCACCATGACTTGTCTGTTCCTACGCGCCATCACCCCACAAGCCTACAACCTGCATTGCAAACGCAACACCCGCCAAGGCCGTCTTGACCCACTCAGTCCTCTGCTTCCTTTCTACCGCCTGCCTGACTTGCTCGCCATTCACTTCATCGCCCTGCGCCTCCAATTCCATGACCATCCTTTCATCGGAGCCCTCTGTAAAGCTCACAGCGTATTCGACACCAGGGCCGGATACGAAGGCGAAGATGGACGTGTAGAGAAGATATGGATGTCTGAATCGTCGCGGCGAGAGCAGGTAGGCGGAGAAGAGGGTAAAGGTTGTGACGTGACGAAGGTACGAGGATAGATTTGTGGATTTGGTGGAGAGATAAGTGAGGGATGTGCGCGCGTGAGGGGCGGTTGGGAGAGCGAGGAGAGCGGGTAGCGCGAGGGTAGAGAGGGTTGCTGAGACACCCTTGTGTAATGTTAGTTCTTGCTGATTTCCTGATATTTTTCCCTTGTTCATGTACAAAAGTTGGAGAGAGGGGCCATGACACGATTTGAATGATGCGGGGAGCTTTAAGATATGAGGTGGCGGGCGTTGCAGACATACTGTAGCAATTCCCAAGCTGATTGTTCCGACAAATTTACATATTGAGACTGTTTGCGCAGCCATTTTGTTTCGAGGCCGGCGTGTAGCGGTGTTGTAAGGTTGATTGGCGGTTTGGAGGGTTTGGCTATGAAGTGACTTGTCTTGGTGAGGATGCGGCAGCGCTGGCAGACATGCGGACATGACGCGGGTATGATTCGGAGCAGGCAGCCCACAGCGGATTCGGAGACGTCACGTCATGGCCCAAGCTTCTACCTTCCCTTCCCTTCCCTTCCATTCAAGCACATGCAACTGAGCTTATGCGGGGAACAAGCAAGCCAAGTCTGCACATATATTTCCACTTGCAGGTAAAAATATACGCAAACACTGTCTCCGAATAACCCAACTCTTGACGCGAGCATGGACTTTGCACGAGCGTTGCTCCGTCGGAGAATTATATCGAGACGAGTCGTACCTCGGCTCAGACTCGTGCTACTACCCCAGGTCTTAGGATTGTCAGACAAGTCTTGCGGCCGTAACTTTCACTCCAAGTGAGAACACTGAGCTAATTTCATCACACACACACAAGACACCCATCTTTGCGTTAACCGTACCGATTACTTTGACCACCACTACTCACCCTTTCTGCCAGTACTGCACGACTCCAGTCCAACGCGTCGGATAGCACAAAGTCCGCCTCGAAACCACCGCCCAAGATGCCAATGGACAGATACCAATATGTCAGCAATGTCTGGAGAGATGGCATCTTTGGTACGTCACGCAATGAGCTGCGTGTAGCAAGATATAAAAACGTCGACACCAGCTAACAAGCACATCAGATGGCAAAGTAGTCTTCTGTACTGGCGGCGCAGGCACCATCTGCTCAGCCCAAGTTCGCGCCATGGTCGCGCTCGGAGCAAACGCCTGCATCGTAAGCCGCAACACTGAGAAGATTACAGCCATGGCCAAAGATCTCGAAACCGCACGCCCCGGCGCAAAAGTCATCGGTATCGGCGCAATCGATGTCAGGAAGCCCGAGCTCCTCGAACAAGCCGCCGCGCGCTGCGAGAAAGAGCTCGGAAGCATCGACTTTGTCATTGCAGGCGCAGCAGGCAACTTCCTCGCTTCCTTTGACCAGATCTCGACAAACGCCATGAAGTCTGTCATCGACATTGACGTCTTGGGTAGTTGGAACACGGTCAAGGCAACGATGCCGTATCTCGAGAAATCGGCCAAGAAGCACAGGACGGATGGGTTGACTGTGCCTGCCAACGGTACAGGCGGCCGAATCATCTTTGTCAGTGCCACACTCCATTATGCAGGTACACCGCTACAAGGCCACGTCTCGGTCGCAAAGGCAGGTGTAGATGCCATGGCCATGTCAGTAGCAATTGAAAAGGGTCCTTTGGGTGTTACATCCAATGTCATTGCTCCCGGGCCCATTGGAAACACCGAAGGTATGGCGCGGTTGTCTAAACCAGATGCGCTGAGCAAATTGGCCAAGAACATTCCCTCGGGTCGTCTCGGCTCGGTCAAGGAGATTGCGGATGCGACCGTGTTCTTGTTCTCCGACGCGGGCAACTATGTCAATGGCGATACCATTGTTGTTGATGGCGGCGCGTGGCGGAACGTGGGCGTGGGAAGCGGCGATCAATATCCTGAGATTGTGCTTGCTCCTGAGAGCTCCAAGGCGAAACTATAGAGATTGGACTAGAACTGTTAGGAATAAGAAACAGATGCCACAGGTTTGGGATCGAGACCTCGGTCCATCCGTCTTCTTTTCTTTCCTTGTGGTTGTTTTTAGCCCTAGATTGCACGCATCTCAAATGAACCAACGAACTATGCACACCCTTCCTTCTTCCCTCCGCAACTGTCCTGACAAGGCACCGAGGCCAAATGTACCGTCTGTTTCATCCAAACGATACTCAGCACAGCCACATCAAACGAGTCACGAAGCTCCTACAGCACAAATGCTCTCCTTACAAATCAGAAAATCTCCGAGTCACGTATACTCAAGCCAGCATAATGTCCAAGTTCGGTAAGCATAGGCTTCATCAGAAATTCAAAGTACCGTTTCCGTTACCGGAACCTTCCATTGCAATCTTCCAGAAAGTTCAACAAATTACCCAAACAACTAAAACTCGCGTCTACACAGGTTCCGACGCCGGGACAGCAAACACGCCGCCTGCCGTCCGCTGTCAGACAAGAAATTTCATCCTAAAATAATCCGGGAAGAAGGCATGGCGAGGGCAGCCGGTAGTGCTATCGTGACCGGACCGGCTACACTACCTAGGTATGCTTCAGCATAATATAAACTTTCGTCATGATGAGATAGCCCTAGTGATAGGCAGGGCAGGGCCATGGATGACAGCCCTACATCTTGTCAGCTACGCAATCGACAGTGATAGCCAATGGATGCAGCATGTTGATCTGTTGATCTGTTGATCCACGGCGTGGATCTTGGGCGAGGGAAACAACAGGTTGGGAGCGTGGGAGGTAAGAATTGAACCCTGATCACCACTGTCCGTGTCGTAATAGGCACATCCCCCATCCATCCCCCCGAACAAGGTGCCGTTCAATCTTACAGTGAACCCACCTGCCGCTCACCCACCCATCTAGCATACGGAAAGGGAACCCAACCAGCGCCCGCCATGTCGTCTCAATACTCATCAGCAAATGTTGAATCTCTGAGCCCCTGGATCATGGCCCATAATTCATCTTGTTGTCCAACACGGGACATGGGCACCCTTATCCTGGTCCCCTGTCGATCGCACTATCGATATGCAGGGATACTGATTTGGGCCTAGAGCGGGCTATGGAGACGAGTCAGAAGCCGAGGAGAAGACGGTGGTTGCGTCATAAGACTATTTTTCCCTCGTCAGGAGAGGCAGGAGCTTGGTTGAAGGGGGGATTGAGTTGGCGCCGTCATGTCGCATTACCGGGCGTTAGTGTGCTGTCTTGCTGCTGGTTACCGGTACAGTATGTATGTATGTACCGTAGAAGGGGACGGGACGAGGTTGGGTTAGTCTGCTACGCGTCCTATGCCATCGGGCATTGCTTTTTGACGCCAACGCTTTCTTTGCCCTGGTGCTGTTCAGGCTGAAGGGTGGTTTGCTGTACGAGCGAAACAAGGGTGGAGATAGGGTGCGTGTGCTTCCGTGGTAAGCGAGAATTCACATTGATGAAAGGATGTTGCGCTTGCGAACTTGAACTGGTTATCGGGTTTGAGTGCTGACACGTTTCGATAGTCGAGGTGAATATTTGACCGGCGCGTCGCCGTGCTGTTGTTGTGCTGCGTGAGTGGGTGGTGTCCTTGAAGCCTGTCAACGGCCCGGCGCTTCCAAGGTTGTTTTCCAGGAGCCTGCCAAGCTGCGTGGCGGCCGTAGGGCCGTGAGGCTCAACTGGACTCTGAGCTTGCATGCAGGCAAGGCCATGGGAGTGGTAATTTTGGAAGGTTGTGCAGAGACGGTGGGGAAGAAGAATGCTGTTGTCGCAACACTCGCAGGCAATCCTGGGTCTTAGTAGACGTTGTTAAGCCGTTGGGTTGGCCAGGACTGCAGATGCGATGACACCAAAGCATACAAGGCGCTGCTTAACATACTTAGGTAGTGCTGGTTGGCTACAACGACGGCGGTACGACGCCACTGATGCTAAATGTGCGCAAAGCCAGGTGATCAGCACTGCAACACAGCAAGACAAAACGCGCTGCCTGTCCGGCGCCGTGCATCCAACCATAATACCTTTTCCCTTTTCTTTTCACACACTCGCTGTCGGAATCGACCTTTACATTCGTTTGACACGGAAAGCTTTCGCCAGTCTGTCACGAGGACAGTCTTGTCAAAAGTCAGAATCCGGGGACACGACCATCCGTCTTGGTACGACTGGGCGCGAGCGTAACAGCGACATTGTGTAGCCCGGGTTGCAGTAAGACGGCTGAGGATATCCAGTCGAGCAGTCGTGACGTGATCGGACCAGCCACCTGCACCATCGCAATTGCAATTGCAATCGGCACGCGGGGGCTGAGCACGTCATGAACCGGAGAGAGACCGAGAGCAACGCTTCAGCTTCAGGTTAAATTCCAGGACTCTGTTTGCTTCGACGGCGCGGCTCTAGCAGACGGCGAGAAAGCAAGGCGCCAAGAGGGGTCGACTTGGACTTGAGTCTTGTAGGTACAGTAGACCTGGCACCTGGCAAGACGTGGCACAAGCGTGTCCCGTGTCCCGTCGCTCGAGTCAGGAGTCCTGCTCAGTGCGGAACAGGCGGAGGAACTAAAGGCCAAAGCGGGAGGCATCGTAACCTGCTTTCACCTGCACAGACCGTAAAGAGGTTTAGGCGCTCGTAAGTCTGCAGCTCCACCCACGCCAAAGCCCTCCAGCCCTCAACACCGGCCCATGTCCAGCTTTTCTTCCCTATGCACATCCACGGTATTACCGGCCACACCCGCAGCAATGCTGACTAGAGCTTGAGTGAATTCAACTTCGCTCCGCAGACCCTTGGGCTCTTTACACAGTTTCACACGGACGAAGGCCGACGCTTCCCACCCTGCGACTCGACCGGCCCGCACCACCTTACACCACCACCTCCAGTCCAATCTACCCTCCTTTCCCCCCACTACCAAGACGTCGCTGTCGACGCCTTCACAAACTCGCCATTGCGCCTGCCTAGGCTGCTAGACGACAGCGGAGGCGTTCAATCGCTAATCCAAGTCTTTGTTGTTTGTGACGTCCGTCGCCACAGCTGTCCATTCACCGTCGACAATCAGCCCGACCTAGGACCCACTGTAGCGGACAACCACTAACAAAGACTATTCATACACACCTCACTCAATCATCAGAGCCCTCACACACTCGCTCGCCATCATGGAGCGCACATATGCATCCTCGTTAATAGGCCTAGCTGCCCTGTTCGTATTGCTACTTTCCATTAAACCAGTACGCGCCGCAGACTGGGTACAGTCATATTGCTCGTCACAAAATACTGGCAGCGATAACACTGAATGTAAGCCTTTCTCTTCCTTGCTCCTCTTCTTCCAATACTAACAAACTCCTCAGACACATGGCAGTGGCAATCCAATGGCAACTGCACCAACCATTGCAAACAGGCTGGCAACAACTTTGCCTTTGCCGTCTTAAAATACACCGAGTGCTGGTGTTCCAACTACATTCCCGCCGATCAAACCGACGTGAGCAACTGCCAGGTCGATTGTCCCGGCTTTCCAGATGAAAAATGCGGCAACAAAAAAGAAAATCTCTACATGTACATTCAAATGGACGGTAAACCATCCGGCACCATGGGCGGCTCCCAGCCTTCGTCGACTGCCGCAGCCCCTACCTCTCAGACACAGGCTGAGACTTCAAAAGCTCCTGTAAGTACCCTCATTTCCATTCTGTCTTTACCCCCATCTCCTTGCATCTTCACCCCCCCTTTTGTTTCCTCTTGCCTCCATTGTCCCCTGCGCGTACTCTTACGCCATCAGTGTTTGACATGGTGTGGTAGTCCGCTCCGGCTCCGCCCCAAGTGGTGACGAGCATCGTGACGCCTAGTCCAGAAACTATCGTAGTTACTGAGAAGCCGTCTTCTTCTTCTACCTCGTCTTCGTCTACTACTACTGTATTTCGCTTCCAGTCCAGCTCACTACACATTCCTAACATTGTACACAGACCCAGAAATCCTCCACTACCCCCGCCCCGGATCGTTCTCCCTCCCAGACCCAGCAGCCCGTCACGATGCCGACCTTGGTCACTGAAAGCGGTGTCGTCGTTACCCGCACCGTCGTCATCACACCTTCAGCAGCAGCTTCCGATGGATCGAAGCCTGAACCCAAATCCAACGTAGGCGCAATTGCAGGTGGTGTCGCCGGCGGATTTGTCCTTTTGATAGCCATTGTTGGTGGCATTCTATTCTTACTGTGGAGAAAGAGGAGGAGGCAGCAAGATCAAGAGAACGGAAGCGGCGATTCATCGGGTATCACGCGGAATGTAAGCACCATGAGCCGAGCCGGTCTGCTTGGAGGACGTACCGAGAAAACACCCACGCCGATCGTCACAAAGTTCGGTTCGCAGAGGAGCAGGAATGAGAGCGAAACAGGAACGCCCATCACACCGTCAAGTCGTCGATTAAGTCAACCGATCCTCGTCGACTCGCGGCTCAACCCAGCCGCCGTTCTCACATTCCACGGTGCCAACGCCAGCCGGGAAAGTTTAGGGAGCATCGATGACAGCCGGGATTACGGACGTCAATTGAACGTGCGGAATCCAGATCCTTATCCCTAAACCATCTCCCGTTGATGTTTCTCAATTGCGAACTCGATTTGGCAAATTGGCTCGATTTCAGTGCAAACGACTGAGGTACTCCAGGCCAAATTGGACGTTAGCCAATGCGGTTGGATGTCACCAATACCGATACGATTCACGAACGCACCAGCGCCACAAGCACACCAGTTCATTCGTAATGTTTTAGCAGCGACACACGGGCGTTATGTTTGATTCATCAGTCGACTGCGGTCTGCCTCCGGGCACCAACAAGATGAAAATCGTCGGGTTTGGATATATTCTTAATTGCGCCATCATCCATGTACTATATTTCTCTCTCTTTTTTTAACCGGATTTCCTTGTGTGACAATGTATATACCATATTTAGGGTGGGTAAGATGATATGAAATTTTGCCATATGGCTAGGGCAAGAAGGGAAAGCCGAGACACATGCCGGCGTGAGTGTGTGAGAAGAAAGGAGAGAAAGATTTTCTTGCAACCAAAGAAGATGGTTGGATTGGAAAGAGACGGGACTGTTGCGCGTATGCGAGCATACGTTGTAGCTGCATCATCATCTCTCTAAAATTGAAAGCAAAGATTACCGTTTGGTTTACTATTTTGCATTTGCTCTATCTGAATGACGTGATTTGCTGTTACTACCATCTTGTCAAGATGGAGATAAGTTTACGATTGAGTGGGTTCCTGTCGCAATTTACGTGACTGCTCCCTGTGTTCTAAGGTTGTAGTGGCCGTGACTTACGGTGCCAAGACGCTAGCATCGCTCCCTCTTTGTTGCCCGTGCCGCTGCCTTCTCATCTTGTTACCATCTGCATAGACATGGACAATCTTCCCAACGAACTGCTTCTCGAGATCTTCAATCACCTAAGCTCCGAGGACAAATCTGATATCCTATCCGTCAGTGTCGTTAATCGCCGGTTTCATGGCCTTGCAAACGACGTCCTCTACAATAGCTACTCACTAGCTCAAGGAGATGCAGCACTTTTCATCTCTGCTATTGCATCGAAACCTCAACTTGCAAAGTGTGTTCGGCAGGTCAATTGGGATTGCCGGCCCAGAAGCAACTTTGCCCTGGTCATTAATGACGCCTTTTTCTTTCTCCGACCCTTTTCGGCCGCAGAAGGTCGTCATATCAAGGAAACACTGGGTATACGGGGCTCGCTTTACACGGAAGATTTGAATAGGCGTTGCCATGAACTTGGACCCGAATCATATCTTTACACGTTCTTGTCATTTACCCCTAGAGTAAGCACACTCAATGTGGTCGCACCCTCGCAGTGGGATCGTCATAAGATATGGTTCAAGCCAGCCCTCGATTCTCAAATGTTCGCCCATTTACACACAGCAAGCATAATTGGCCCAATGCGTATCCACAGTGTTCTCCCGTTGTTCCTGGTTCCCTCGTTGCGAACTTTAACCTTGAATGATGTGGTATCTCATCGCAATCATGCCAGAGCAGGTGCGCAGGACGAATGGAGCACAAACAGCGAGGTTTATGAACGATTAGAAAGAGAAGGATCCTGGATCAAGAACTTTTATTTGACAAACTGCAACGAACCCGTCTCTACGATTGACAGAATAATGGGGATATTCAGAAACCTCCAAATATTGGAAATTGAGCAATACGGGGGCGTCAGTTGGCATTACCCAGAACTGGATCTGCAGAAGCTGTTGCAATCTTTTGGGCAGCAGCGTAAATCACTTACATCGCTCTCCGTTGCTACCAGCAATGTAGCACTGGACCCATGCGCTTTGGAGTGGCTGCAAGTTCTCACACACGTCGAGAGCCTCTCGCTCAACCTGTCAGCCGAAACCAGAGAGGAAGATGAAAACATCAGCAACAAGATATCATCAGGCTTTTCGGACTGGCTGCCTAGGAACCTCAAACACCTCCGTCTCATCGTCAACGACCTTTCATTGCTTGGAAGGGATAGTCTATCCACAGGACCCTCAGAAGATACTGTAGACGCATTATTTGCCTTTTCAAAGAATGTAAAGGAGGTTTTACCTGACTTGCGCACGCTGGCTGTGGATGAGTGGGATGAGATGCTGGGCACGTTTGCATGCCAGACTGATTTTAAGCTGCTGCAGCAAGAATTTGCGCGCAAGGGGGTGCATCTGCTGGCGAGACCAAGGATCGCAGATGGACCGTATTTGTCCGATTCGGAAGATGTAGAGGAGGGGTGGGTTTGGGTGACGTGGATGGCACTTGAGGCGTAGACGAACATGTTAGAAGGAATAAGTCTTTTTCTCTCGTGCACATTATTATCCTCTACCGTAGGTCGGGGTTGTTCAATTCATGAAAGATGTGTAGATGGCATCCCTGTCGATAGCTGGAGTTGAGGCTCAACTACACGCGCCACGCGTTGCGACCTAGGCCCACAAATGCCCTGGTTCTCGACCGCCGACATCACTCTCCTACCTTTGCACCCTTGAGCCGCTCTCGCCTTTTATTTTGCATAGCATCTCAGTCGCGCACGATGAGTAAGATGTGGGAGGTAGATCCGGAGACGCGGAGCAAGGTACGTTGCTTCTTCTCCTGCGTCGTGGTGGGGGGTGCTAGGGGTCAATTGCGGACTGAGGCCAGCACAGGCAATAAGTCCAAGATACGTAATTGACAAAGGCTAATTCTGTATTCTGTATACGCAGTTGTTGGAAATACAAAAGACAAACGAAAACAACAAGTGCATCGACTGCAATGCGCCGAGTCCACAATGGGTACGCAACTGCCCTTCCTCTACGCGCCTACACGCCACAGCCTGCTACACTTGCTAAGACACAGTACACTAGGCCTCTCCCAAGCTGGGCATCTTCATGTGTCTTTCTTGTTCTGGAGTGCACCGCGGTCTTGGTGTTCACATCTCCTTCATCCGCAGCATAACCATGGATGCCTTCAAAGGGTCGGAACTAGTGCGCATGGCTGCCGGTGGCAACAAGCCCTATCAGGATTTTTTCAATTCACACGAGTCCAACACGAAAGAAGGACGGACGTTTGAGGCTTCGTCTATACAAGAACGATACGATTCCGAGGCGGGCGACGAGTGGAAAGAGCGGCTAAGCTGCAAGGTCGAGGACAGGGAGTTTGACAAGAGCAACCTGCCCAAGCGGTTACCGAAAAAAGACAATGCCTCTGCAGCGGGAGTTGGTGCGCCGTTGAGTGGACGGGCAAGCGCAGCAGGAAGCAGAAGTCAGACACCGCTGGGCAAGACGCGAAGCAACGATGCAGCTTTCCAGCGGTCCGGCTCGCCCGCTCTCGGAACCAACGCCATGTCATCACAGAAGACCAAGAATGAAGCCTACTTCGCCAAGATGGGCCAGGAGAATGCAAACAGACCAGAGGGTGTTGCGCCCAACCAGGGCGGCAAATACGGCGGCTTCGGCAGCGAGCCGGATGCGTGGAAGAAGGATGATGAGCCGGGTGCGCCGCCTGCGCTTGATGATTTCCAGAAAGACCCCGTGGCCGCCCTTACCAAGGGCTTTGGCTGGTTAGGTGCGAGCGTGAGCAAGGTGGGAAAGACGGGCTACGAGGGCTGGGTAAAGCCCGGCATGGCAAAGGTAACATATCCATCTAACGGGTACATTGTTCAACTAACAACCTCTGTGTAGCTCGCTGAAGCAGACCTCGCAGCCCAAGCACGCACAACCGCGGGCACCCTAGGCCAAACCCTGCAATCCGGCGTCGCAACCGCAAACACGCAATTCACCCGCTTCGTCGAAGGCGACACGGCTGCCTCGTCATCATCGGCACGCCGTGGCACCGCCAGCGCCGAGCCCGAACGCAAAGACTTTTGGGAAAGCTTCGGTGCGGCGCCAAAGGGGCCGGCCAAGGATAAGCAGGACTTTTGGGATGAGTTTTCTACCGCGGGTGAGGCCAGGGCTAGTGGGGGTATGGAGAGGAAGAAGCCAAGTGGAATTGGCACGAGCGCTGTTAAGAAGGGAAGTGCGGGTGGTAGTAGTGGCATAGGTGGAGGGGGAAAGAAGGATGATGAGTGGGGGGAGTGGTAAGTAGGCCGGGTCAAGGGCTCCAGATGGTGGACTTTGGATGTAATCGGCGTTTGTTGGCTTGGAAGATGATGAGGTTAGAATTTACTTTTCTGACGTGAATCATGGTAATGAGGCTACCAAAAAAAATAAGGAGAGAGGATGGCATGATTTCTGTATCATGGTGGGGTTCTCTGACGTCTCTGTTCTACATATCATCCTTTTCTTGTTTCCTGCGAAGATAATAGAGCAATTTTTGTTACAGTGGATTTTGAGACGCTGTAGCGACACTGGTACCATGGTACAGTTCGACCTGAGGCACCACCCCAAGAAAAATACCGCATCCAAATGTCCTCAAATGATTACATTGACACAGAAAATTCGCCATCCAAGAGACCCCCTAGCCCGAGAAGCTGTTGCCTTACACCCTTGTTTTCATAGTGAGGTGTTCTTTCTTCCCACAGCCCCACATCGCAGGTCATATGACACTCAGCTCAATCATTCACTAAAACTTCTTTGTATAGCCTGAATTTTCTCCACAAATACTGCAGTTGGAACGTCATGTACTCTCTGGCCCTCATTGTTCGCTTGTCTCTCCCTCTTTCTCCGATGACGACCAGTGACGCTTCTCGATTTATTTAACAATTCGATGCCAATTGTAATGAGCACGTAAAAGGACTATCTTCATGTCGGATATATAATTCGATATCCATGGCTGTCTTCTGTGGCATAATTTGGTTAATACACGATACTCTGTTTAGCATATGATACCTCCACGCATCAATGTGATGTCAGCGCTGAAGAGTCAATGGAAGGGAACACTTCCAGGTAATGATCAGATGAAAGGTGGCTCGGAGATGGCGGGTCTAGGGGTTGTTTCTGTGGGCCAGGGTCAAAAGTGGAAGTTGCCATCTCCGCTAGCTACAGTGATGTAGTCGACAAAATGGCAACCTGGGCATAGCCACCGTTGTCCTCTCGTTATTTGATGCGAATAAAAGCCTCTCCAAACCCGTAGCATCTCCATCTCCCACACTTCCTACCACAATTGCAATTCTTCGTGGGTAAGCCAGTGTCTATTCATACCTTGTACAAAACGAGCTGATTCTTTCTAGACAAATACAAACGAGGCTTTTCAACATGACTCGCCTCATTACCCTCATCTCGAGCACACTGCTCGCCAACATGGCTTTACTGTCCAATGCCAGATACCTGATCCTGCCTCCCAACTCGACGCACCAAGCTGCACCACTCGTCGAGTCAACCAATGTGACCGACGTTGGCCCTACCACGCACACCAATAATAAACGTTACGACCCCGATGAAGCGGACGACGACTGGGGCGGCTTTCATAAGAATGTGTGGATGGGTCACCCTTGGCTAAGGCATCCCGTGTGCTATGAATGCTACACCCAGGGCATCAGTCCGGAAACTCATGGAAATCACGATTATTCAATGGGCTGCTCGTTTACAAAAATGACTCCCCAGCTCTGTGGACCCCTTGTATACAAGTTCCGCGAGCCGGAATTGCCGCCTGATCCCACGTATCCAGACCCGCGGGGTCGTTTCCCGAAATTGGATATTGACCTTCACCGACATTCGAAAAAGGAGGACACCGACAAAGACACCAAAATCGACACCAACAGTAACAATGAAGAGAAGACGGCAGCGCTCACGGACCCCCATTCACCAGAACCTATGACCACCACCACCCGTCACCTCTCACCCCGCCAGTACAGGGACCCCCAAACGCTCGGCCTCGACGACCACTGGTTGGCGGCAATATTTGACGATCATTGGAAGGATCTGCGCTGGGTCACGTTTGTACACCCATTTATCCCCGACCTCGAAGTGTGCGGCGTAGCCCATTGGCACGACCAGTTGACGCTGAGCTTAGATTGGATAACGATTCGCCAAGTCTCAACCGACTTTACTAGATGTGACCGTGCAGAGAATACTATTGATATTGGGCCCCCGAGATCAGGAAAGCCTCTTCGGGGTTTTTATAAGCCCCCGCCTCCTCAGGAAGGGACACACTGGCAGCCTTATGGTCCTCCGCCTAATCCAAATGCTTGGCCCTAGGTGTGAAATTTTGGAGAACCAAAACTCGATCTGCATTGATATTGGGGGTGTGTTCGTTGGGGTGACTGAAGAGATGCACTTGTAGAAACCATGTTGCTAAAGGCTTTGCCCCATTGATTATTGAGGCACAAAACACACGGTACAAACGCTTATGTGTGTGTTTCGAGTAATCCGTGTGATCTAAATGAGCTGTTTTAAATCTAAGCAGTGCCCCTACATGCACAACGTCCAAACCTAGAGTCTCTTAGTTGGGACTAACGTAACGGGTAAAAAGGTATAAATACCCACCCCTTCTCTTCTCTTTGCTTCCTTCTACTCACTTCGACCTCCCACCCTCTTCCCTTATTAAAACAAAACCACACATCCACGAATACCATGTACGACACTCGTGCCAAAAGCTCTTCAATATCTAGTCGCAAACATAAAAAACCGCCACAACATGGCCCGATGTCTTTCGGTCATGCGTGCCAGAATCTAAATCATGTGGACAAAAAACGAGATACCCAAGCTCATGAGTACAGCACACTAGAATGCACGATATATAAACTGTCTTTTCTTCTTCTTCTTCTTCTTCTTCTTCTTCTTCCATTATTTTTGTAATCACCTACTTCCCGATATATATCTTTTACTTTCTTCCGGTTTTATTTAACATCACCTAAGAAGTTGGTATGTATGAAGCACCACAAAAGCAGAACTATGACGTCCCGAAGGTTCGAAATTCGAAATATCCTAGCAGAAAACCTGCGTTTATAGTTCTTAGTACCTCCTCCTGCTATTCTTTTATTTTCTGTACGCAAAGGAGGTATGGAATTATAAGGGTAGATAACTTTAAATCTGGTTTACACAAAAACACCTCTAGAATCCCGCTCATTTTTGAGACTACATGTCATCCCATCGTCTTGCTGTTGAACCTCTAAAGAGTAAAGAGCACTAAGATCGTTTACATATCTTCTTTGTGTTGGGAAGGACAAATTATTAGGAAAGCTGTCAAGGAAGAGGCATGACTTGTTGCCGTGCGTTTCTATCAGAAACGAGGAAGGTGCCCCTAGCAGAAAATATAAATGATAAGACTAAACAGCATATCATGTGTGACTAAAAATTCTTGCTGGATCATTAGGAACTTCAAGTTTGTAGGTGAGGAGTTCTATGAGAATAAGGTACAGGCAGCTACACCAGCCCCTCAAACAAAACACGTGAAGTTGCAATGAACCATAAGATCGTCTCATTCAGTATTCAATGAACACAACGTATACGTCCCAAGTATCAGCCACCCAGAATCGACGAGTCGCCGCTCGCCATCGCCCAGAAGCAGCCAAAACGCCATACTATAACAGCCCATTATAATCGCCGCACCAAACACTCGCACCCAAGAACTTAACGCCATCTAGACAATCCCCTCCTGGAACCTCTCCACCCCCCTTTTAATCTCCCTTACGATTTCAACCGCCTCATTCGTAGCCTGCGCCTCAAAATCATATCGCTTCGTCTCCCTCTCCTTGAAGACGATAACGCGGAACATCTTCGGGTGCTTCTTGCTAACCTTGCTGCCAATGACACTGCTAAAATGCACGGTTGTGGTTTTTCCCTGGCCCTCGACACCAAAGCCACCACGAGCACCGGTTTTGGACTCACCGGGCATGATATGCATATACTCGTTGTCGAGAGCGAGGATACGGGATGTTGAGGAAGCAAATGACATTGGTTGTTTGCGTAGAACGAGGTAGCGGCGGTAGTAGTTTGTTGCTGTGAGAGATAAGGCGCCTGAATCGCCGGTCCTTGCGAGTGGGTGGATTAGGCCTTGGCCGGAGACAGCAGCAGCGGTACGATCACCCTTCTTTGTCTTCTTTGGCGCTCCTCCCGTGCTGATGATGAGTGGGGCGTTGGGTGATGATGAGCCTGGTGATCCAGCCAGGCCAAATACCCCATCACCGACGTACCGGCGACGCACCAGATCAAGATCCATGCGCGTATCCAGTGCTTCTACCGTACGATCTGGTGGCGCTACGGTGGTGCTACCGGATACCTTGAGGATGTAGAGTGCTTTATCGAGCCGTAAGTCGTGGCAGACTTGGTCGAACAGATCAGCAATGTACGTATCAGTCGTGCAAGGTAGTGAAAAGTGTTTGGTGTGAAAGTTTTCGTCGGTGTAATGTATATTGACCGTCCTTGGGGCTCCAGTACGACTTGCAGCATGCGATTGGGGCACCTTTGGAACGTCGGCGAGGTTGCTTGTGTCTTTACGCGTCGCCGTTGGCGCGAACGAGGGCCCAGTAATCGGATTTCTAAAACTCTTCGCACGACTGGGAAGGGGTTTCACGGGTTTCTTCTCTTCCTTTTCGGTAGGCCCGTCTTGTGACACGGCCGCACTGGCTGCTTCTTCGCTGTAGATTGGCGTAAGCTTCTCGTTCTCGACAAACTCTCGTTGAGTGGCCTCGACAAGCGCGAACTCATCCCATGGCTTTTCTCGTGCACGAGGTCTCATTCCACGAGCATTGTTGGATGCAAAGTCCTTCAACGACTTGTTTCTTGTGAGAGGTGGAAACTCGTCGTCGACTTCGCCATCGTCATACATGCGCATGACCCAGCGGTTTACATTAATCTGTTCGGGAGTTAGTGGCGGCTCTAGCTTCTCCTCTTGATATCGATGCAGGGCGTATCCGATGGCTTCAGCCACAGAAGGTCCTTCGCCTTTATCATTGAACTTCCTGATGAGAAGCTCAATGGGTTTCGAGGGCTTTGCAGAGAATGGGCAGTACAACTTGATATATAGAGGATTTTGCTGGGCTTCACTAGCTGCATTCCACATGGCAAAGCGTTGCAGTGGATTCGATGGCTTCTGTTCCTTGGCCCGGAGAGCCTGAGTCAAGGCGCTCACTGGCAGCACGAAACTAATCGGGCGCGGTGGGGGGAGAGCTTGGAGAGTTGGCAGGATTGATTCCTTTCTCTTCTTTGGTGAGCTTTGGAAGGGGGTCATGCCCGGCATGGTGGGAAGATGTCCTCCAGCTGGAGACGAGTCCAAGGGGTCGCCTGCACCTATAAGAGAAGCACTGTCGTCAGAACCAGAAAACTCGGATGTTAGAGAATCGTCAGACTCGTTGCCTTCTTCGTTCAAGGCTTCCAGTCGTGCGCGTGTTTTACCAGCTTCTTCTCCGTCCTCTTCTATCCGTTGCGAAAGCAACTGATTTGCACCGGCAGCTTTTCGAGGATTGACCCGTCTTTTCTTGAAGGATGAGCTGTCAAATTCATTCTCAGAGGACATCTCACTGCCGGTAATGGTGTCTCTTCGTGGTCTTGCTTTTGATGTTTCCACCGTACCCAGGGATGCTCTACGCAGCATGGGTTCGCGTGGCCGTGACGGAGATGTGACCAAAAGTGAGGGTCCTTGTCCAACTTCGGCGAGTTCTCTTCGCAGAGCGGAGCCAGGTATGGGTGAAGAGCCAGAGCGGGTGCGTAGTGGCATCTTGGTGAACTTGATCTGATTGGCGGGTCTGGTATCTGTTAGTCCAATCTTTGGGCGCATGGCGAATGACTACCTGTGCGAATCGTCATCTTCGTCGCTCTCATCGCTGAGGTCACTGCTGTCATCCTCTTCTAATTGCTCCTTCCTCCGCCTGCGCTTCGCATTCAACGTAGGTCCCACCGTGTCATTGCTTCCCCCTCCAGTCACCATTCCGCCTTCCTCTTCATCGTCCCCAAAACCTTCGGGCGACTTCAGACCAGCCGATCGGGGAGCCTGGAAGTATTCCGAGGTAATGGCGGTGGGGATGGGCGGAGAGTACGTGCGCTTGATGTCAGAGGCATTGGGAACCCAACCAGCAGCGCGAAATGCAGGGTTGTTCAGCACACTCGCGTCGACGTTGATTAGTCGTTCGCCGACACCGTCTTTGATCGAGGAAAGGTAAGCGGTCCGTAGTTGATATAAGACGAAGCTGGGGGGTGAGTTAGTTGACTGGCGAATGCGAAGCGGAGGTGATGCGGGCTCACTCACTCTTCGTTCTGAAGGAGAGACATGGTGCAAGGATCAACCTATCATATTATTGTAATAGAAGGGAGTTGCCAGACCAGCTGAAGGGTATCATGAAGCCATAAGGGAAGCTGCAGTAAGCACAGTGAAGGCTGCGGGCAAGTGAATGGTGTAACTGGACCCTGGCTTGGCAATGGCGCGCGACAACAGTGATCTCATCGTCAACTTCAACTTTGTCTTTCGTTTCCCCAGGATCCACCACAACACCAACAACAACAACAACAACAACAAAATGAATCTTCTCGCCGATTATTCAGATTCTGAGTCGGACAGCGAGGCGCCCTCTGCACCAAAAATAGCCGCAAAGCCAGCACCGAAGCCCAGTTTCCAGAAAGTTGTCGACCGCTCGAATCCAGGCCGAATCAAGGTCAACCTCCCGGGCGCATCGCAGTCGCGACAAGACAAGGACGACATACAAGATGACGCGCCACCTGCGAAGAAGCCGCGCCTAGGTGGGCAGTCGTCTTTCGGTGGGTTCAACGCAATGCTGCCCGCGCCAAAGAAGCCAAACGTAAACGCGATATCAGCATCGGAAAGCGCAAAGACAGGAAGCAGAGGATTGGGCAAGGGGCTCGCTTCGGGTGTCAATCTCAAGACTGGCGCGGAACCTGCATTCAAGAGGGAACCAAGAGTCGAGACGGACGAATACGATGAAACTGGTAACCCGATCAAGAAGGAGCCTATGAAGAAGGAGGATTTCAGAGCCATGCTTAACCTGCCACCGCCTAAAACAGAAGTAAAGAAAGAAACTCAAGTGAAGGCGCCAGCCGAAAATACGCAGCCAACACCAGCGCCGCAACACGTGCCAAAGCCAGCCGCACCACGTTTCGTGCCCATGTCTGTTGGCAAAGGGAAGAAGAAGAAGCCCGTAGTTCCTCGTCCAACACCCAAATCAACCGACAGAACCAGCACACCCAGCACGAATGCGCAAGATTCCCAAGCACTACCTACTGCTACTGCACCGCGCAAGCCCAAAGTCTCACTCTTCGGCGTCTCAAATGAACCAGAACCTACAGTATCCAAAGCACCAACCGACACTCAATATCAGCCCCTCCTCTACGGCGCCGACGAAGAGCAAGCTCCAACCATACCTTCGGAACCCTTCCTAGACCACTCCGCATACACTACCACACAACCGACACCCACCCCGTCTGGCCCGTCAGATCTCACCAATATCGCCTCGGAACTCAACCTCACTCCCGCTGAGCGCCGTCAACTCTTCGGCAAACAGCGCCGTGACGCTCCGGACCTATCTTCGGCCCATATCGCAGAATTCAACACAGACGCCGAGTACGCGCACAACGAGAGATTGCGCCAACAGGGAGAGGCCGTGTCACACAACCCACTCAAGTCAATTACTGGAACAGGCAAGAATAGTCTGAGGAGTTTGGTCAATGTCGCCACCACACAGAAGGAGGCGCTCGAGGATCATTTCGCCGCTGGTCATCGGAATAAGAAGGAAGCGGGAAATAGGTATGGGTGGTGAAGACAAGTCTTCATCCAAGGCGGGACGCACATGGATGTAAAGCGGATTGTGAGGTGGTTTAGAGTAAAATTTACGTGCATTACATCTCTCTTTTGGAAACAACAGAACTCCAAGCCCACAAACACCGCAATCATCACCTGGCCTTCACTTTCTCCGTGCATCGTAATGAACAAGGCGCGGGAATCGGTACATGGTTAGTCTAACCATCTCTTGTGGAATGCTATAGGCATGTCTGGCGACTACAGTGGCCATTTTACACTAGTATGTCAAGTATTTCATGACACCCAGGTGCTATTTCAAATGGAATGGAAGCATCAAGCATGTGTGTCTGTGCAGCATCGTATCGATTTAGGCCAGGTGAATTACGAGTACAAAGCGCACTCACTTGATTTGGCAACCAGTCCCATCCGACTTTTGGACTTCCGGGAAGACAGTGTTAAAGCGATCAGGGAAGGATTGAACATATGCGCCCCACGACTGCTTACACTTGCTACATAGCTGTACACCTCCAAAAGCGTACGAGGTCTCGGCGCCGTATGTCTGACGCTGCTGGCAGTCTTCGCATGACTTCTCGCCGCTCGCGTCCAGGAATGCGCGGAGGCCACTGAACATCAGCTCATTGCTCCTTGCGGTTAGATCCTTGTAGCGCTCAATATCCTGGACGCTGCAGTTCTCAGCGTCGACTCGGTTCCAGAGCTTGAAGTGTTGGCGTGCTAGCTTCACCATGGTTTCTGTTTCTGGCCGGCCGATTGTGAGGCCTTCTTCGACGAAGCGGTAGCGTCGCATCACTGGAACAGGGAGAATTGATTAGTACTTCTCATGAAGAAATGATCATACGACGTACTCATATGGATAGGACCACCAAAGAAGCGTAAGAAGTTGATGACAACAAGGTGTTCCGGCTTTCCGGCCCATGCGACATCAAGAGCCCAAAGTAGCTCACGGCACTGATGGAAGGCCTGGACGCGAATGCTGGAGGGCACGTATGCGAATGTTGAGTGCTGGATATCATGTCAGCCTATATCCTATGCCAAGCTCTATCCAATAGCTACTTACGGTCTCCGCTTCAGTACGATGCTTGAAGAAAGCCACGCTGTCGTAGAGGGTTGCACCAAGCTCACATAGCGTCTCCATCTGCTTTTCAGTGTACCAGATACTATCGAGGTCGTTACAGGCGAGGGCAGCACCAAGCGTAAAGCGGATCAAAGCATCCGTGTCTCGCATGCGAAACCACTGGCTGGGTGACTTCGCAAGCGCGTTGACGTAGCTTCGAAATAGTAAACCATCGCGCCAGTTACTCGACTTGTCAGCAGTGATGAGTAGGAAGCAGCGAAACTCCCGTGCCATCTCGGTACTGTAAGAAAGAATTAGCACCTGTGTGTCTTGTATCTTTCGGAGTCCGTTTGGTAGCAAACGGAGTAGGCCATTCGACAAGGGATACTTACTGAATCCGAGTGCCTTGGAAAAGGTCTGCGAGAACAGCAGTGAGGTTGTAGCCAAGCAGTGTGTCGGTCTCTGCGACTCTGACTAATTCACCGTTGTACTCTGCAATGATGCCTATGACTATTATGCGCATAAAGGCTATATAGCGTTTCCAGTTAGTGTACTGCGGAATCACACAACGTGTGTATTCCCACGCGCATGCGTAAACTTCTTCCTTGACCCTCTGGGGAAGATCGATATGCTCCAAATCGTTTGCGATGTCGGTGGGGTAGTCTGAGAAGAAAGCAAATTCAATACGCATCCGGTGTGGTTACAAGTGGATGGGCAACTTACACCACTTTTCCTTCACAATCGGTACTGATTGTTCAAGGGTGATGCTGCCGGGATGCACTAAAAGCGATCCAGGATTCGAGGTGAGATCCTGTGCCAGGATTAGAATGTGAGCGATGGTTGACAGCCAGGCATGTTTAGCGACGTAAACAAACTTACAGTCGAGTCTTTGCCAAATGAGCGGTATAGGCGCAATGGGTACGCCCAAAGCTCTTGGTAGCGGGTCTTTCCAGACATGACTGGCTGGTAGGTCGTACGGAGAAGGGTGTGTCGAAAGTAACAGCCGCGTGCCGCGACGAAGAAGAATACAGGTGCAGTACAGAAAAAAAAAATCGAAATCTTAAGTGCTATGATGAGCGCGAGTGTGCAAACACCTGGAGCTTAGCCAGGCCCTGACATACATATACATATTCTCGTCAGTGTGTGAGTGAAGGTGAATCGCAAGGAATACAAAGCTGCTATTTATCAAATAGCAAGCACGGATAGCGGTGTAACAGCCCACACGCAAAAGGTGAAGGAACCCCATGTAGATTCCCGTCTTTTACATGTGCTATCTGACTGGTTGCACGAAATGGGAAGCTGTGAATATGTGCAGTACCTGGTCGCTCTTGCTGTAAACGTGAGACGTAAACACCAAGCTGCCTACTATGTCATTGTGTCCTGTTTCATACCACCAAAATAAGGAACATGGGCCATACCGGGTAGATTCATGATGAGATGATTTTGATATTTCTCAACAACCAAATTGTGAGGTGATTCTAAGGATCCGGCGAGGGTCTCGTTCAAGAGTTGCTAGCCTGTTTGGGGTACCCGTGCATGACAGTACTGCGCTGCACTTGAGACGTAGGACTACCAGGATCTATCAATCTTATTGATTTCTGTGTTGCTACGATCGGATTACAGAGTAGTTGCACTTTATTCCATGCGGCAATAAACTGGATTCAGCTCACCCAAGCTCAAGAAACTCGACATGGGACAAGTCCCACAGTTTCTGGAGGAGACTAAGGTTCCATGTGTTGATGATATCTATTGTCAGCTGCTGTGGGTGGTAGGATGACTAATACGTTTGCTTGACGCATTGTGATAGCTGGGCACAGCATGAGGATCTTTTTCATAAACTGACAGTAGGACGTCGTAAATGAAAGATTTCGACCGGTCATTATTCCATACATGGAATAGATGTGGTGGTAGAAGGTAATACGTATGTTGAACACGGAAGTGACTACGTTGTACTAGCGCAATGACGTAACCACAACCTTTCCAAACATGTCCGTTGAGAAATCAAAGAGGCTCTAACAGCATTATGTTTAACTGTATATTTCTAATTACTCCTACCACACCTTTTTTTCCAAACGTGGACTGAAAAGCACAGAACTACAGTTGATGTCCAAAATGACATTTACTTCAACGCATATGTTTCCCTAGCTTCTGGGGTATTACAAGCAGGGACTCTACGACTGGTGCCTCTTTAGAATATATATCCTTCTCACGCCGATGGTATCGTGCACTGCTTGGTAGATATAAAAGAACAAACTCCTGTTCAATATTCTCGAAGAAAATGTGCGATGGAACTCCAAATGTCTGTGCTGGTGTGCTTCCACTGTTAGTAAGATTTCAACAGACCTTTTTTTCTTCCCACGACCGGCACACCGCCGTCCTATATCATTCACCAACAATGACACATTGTTTGATTCTATACTTGAAACGCCACACCATCTTTCTTAATCACAGCCTTGCCTCCACTTGCAAACCCTGTCCCTTCACTCTTAATCTCTACCAGTCCTGGCTTCGGCGCTCTCTCCTTGTCCTTCTTCTTCTTCTTCTCTTCTTTCGCCTCCAGTGCTGTCGCAAGGTCTGCATCACAGACATAACAATGTATCGTTTCGGGCTCAGGACCATGGTCGTGTGCATCGCGGTGATGTCGATGCTCGGGCTTGAGAAACTTGTCGACGCACGGTTTGCAGAGGACGTGGCCGCAAGGAATGGCGAGCATAGCTTTTGAGCTGTTGGATAGCGATTTCTGGCAAGCTGGACACGTGCGGATAGATTTGCCAGTCTCTTGTGACTTTTCTTCGTGGAAATTGACGCTGGTGAGGCCCTTGAGGGATAGGCCGTGCGGATGATCTGGATCGCTGCACGGGCAAATAGGCGTTTGCTTTGCCTTTTCGGCGTTTTTGTGGTGTTGATCTGGTGTCTCGCCTGGGACCCAGAAACTTGGTAGATGGCCTTTTGCAGCTTTGCGCTCTTCATCTAGTGTTCGTTTTGCCTTGGTTCTTTCTTCGGTCGCGATGCGCTTGAGTTCCTCCTCGTCGATTTCGAACTTGCGCTTCGTGCCTCTACCCTCTCCGGCTTTCGCATCCTGCTCTTCTTCTACCATGATTTTGCCGTCCTGCCTCCCCACGACTCGTGCGGATGCGCCGGACTTGACTGAAAGTCCCATTTGCACAGCTTCGAACTCTTCTACTGCTCGCAATCGCGCCTCCTCCTCTTCACGTGACTTTTGGTCTTCATCATCCAGCTTTTGCCGTTCATTGACCTTTTCCAGCCGCTTCATCTCTTTCCGTTGAGCCAAAAGATTTGTCATGGCGCACTCCCGACAGAACAAATCGCCTGATGGACAGCATACTGGATCTACTGAGGGAAGGAGACATAGCTGGCAGGAGCCAAAGGGAAGGAAGGAATCACGATTGAGGCGCGTTGCTTGCGAACCCCATCTATCCTTCAGCGCGTTTCGCTCGTATGAGGTGAAGATTGTCTTTGGGGGCGGCATGACGAAAATGGGTTACGCGGGTGAAGCAAGCGTGATAGTTGGACAGCTTGAGATTAATTTGGGCAACAGCGCCAAGACTTATTAGCTCCAGATAATGATGGGAATTGACAGATGCAGATGCGATAGTTGATGGTAAAGTAAACAAAGTCGCGTACAGCACAAGGTATGTGGACTCAGACTGGAAGAGCCAGCCACTCGCGGCACGTGGAGGCCGGACAGGCGCTGATCCCTGTCGTCAAAATTCCGGTGCCTGGCCGTGACGTCGGCCGCGGCTTGTCCCTCGGTCAGCTGTTGGGAGCGAAAACTTCAATGTACCTCTTTAATCAACGACGCCACCAATGCGACCAGAGGAGCAGCCGGAGGCTCCCAGCGGCCCATGGCGCGCTGCGTCTGCCATTACAATGGGCGCCGTCGGCCTTTTGTGCAAAGGATTCCTCAATGGACTGAGCAAGGTGGAGACGCATGGCATGGACGGCTTTTTGAAGCTGCTGGATGAGCGCGAGGATCCCGAACGGAGGGAGAGAGGCCTAATTACTGGTATGCGACAATGACGGTGGTTGTATGATTAATTCTAACGCTTGCAGTCTCAAACCACATCTCCGTGTACGTACGTTCGCCACGCGGTCGCTCTCACCATGTCATGTCAGGGCTAGGCTTATAGGATTTGGACAGAATGGATGACCCGATACTATGGGGCATACTCCCCCTCCCGTACATATTTAGCCCAGATAATCTACGTTGGGGACTGGGCAGCTATGATTTGTGCTTCACCAACAAGTACGTCAGCCTTTTGTATGCATATGGCAAGACTAACAGCAAGACAGAGGACTATCGACCTTCTTCACCTTTGGACAGGTTCTCCCCACACATCGCTCGGCGCATTCAAACTTCGGTGGCCTCTTCCAGCCCACCATCACGGAAGCGATCCGGCTCCTTTCGCGAGGGCCATTCATGCACGAACAGGACCCTCCTACGAAGCCGGCTACATCAGTCAAGAGCCCAGATGTCATCGATCCCTTTAGTGGCGGGCACCTTAGTTTCTCCACAAACGGCCAGGATACATTCCCAGCACCGTCGGCATACCGCAGTCGCCGGCACGCGTGGGTCCATATCTTCCCAGAAGGCATGATCCACCAGAGTGAGCAGAGGATCATGCGCTACTTCAAATGGGGTGTGTCGCGGCTCATACTAGAGAGCGAGCCAATGCCGGACATCGTACCCATCTTCATCGAGGGCTTCGACAACATCATGCACGAGACGCGCACATTCCCCCGCTTCATACCTCGGCCATTTCAGAACGTGCGCGTGACGTTTGGCGAGAAGCTGGATGCCGACGAGGTGTTTGGCGACCTGCGGGCTCGATGGAAGCAGATGCGGGCCAGGGAGGAGAAGCGCAGTGGCCCGCTGGACATGGGTGTGCTGAACGATGCGCTGAAGTACTCAGACGAGGCTGTCAGCTTACGCAAGGAGTGTACGCGACGGATACGGCAGGCAGTCTTGGACGTGAGGCGGCAGCGCGGCTACCCCGAAGACGACCCAAAGAACAGCCTCGCGTCGACTTGGCTACGGGAAGGGCCTCATCGCGAGGGGCGCAAAGAGGATGCCAGCATCACAAAGGATACATAGAGTGACGCCTCGTCTTGTCAGAAAAGCGCGGCAGAGTGTCAGATTAGATCAAGTAATTACACCATCAGCGACTCCTGATTCTGTGCGCCGATCAACCACAGCCAGCCAGGCACCGCAAGGCGCCACTGGGCGGGTTTCGTCATTTGCGGACAGAAAGCGGGCGCGGCGACATTGTCTCTGGCGTGCTCTTATCATCATCCACTGCTGGCGACGCGCAGTCACCGCAGGACGATGACTGTGACGAGGCTGAAGAAGAAGAAGAAGAAGAAGAAGAAGTGAGCTGGGTCGTAGTTTTGACGGCAGGGCAGGGCGCACGGCCCCTGATTGCGCGCAGGGCCAGGGAGGCAGAACAGCAGATAAAAGCCTTCGATGCCCCGCTCTGCCTAATTGAATTCCACACCCACACCCGCGGGAGCCTCTGGCAATTTAATTCACCGCCCGCACCACACCAAGTCCCAATCGAGCACTACCGTTTTCCTACCCTTGTCCTCGACGACTGTCCACGACGACTGTCCAATGAACAACAGCCAGTCTCCACACTCGCCAGATTTATCTTTGTCCTACTACGCTGCAACGCCTACATATAGCCCTCCCCAGCAATCGCCATATAGAAGCTCTTTTTCTTGCATCCCGCCGCCCCATTCGCCCAACTACAGCTACATGCCTCGCGGTGTCAAGAAGGAGGAGAGCATGCAAGATGCGGACTACGTGCCCGACGCGTCAGTGCCCTCCATGTCCGACGCGAACATTGATCTAGGCGGGGCAGCCACGCCCGGCGCCGACATCAACATCAAGAACCACTTCCCTGTCGCGCGCATAAAGCGCATCATGCAGGCCGACGATGATGTAGGCAAGGTTGCCCAGGTCACGCCCGTTGTTGTGTGTACGTATACGTATTAACCCCATCCCCAATACGAGTCTGACTAACTCCCCGCAGCAAAAGCGTTAGAACTCTTCATGATCTCCCTCGTCACAAAAGCCGCCGCCGAGGCAAAGTCGCGCAACTCGAAGCGCGTCAGCTCCATCCACCTCAAGCAGGCCATCACCAAGACCGAATGCTTCGACTTCCTTAACGAGATTGTCTCAAAGGTCGCCGACGCTCCGGAAAAGAACGAGGGCGATTCCATGGACGTCGACGGCAAGAAGAAGAAGACATCAACCCGAAAGAAGAAAAAGGCTGAGAGCGATGAGGACTTTTGAGCCGCTGTCGCACACTCATGACGACTTCTTCGTTAGAAGGCACGTGCAGCTGGCGCATAGTGGCAGTCTGCGCGTGCCCTCTGTCGCTGCTACTAAACATTGGCTGTTACTGATCGCGCTTCTTATACCACCACCTGGCGCTCGATTCAGTCACATCTCCTGTACCCGCGGCATCTGACAGGACCCTGCTAAACCAGGTCAAGTTGTCAATAACTTGCACCAACCTCGTATCACATTGCCTCGGCCCGCCGCACATACCTCGAGCCTTTTGCGAGACGTAAATGCTGCCTGCTGTCATCCATGTAGAGACCATGGAATACCCTCAATTGCGCAGTACAACATCACACGGCGACACGTGTGGGCTTGAGAGGCGTTTGGGTATACGAGCATTGCATGGGCGGCGTTATTTTATTTAGCATGAACAGCCACGATACCAATGAAGACGGATATGTGATTTTTCTCTACTCGGTCTGGGTTCTCCCGCACAGTCGCGAAGCTAACGGAACAATTGTTCCCACGGGCCGATAATTCGACGTCACGCTGCAGTTTACGCGGTGTGGAGCCGATGGATAAACAGTAGTCGCAACCAGAAGCCTTCCCACCAACCAGTCTCTTGTACCGTGCTATTTATCCGACCCTCTCCGCAGATCCCCACAGGTTAACCGCACCCCGGATTCATTGCAGGAATATGTTGTGCACTAGTGCCAGGCTTAGCCCAGACTTGGTCTGGTATATTGACCTTGACTCGTTCTTTTTCCCTAGAGCCGTGGTACTGGTGCCATTGAAGCGGCCAAGTATTTAACATGGTCGATCCCCAGTGGTTAATGCATCGTGGACTTGACCTCTCTTTGGTATTCATTGAGAATCGATTGGAAGATGATCTTTTCAAGGCTGGCAGTGCTCCTTGTGGGCGCTGCAGTGACCATTCAAGGCCAAGCAGTAGAGAAGAGGAATACCCACAAGATTCGTCCCAATCCTTCAGATGGCCACTGGGTTGATGCATTCGCAACCATGCCACAGCTCACAGAGCCGGCGAATTTGCCTCTGCCGCCATTCGTAAGGACATTCCGAACTACGCAATTTATGCTCGTCTAACAAGTAAACGCAGAACGGAACCGGTGCCGTTTTCGTTAACAGCACCATCCGCCAAACCCTTTACATGACCGTGAAGGCGCATCAAATCCGCCTGAAATTCTCAAACGTCTTTGGTGGATCCAGCCTCCCCATTACCGCTGTCACGGTCGCCTTGCCCTCGAACCAGACAGCGGGTATCCACCATATCCTACCCAAGACTGTCCGAAAAGTTACCTTTGGTGGTAAAGATGGTATCAGCGTGCCCAATGGTGCCTTGGCCGTGTCAGACCCTATCAACTTTGAGATATATCCCGGGCAGATAATTACTGTAACAATGTACCTTGCCAACGGTCAGAAGACCAATAGCATCACCAGCCACCCGGGCTCGCGAACAACAAGCTGGTTCCAGTCCGGAAACGCTGTCTCCTCGCCTGGCTTCACCATCACCAACAGCACCGAGCAAAACGCCACACACTGGTACTTCATCTCGAGCGTCGAAGCCTGGGCCGCACCCGAAGTCGGCTCGCTCCTCATCATCGGTGACTCCATAACTGATGGCCGGGGCTCCACGCCCGACCAAAACAACCGCTGGCCCAACCTTCTCCTCGCACGCATGCAGAAGCACTCGGCCACAAAACATATCTCTGTCGGTAACCTAGCAGCGGGTGGAAACAGGATTCTAGCCGACGGCCTCGGCCCCAACGCCTTTGGCCGCATCGACCGCGACGTGTTAGCCCACCCAGGCGTAAAATACGCCATGATCTTCGAAGGCGTAAACGACATTGGCGTTGCCGCTGCCACCACCGCCGCCCAAGACGCCATCTACGGCCCCTTGATCCAAGCCTACGAGCAAATGGTCACCCTGATGCATAGTCACGGCATACCTGTTTTCGGAGCCACTATCACCCCCTTTTCTGCGCCGTCGAATTTCACCGGACAACCGTATAGTCAGCCTGAGAGGGAGGTTACAAGGCAACGGGTCAACAAGTGGATTCGCGAGAGTGGTGTGTTTGATGCCGTTGTGGATTTCGATAAGATGCTGGCGAACCCTATTGTGCCGAGTCAGCTGGATCCCAGGTGGGAAAGTGTGGATTATTTGCATCCTGGTGTCGCCGGTTATCAGCACTTGGCTGATGAGTTCCCGTTGGAAATTTTCGAGGAGTGGGAGGATGGTGCTGATGAGTTTTCTTGGGGGCAGTAAGGGTTAGGAAGTTAGTAATGATGATTTTGTGAGCTTTACTCCTTGCGCATTGTGAGAGTGCGTGTGCGTTTTCGTGGTCATGTGATATGTGGTGAATGCTTTATGATTTCTGGTGCCTTTTAGGGACATAGTCTTATCGCTTCGTTATCTGTGTAATAGCAACATTGTAATTTTTGGTAAGGAAATTTCAATCAAGCAGGTTCGCGGAATAGCCCTTCCACTTGCCATATTCGTAGCTGTCAAAAGTTTCACGTACGCCTCGTGCATGAAACCTCATTATCCTATTTGAACAGCACTCACTCACTCGCAGCCCCAAATACTTTGACCCTACTGTCTATTTTCTCGTAAGACATGTGCTCTATTTGTATGATAGAGAACCACAAAAGTGAAATGGATAGTAGCTTTAAATGGAAAAGAAGCTTACAGATCCTTTGCTCGTGGCTGATGCCCGTTATTCGCTATCACGTGACGTGAACTAGCGAGGATGCATGCAGGTGTTGCCTGATTAGTACCTAGGTAGAGCATCTAACACCTCAATCTTTCTCTGCCTCTCACAGACCAACCATCACACACTGGGAATAGAGCTATCAGCGTCACTGCCCGCTCTCTGCGACGACCACAAGCTGCCTAGGTAGTCATGGCCGACACAAATTTGACCGAACAACAGCGCACGACAATCAGAATGCTCGATGACTACATTCTGGACCCGGATATGCTTGTAAAGAAATGTCCTCTCGATCACGGCCGCCACTACACGAGTCCCCGCTACGACCTTGGAGTCCTTCACATTCTGCCCACAGAGCTTTAGCATCATGTGTTAGGCTTCCTGGACATCGAGACACTGCTCAGCTTTCGGAGCGTTAGTATGAGCGGTATGAACTCTGTGAATTCGATGATTGAGTACCAGAAGGTATGCTGTGTTGAGTGGCGTGCGAATCCAGATGCTAATTCGTGGTATAGGTCGCAAACAATGCCAGCAACAGCATCCGCATGGCTATCAGTATTCAGACGGCGCACAAATTCACCATCAAGGACCTCTTCGCAAAACTCTGCCAAAGAATGTGTGATGGCTCTGGTTGTGACAAGTTCGCGCCTTACTTGGACGTCTTCACCCTTACTCGACGATGTCTTTCAGTTGGTGGTGGCTATCTATATCCCAGAGGTCCCATGTTGTTGGAAAGCTTCTTACCACCTCCAGATGAGAACATAGATCCGACTCCTGATCAGAATGCGTTATTGTCGCTCTCTAAGTTTGAAGCGATCAAGGGAAGGCATTCCAAGTACTGGAGCTCGATTGATACGTCTGACATGGGCGATTGCACAACGTACTACGATTTTAGAGAAGTCGAGGCCTCTACTAGATTTGGTAGCATTTACGGTTTGGATGACTTCTATAGTTACCGGATTGATCTTGGCTGGAAGTTATGCTCAGTCCGAGCTCCTTGGCTGAACATCAATGGAGTTGAAGTTGAACACGGTATATTCTGTGAGCTGTGCGAGGTACCTTGGAACATGCACGATGAAGAGACTCCAACATCGATCAGTGAAAGCAAATTGGACTGGTCAGATTTCGGATTTGGTGGTGGTTACCTACCAGACCCTATGTATATCCTTTTCATGTCGACGGAAAAACTCAAAGAGCATATGGAAAAACATCGTTCGGGTCAGTAGGGGCCAAGGGGAAGAATGAGATTATAGTCGACTTTGATAGGTGCAATAGTGTAGTGACCATAAGTTATGGAATTCTATTGCGATGATCGCTTAGACAAATAACAAGACTTCATTACTGAATACATGAAAATAACGTGCGAAACAGAATAACGATATCTAAAAGCCTCCGAAAAACTTCCAGGAATGACAATACCATAGAGTTAACCACCACTGATGAGAATGCCAAAGCACTAGTCAAACACACTCTTACGACTCCACTTACTCGCTCCCCTAATTCTCTTACCAAAAATGTAGAAGACAAATGGCACAGGAATCAGCAATGCCGCAAAACCACCCGTAATACTACTTGCAGGCCCAACGCCAATGTTATGATACAGCGGTGTGACCACCAGCGGGAAGGCGCCAGCAAAAACGCTTCTTAGAAAAGTATTGGCCGCCACTGCGCTCGCAGCGTACAACGTGAACGTGTCGACAAGGTAGTTCAGCGCGGCCTGGAAAATTGTGAAGAAGCCCGTGCCCATCAATACCAATCCAATTACTGGGGCAATCCAAGGGTACTCTGGGCCAGCAGTCCAGCCCATGATGAACTGGCCAACGGAGAAGAGTGCTGAACCGAGCATCATAGGAGGTAGACGTGCCTCGGGCACGGCACGGTCGCCGGCTGCATGGTATACTTTGTTGTATAAGATTTGATTATATGCGTTGATGCTGCAGCCGATCATTGCCCCGACCAAAATGCCCAAGAAAGGCAGTGTAGCACTCACCGCAGGCCAGCCTCTCAGTTCCCGGAAGATGATTGGTATACCTCCCAGTTGCATGTATAAGATTCCATAGCAGAAGCTAGCATACAAAGCCACCAGAAAGCAGATGGGGGTCATGAGGAGCTGGATTGGTCGAATCAAGAACTTCTTAGACAGTTCCTTGATGCTCACGTCCCACTCTTCGAACTTTGTATGAAGCGCCCAGTTACCAGTCTCGTGACGCAGGCGGCGTGCTTTGTAGATGAGTAGCTTTGGGGGATAAGATTCGTCGATGAAGATGAGGTCGACAAAGAGTATGCACGCTTGAAGGATTCCGGTGAAATATTCCGTCCAGCGCCAGCCTAGAGATGGGGTTGCGACGAATGCAGCAGAAACGATAGGCCCGAGACATGGTCCCCCGACAACCGCCATAGCGTAACCGGCCATAGCCATAGCACGCCATGCGGGACTGTACAGGTCGCCCAATACACCTCCAGTATTCGTCACCGGTGCGCTGGCGAAGAAGGCTCCAAAGAATCGCGTGATCATAAGCGTTTGGAAGTCCTTCGCCACTGCGCTTCCAAAGCTGAAGCAGATGGCAACGAACATGGGCGTCAGGACAGCGATGCGTCGCCCGTAGACCTCAGATAACGGTGCCCAGAGTAGAGGTCCGAGACCAAAGCCGAAGAGGAAGAGTGTTGTTCCCAAGACGGCGACTTGATTACCTACGTTGAACTCCGCAGCTATTTGGCGTGTACCGGCAGAGTAGGAAGAGGAGGCCCAGGTAGCGCTCATCGTGGTCAAGCCGTACATAAGCGTGGTGTTGATCTTCTTCTTTGTGGGCCAGTTCACGGGTCTGTATGGATCATCGTCACCATCAAAGTCGACAAGCACATCGTGTGTTGTTGGCTGATGTGCTAGAGGGTGTGAGAAAGGGGCAACATTTGGTCGTGTGCGTATACGAGAAAGTACAGTGTCACGCCTGGATATTGCTCGACTCAATGGTTGATTCGGACCGCTTGCCGTGCCTGTTGCTACTCGGTTTTGGGTATGACTGCGTCTACTCCGTGATCGCGAGATGCTGTCGTGTAATTCCTTTCTTGATGGGCGGTGGCCATCGTGGTCGGTTTCCTTGTCTTCTTCTTCCTCATAATCGCCCGATGATGTTTCTGTGATTGACGTGTCCCTCTGCCGTGATCTAGGCTGCCTGCCATTCTCTAGGTCGACATCCATGTGCGATGGCTGTTGTGGCGAGGGCATCGTATCTTCTGATTTCTCGTAATCAAACACCATAGTTCTGAGTCGAACAAGTATTTTATTTCAGTAAAAAGATTTCTCCCCTCTCCGCGGAACGAGCGATTGGGTGGGGCACCAAGAGAATTATTCGTTTAAATTGGTTGATGTTGGAATACAGTAGATATCCCCAATGGCTCTGGTATAACAATGTCCAGCATAGCACGAGAAAAAGATTGCAGCATCGTTGAAATATCTAGTTTCGACAAAGTCCACCCCGGCGTTCGCTGTTCTGCTTCTCCGGTCAGTGTGACGTAGATGTTGCTTGTTAATATGTCGAGCTAACCCAACCTGGCTAAGCCCTTTCATTGCTCAGCATTTGGTGATATCCCCATCGTTATTTCCCTGTAGCACACGGAAATACCTCGGGGCAAGAGACGCCCCCTTGTGCAAAAGATGAAAATAGAAGAGAGTCGTCGTGCATCGGAGAAAAACACTGAAAGCTAGCCGGCGCAATGACGTACAAGACCCTGAAAAGCGAAACGGAATCCCTAGGCAGCTATTCTGGAGTTCCAACAACAAGAGGCTGGTGGGTAGCTTACAGGGCCCCCGGTGTGTTTGAGACAGCTGTTGCAGCCTTCTCGCAATCCTCTCCCAGTGGTACAACAGGACTGCCATAACCTACCGTCTGCGCGCAAGCCGACAAGCCGTATACAGATTGATAGAAACCCGATCCATCCGGGCTAGCTTTTTGAAGAACTGCACTGAACACGCTAGCACCCGCTGAAGGCCCAAGTGTCACGTTTCCGGATCGGTATGTCGGTTGTGCGGTGCTGTTGGTGAAGAAGACCGTGTTACGTTGACACTTGGTGCTGAATACGCTGTCAAGGTTCCCAAGAATCAAAGGTTGATTGATAAGACGCTTCCAAATAGAGAGGGAGTACCTGGGTGATGCTTGGTTGGGCTCACTGACGAACTTGAGATCGATAGCTTCAGAATATAGCCCTGGGCCGGTGACCGGATTAGGTGCTTGCGCCCACTTGGAATTTATGCCCAAGGATCCATCGCTGTATGCCTGAAGAGGTGCTTTCATTGGAATGAAGGCTCCAACGCGTGTGAGAAGCCCACCTATAGTTGCTGGATCAAATGTTAGTCAGGCTAGCAGCGAAGACGGAATCGCTGCGTTTACCGACTACGGAGGGAATGAGACCAAACACATAACCCTGAGTTACTTCATCCACGCCTGCTAGATATGAAACGAGAGGCGCATTGAATGGCGTATTGGAACTGCCGATGCCGACATATGGTATCATAGAGGTGGCTACCATCAATCCTGTAGCTAGTTGGAAACCGCCTTGTCGAATATCGCCGTTCATTCCGGCAGATACAAGGACAGGATGCATCCCCACAGGGAAGTCTAGCTCCTCAGGAATGGGTAACAAGTTCAGTCCTTGTAGAGTTACCAGGTTCGGGATAGACTCCCTCAAAGCTTTCATAATATCTTCTTTTGGAACAGGAACAACAAACCAGCCTATATGACGGATCAGTCACATACAACATATCCATGAGATATAATACACACTCAACGTGGCGGTCATTGTTCGATCCTGCTGGTTGTATATGGCGACTTCATTTGGGCATGTTGCAGTTTGTCCAGCAACAAGCGCTGCAGTAGAGAGAATAAGTGTGAAAAAGAATCGTGCCATGGTATTGGCGATAAGATGAAGTCTAGGGAGAGGGTCGAATTGCAAATCGAGACAGCTGCTTATATGGAAAGGTGCGTCCCTCTCGGACAAAAACCATACGCTAAGTTGGCATGTAGATCATAGCGGCTCTGTACCTCACTCAACACACCTTCTGAGCTCTAGACACTACCGAAAAGGACATGTTAGTTTAAGGCATTTGTGACCGGCTGTCAATAGCCCTATACCTCCACGTAGGGAGTACGTCATGATTACTCTTATTTGCGCTAGCAGACACCTAGCCTATGAGTTGTTTTAATTTCTATTTCCAGACCCACTTTGAACCAGGGACTAGCGGAAAGCCGCTGTTGGAGATCAGGAAGATCAGCAAGAGGGTTTGAACGATCCGGGTCGACCTGATGACGATCCGATTTTGGATGAAGGGGCAACTTCAACATGGGGCTAGAAACTCCTGAGATCTGCTAGTTGTGTTCCGTTCACGTACACAGATAAACAGTCGTGGAGTACTTGGAGGTACGATATGTATAATTACTGCACTCGAATCATATGTGGAGCTTGAGACTACCGAATTGACCTGATACAGCGTCAGGGTCTTGCCTTAGCTTTGAGAACTTAGAGCTACCAAACACCGATGCTGAAATTTTAATGATTATATACCAGTGGGGCCTAGTTTCGGCCTGGAGTAGATATCGATGACGAGTCCAAGAGGGAGATAGGTAGCAGTGGGGAGCTAGAGGCGCGAGAACATCACTCTAAAAGCGGCTCGTGCTACATTTGAACTCCTGTTCGCCATACTAAGGTGGGACATACATCACAGGCACTAGGCAATAGGAAATCAACAGCAGTTTGTTACATACCTCTGAACGAGGATCGGGGATATAATTCATTCTTCGCATTCCTTACTCCTAATCTCGCTATTGCAGGTAGCTCAATCGATCGCTACCTGAGTAGCCTCACGCAGCCAGCTACCTCTGAGCAATAACTCCTATGGTGTACCAATCTTCCGATCAACAGATCAGAACGCAATAAATCGACACTTTCGTTCATACGCAATGCCCTCAAAGCTCCATATGGCCATTTTGACTACCGTCGTTACCACCATGTGCCCTGCGTGCATGCTCCACCAAGCCCTCTTTTGTCCAGATTTCACAGACTCTCGTGTCCAAATTAGGGGTGATGCTTGTTTGCAACACTGACAGGTTGGATATTGCCTCTCTATCCTCTTCCATGCAACCTGGGCATTGCATGCCGCACTCAAAGCTCATACTTGTCTTACTCAGCCAAGGTGCAACCACTACGCTGATGGTCTTGTACAGCACGTTCATAACCTGATCCTCGCTATCTATGTACTGGCTGACGAACTTTTTCCCGTTATCGAAAGCATTCATGTCGATGAAAACATTTCCAGGTCGGATTTTCGTGAGCGTGTGTGTCGAGCCGTATTTGCACAAGGGCCGAGATACGAAATATGTGCCTGGTACTGGTGTAAAGCGAGGAACATGCTCAGGTACCCAGTTGTCTGGCGCATTCTCTACCTGCATGTCTGACTGTATGGACCCGTCGTCGTCCTGCACAGGCAAATCCAGCAATATCCGTGGGGCGAGTTTGCCAGGACAACAACCATTTTGGCTGAGACAAAGGCGACTGCAGGTGAAGAGACAAATGTAGTGTGCAAGCGTGCCACAGTCGGCGCATCCGCGTTCGCAAAGCGCATCGAACAACTGAGAAATAGTGTAATTTTCGTGCATACCGATTGCGATGGACATGCGTAAAGCCATCGGTGCGTTCATGACAATCTTTTGGTATTCCAGTAAGGTATTGACGAGGCTGAGAGCTGGCTTGCTGACCCGACGGAATACGAGGAGGGCCTTGATGTCGAGAAAAGAGAGAACCTTTTGTTGTAGTTCGATTGGCAAAGCATCCAGGGCTCCCAGAGAGACATCATATTCAAGCGAGAGTGTGAAGTCCTGGTTTCCGTAATCGAGGGGATATCGGGTTTCCAGAGCGTCTTCATCGACGATGCCCTCCCGGAGGTGCTCGAAAGTTTCCTGTTGTAATCGCACAAAATCCATACCGCCGCAAGGTTGACTGATAGTCGAGATTAAGTCAAGGTCAAAGAGAGCGCCTGGGCAGTATGAATGTGAGGAAGTGGTGTGGCAAACTGATTTCCCAAAACCAGGCTAGTTATTAGGTTGCAGGCTCGCGCACGCTAAACCCCAATAGATTGTAACATGTGTGGGACTTCATTCAAATTCACTGTCAATTATCAATAGACGCTAGTAATTTCCACTCGTGTGTCCCGATGACGTAATTATCGAGCTCAAGATAACCCTGCCAGCCATATTGAATAATAATAAGGCGTAAATGCAGGGTATTGAAAGGGCAGCTCTTGATATTAGGCATGAGCTGCCAGTGCAAATCGAGAGAAGTGTGCGGAAGATTCAGTAATCGCGAATACTACAAAGGAAGCAATGTGACTGTCAATCAAGGGATGTATTTACACGTGCAAAAAAGTTCGGGCAAGCTAAAGACCAATTTGTTACTATGTGGGTAGTAATTATGCTTAACACAAATCAACATATGCTTTTATTGCAATTTTCTCAGCCCGAATTCCCATTGCCAAATACCGACAGGTACAAAGCAAGTATCAGAAAACCCCTTCTTCTTTAAACTCAACGGAGAGCCTACGGAAGAGATGATGCGAAAGTCTTTACTTGTCGACTATTTCTCAAAATTCCAACGCAATTGGCAAATGGCGAAGTTGATCGCGAATGTCATGTTTTATAAGGACCCGAAAAAGTATGCAAAGACTTCCAACAATCTGGAACAGCAGCGCTACTCTCATAATGACTTCGTGGTTGTGGATTTACATGAATTCCTCCCAAATTTATCATGTCTAAGCGTTATGACTGTCTTCAAACGTATTGAGAATGAGTATGAGCAGGTGGCAACGTCAGTAGTTGCAGCGTCATTTGTGACCTCGGGCGTCATGTGTGTAGGGCTTGTCTAGCATCGAGCTTTGGCCTACATCCTACCTAGGTAGAACTGCGCCGCACAACCTTCCATGTCAAATTACAGTACGCACAGTGCCCAGTTCCTCGTCTCAGTAGCCTGAAAATATGACAACGAGGCCCGAGCGATGGATGCTGCACGGCCACGTTCGTGGGCATGTCTTGTATCGACTGCTCTGGAACGCCTTGGGCACTCAAGATGATATCGAAATCGCAGCGGCATCTTGCGATCAGACGATCAAAATCCTCTTTGTGATCAACTGCTAGCTAATGATTTTATCGCTATGTCGACGCTCACTCGTGTTGACCAGTTGTGCGCGGGCGAGTGCATGGACAAAGTGGATGTTCTTGTGGAGGGCCATCAGTACACACCGCCACCTGCTCTAACTTAAGATTATGAGGACGGTGAATCCTACCTAGGTAGTAAACTAGAACAATTCGTCACTGGAACGCATGCATAACTCAATCTTTACACAGAGAAGGTCAGAAGGGCCGAGGGAGAGTAGTATGGAAAGTGGTCATGAACAAGGGCGGCACTAGGCCAGGGCCATTAACGATGAGCCTTACCTATCCCCCAAACATTGCATGGTTTTTGGGGGAGTCTTTACAGCGTAGATCGCTCAAACCGTGTACTTTACCACTGACTTTTTGCCGAGGTAGAGGACTTCCGTTCGACAGATCAGTTTTGAACGCGACTACCGGTACGACTGGCCCATTCGCGCGAGCATAATCCATAGCCAAGTATTAAGCGTTGGTTCAGAAAGGCGCATGACGAGCCAAGGTGTTCCTCTGCCAATATACTCTTTCTGATATTTGATTATCCTAGTACTCCACTGGAACTACGGGGTCAGATCCAGACCGACAGTAATATGATGTATTCGACACCAAGCGTTATCTATGTACATTAGAGGTATGTATCTACATTGAGAGACGTTCCCTTGTGCACGCTATAGGGCTATCGGCATTGTTCTAATTATAGAACAATTACTTAGTGCCACTTTCTTACGCTGACGTTGTGATGACTATGCCGGGCCGACATTATGGCGACTCTGTTGGGCCGATATAAGTCTTCGGCCTATCTCGTTGGTACATCTATTCCATCGAGGCTGTGCTACTATCTAGCTTCCCTATATCTACCAATACGCTGCATTTCAACGACTTGTCGAACTCCTCATGTTGTCGAAATGGAGCCCATAGTACCAATCAATCTTCATAGCACTGTATAGCAAAGGCATAAGATTAGAGTTTCTACGGACTGACAATTGACCCTTGTATCTCAACAAAGAAGGCCAAGGCGATCAGCATTAAGTACGTAGCGGTCAATCTTGGAAACTACAAAGGTGGCTGCATACGAATATGAAGTTACACTATAGGGATCTGATGTTCGCTATACTTTCTCTCCTGGTCGTATTCCAGGTTGTGGAGGCATGCGGTGTGTTACGAGTAATATTGCCTAGTGATGCTTAGGAAAACAGAGGGGCTAAAAGTGGGCTCATGGTTAGACTGACAGGCCATCATACCCCTCTTAGAAAACATATTTAGTGTCGGACGTTGTACAACCTTGACCTAACATCAGTTCCGAGCAGCATTACACCTTCACAATCAACTCCTACAACTTATCTATCCGCGATTATCAACCCAAACAAAATGCGGCTCAGCGTTATCACCGTGACGATCTCCATGCTGTCCTTGACAACCGCTCAGCCTTATTGGGTACACCAACCATCATTTTCGCCTTTGATGAACGACACTGACAGCCACAGACTTGTGTAACCAAAGATGACAGGGAAGCGAAGAGAATCCAAGATTTCGAAAAAAAATTATCCTAATGGAATCTGCTATATCCCTGGCGGTTCGGCGACTGCGCGGTCATGCAATGATGTAAGAAGCAGCGGTACCACATGTATATTGGAAAATTCTAATAATCTACGTCCAGGGCTTCGCTTGCATAGTCAACAGGAATGGTATAGTAACAGTTATACTTAGCCAGGGACCGATTTACTAACTATGTTATAGGATGCATCCCAATTGACGCCTTCACAGCGAACTGCTCTTAACGAATACCGAGCTCCCTATCTCCAATCAAGACTACTATGGTTACCATCAGCATGATACTTGGCTCGATATCGTGTAGCACTTTCTACTACTACCTGGTTGAAACTCGGTGAAGTGGGAGAGAATATCAGTTCGGAGTATCCTATAGTTGTATGCAGAAGGAGTGCTATAGAGCTTATAATTGTCATCAAGTTTGCGCAAAATGTTCATGTTCAGTGTGCTGCACAACGTGAGGTAAGGAAAATACGCAAGGGTAAGAACAGTAGTGGATTATCATTTGGTAGAGTGACGGGGCACGAAACCTGCGTGGTCTTTCTACTGTTGTAGACCATTGCTGACACTGAATGCATGGTGTATTACAAATTACAACTGTGTATATGGTACCAAGACGTTCGATCTACGAACAAAGCCGTGTCGTGGGTGAGAAGAAAGGCTTGAGTGGGGTATATGGCGAATTGGCAGAGGTGGACCTCCCCCTAACGCCATTCGCAAAATCAAAAGCACGCCGTATCTTACATATCGTACATCTCTCACAACAGAATCAAGCAAGTGCTCGAACAAAGGTCCGAAACGCCGCGCTGAATAATGGCCCGGAATCCCGTAGTCTTACATATATTACGACGTGCTCTCGTGGGCACATGTAGGTTTCATCACAGCAGGCGAGTAAGGTAACTCAGAAGAAGCCTCCCTTGCTCTTCCCTAGTTTGGGGCTCATGGGCCCAAACAGCTTTGTGTCTGTGTTCATCTTCTTCGCAAAAATCAAGTAGGCCTCGAGGGCTTCTTCCTGCGTCTCAAATGTCTTATCGCGGTTCATCCACATCTTCAGGTATTTGTCCGCACTCACGTCTTTCAGTGCCGCATACCATTCACCTGAAGATCGTTGTCGCAGCGATATCGCTAAGTTCTTGCCCTTGAGGCCTGTGACCTTTGAGACTTCACGGAGACAAGCGGTGCGCAGTTGGCCATACTCGTCGTCTTCGAGCGAGGAGCTGGAGGAGCTACGCTCCAGCTTAGGGCGTGACGAGGTGCGAGTTTCGGGCTTGGGGCGTGACTGCTTCTTGGGCTCGGGGGCAGATTTGAGGGCAGGTTTCGGCTCGGGCTTCTTCTTGAGTGGCACGGCCTTGGGTTCTGGCACCTTCTTTGGTGGTGCTGCTGCTTTCGTAGGTGGCATCAACTTTGTCTGCGAGCTTGTCTTTTTCGATAAGGATGACTTTTCAGCCTTCTCTGTTCTGGACGGCTTATCGGTCTTGGAAGCCTTTTCAGCCTTCGGAGGTGCGGACGATGCGGTTTTGGGTGGCGCAACGGATTTGGATGTGGGGTTGGACGGCGATGGTGGTGGACTTGTCTTCTCTGGCTGCGCTCTCCTCGCCCTAAACTGCTCGAGAGGACTTGGCCATGCGCCTATAGGCTTTGGCGTTTCTTCAACTGGAGGTGGCGCATTTCTTGTCCTCGATAGCTTTGCAGGTGTCTTTGGCTCTGGACTTGGCTTCGGTGCTGCTGCAGCCTTTGGCGGGGCGCCTCTCCTTCCCGTCGCAACTGGTGGAGGTGTAGGCGCATCTGCTGGAAAAGCCGCCTCCCCAAACAGCTGTCGCGCTCGGTCCTTTACGCTGGGAAACATGGTGTGTTGAGAGAGAGAGAGTCTGGGGTGATATGGCAGAAATCGACTGTACTGTTTGCTGGTGTATCAGATAATGACGGCGTAATTATGATTAAGAGGTACTGTTGTTACAAGAAAGCAAGCGCGCATCAGGGTCGGACTTGCGATGTGGAGGAGAGCGATGCCAGTTGTTTCGGTGCCTAGCCCGTGTTCCCTCAACGCGTCCCTTTGCGCATCGACCAGCATGCGAACAGGTGACCACATCCAAAATCTGCGGAAATGAGCTAGCTGCCGCTTCCAGAACGCCTTGGAACCATCTCGGAATGTACTTGCAGTAGGTAGTCCAACGGGCGCAGTTGTTTTTCCTTGACCGCCTATCCATGGAGACCGTGTATGCGATGCAGACGCAATATACAGCAGAATAAACCCTCTGTGCGAGCCATGCGAAGAGCTGAACTCATCTTACTACACCTCAGCGCGACGGGCGTACGTTTGCAGCGTAACCAGCCACAGTGGCCCCCCCTTTCCGGAGTACCGGGCTGTGCGGAAATTTGAAACGGGATTCAACATGGTGGCAACCACGCTATCAGAAGACACGACGGCCCTGACAGTTCAACATCAGCTCGTACGAAGATTTCCATGCCGTACGTCGTTCAAGGATGATAAAAATGAGTTGAAGGTGTGACGCGACAAGGTGAAGCTATCTGAAGACGCATGATGCAGGTTGCATATGCAGATGCACGTCAGCGACCACGTGCGGAAAACGGTCTCGGGATCAAAAGTTTAGTGCGCTCCACCTTGCTATTTGCGGTCCTGGTAGTGTTCATCCCCCGCAAACACGGCCCTTCCCCCAGCGTTGAAAACACTCCAGATCCTTGCCGAGTAGGCTGTTCTCCAGGAACCTCTGCCTATGCCTCCGAACTAACCGGCTTAATCCCCACCTCGGTCATCTTGGTCGCTTCAATCTCTTCGACGGGACTATCCGCCCTCTCCACCACATCGGTCAAACACAGATACTTCAGGGTACTCGTCCAGGCCAGGTCATCACCAAAGTACGACTTCATAACCTCAACACCATACTTTATGCCGTTCTTCGGGTCATACGTCAGACATTGCTTTCCAACTGCAATACCAATAACAGCATCCCATGCGGGTAGCTCGGCCGTGCCATATTGCTCTGATGAAGGGGGAAGCTCCGAGTTCAACATGGCAGAATATATGTTTTGAGCAGCCGTCTGGCCCATGACCGTCGCGCTACCTGCGCGCTTAATGCCCGACCAGGCAATGACGTCACCAACACCAAAGTGACAGGAAGCGTTTGGAATGGTGTCTTTGAACATGAGCGATTGGTGGACCATGATCTCCTTGTCTTTGTTCAAGCACTCCTTGGGTAGAACATGCGTGGTCGGTGTGCCTTTTCTCGTAAAGTCGACGACAAAGTCTGCTGTTACAGGGTCGCCATTTGCGAGTGTGACGGTGAATTGTCCATTGGGCAGACTCGTGCTGGATGCCCTACTACCAAGAATAAGGTCAACACCCTCTTCCTGCAGAAGTATCTTCACGCGCTCTTTGACGTCTGCAGGTAGTGGCTCGGAGGAGAGGACTTCGCTCCGTGAGTGTACCAGCGTAACCTCAATATGTGGGTAATAGCTCTTGATCTCAGCAGCAAATTCAACCCCAACAGCACCCGCGCCAATGACTACTACTCTCCTTCCTTGGCCTTTCGATGCGTCACCGCCAGTGATTTTCTCGATGAACGCCTTGGCATCTCTTTGATACTCTTCGAAGCTTCCGGACTTGGGAACGGCGGGAAAGGTCCTCTTTAGGCCAGTGGCCATGACGAGGTAGTCATATGTTTGTTGATGTGTCTTGCCATTACCGTCGCACCATTCGGCGACCTTGGCTTCTGGGTTGATGTTCTTAACACTTCCATGGTTGAAGCGGAGGTTTGGTTGTTTGAGCTCATTGAGATGACTGAACCTCTTCCACATTTGGTTTGTATGCTTCGGTGTGACATGAGCGAGTGGAGCACCAACAGAGTGGACTATGATTGCAAGCGTCAGTGAAGAGTCTCACAAGACGAAGCTCCGATGTGGGGGCCAACGAGCAAGGCCTCGGCTAGCGGGGTAGTACAACGCACAGTAACCGTCTCGCTCATCGATAACGGTGATTTCAACCCCTCTCCTACTTTGCGCCCCCTTGAAATCCGGGCCGCCTGGATAGACACTCTGTCGTGGCTTCCCTTGTGCATAATCGAGGAGATTAACCACGGCAGATATACCGCCGTATGCGCAACCGACAACAAGGACGCGGTGAGGATTGCCTACGCTCAGGCTCAAGCCCTCCAACGAGTTGCTAACGCCCGTAAGTCTCATTGCAAAGTTCGATCTGATAAGGTAGGGATAGGGGAAATGTGATGGAGATGAGATGATCTGATTAGATTGGCAAAACGCCCGCTTCTTATTGCCATCAACACACCGCACTCCGGAGATGGGAAATCGGTTAGTCCTAAGCGCACCTCCACTTGGGCTGCCTGCTGTCTGCGACTGATCCACTGTTGTCGTCGCAGAGGGAGGGTAGCGAGATGCGATTGGTGGAAGACCCGCCGTCTTATCAGATCCGAGTCACTTCCGATGCAAATTTTATCTGATGCCCCACATATCGACATGTGCCACCTCCGCTTCCTCAACAGCCGGAAGGTGCGCAATCGAGCCTGGAACGTTACTACGCCTAGATGGAGGTATGAATCGCTCCGATTCAGCAGTTTTAACATGTTCAGTCCGTGTCTTCGCGTCTGACAACTATCACATCTGACAATAAGCGTTGTGGAAAAGGGAAAGGATCAGTGTATTTGAATTGCATTATAGTTCAACATTAATTTAAATCATATCACCTCTAGGTCTGCACATGTCTCGTTTTCACGTACACCGTCCGAACTATAACGACCGAGCCCAAATAGATGTGAAGCTTCTGTACTTTCGCTTCCCCATTCACTCAAGACTCATTGTCCCTTGAATCCTTCAACAAGTACGACTGGGCCCTTGTAATGTCTCCGACCTCTGATGACATAGTCTAGCAGACACAGGATAGCGACGGCTACGAACATGACCACCGCCCAGTTGAAGTTATCCAGTGCGACTGGTGTAGACTCTGGCCAAAAGCACCAGAAGAAGGCGTGTGTCGAGTACAATACACCACCGATGTTGATGGGAACGCCCCATTTGCCGAGCGACCAACGGCAGGAAGGGAGAAGTTCGGGGTGGCGGATACGTCGGTAGAGAACAGCGCCGATAGAGAACATGTATGTTATCATCAGGGCTACTACGTTGAGAGATATGACTAAAACACGTCACTGGGTTGCAAGGGAAAAGGTAGATGATGACAGAACTTACTAGCGTTGAAAGCAACATCTGAGCCAATATTGATCAAGCTCAAGATAACGGTGATGAGGCAGGTGATCGTCACAGCGTTTGCAGGTACCTGTAACTTTGGATCCACATGGCCAATCCAGCTGCTGAATGGCAACCCCTTATCTCTAGCAAAAGCCCACGTCTGGCGCGAAGTTGACAAGTTGAAGGTCAAAGTGCCGGCGAAGATGAGGATAGTGGGAATAGCGTTGAGAGCTACAACACCCCCTGCAGATACTGCCTGGCTAAATACCCACAGATGCGGATACCCACTAGCATCGTCGAGCGCAGCTCTTACGTCGGTAACCATAAACATGTAGCTAACGAGGAAAACCATGCCGAGTAAACCGTTCATCAGGTATGCGCCCATCATGGCACGAGGAACAGTCTTGCCCGCGTCTTTGATCTCTTCGGCCATATGAGCTGCAGAATCGGAACCTGCAATGCCGTCAGTATCCCTTGGAGAGCAGCATGTATTTGGACTTACAGATACAGGCATAAATTGCCGAAATCTGGCCAACCATGAGTGCCAGTCCAGTCGAGCCCCAGTTGCCTTCGTTGGTGAAATGTGTAAATGTCACTTCTGCTGTTGCCCGCGGAGACAAGACCCAGAACACGATGATGATGGCCAAGAAGCCAAAGACGTGTACAACCAACATGATGTTTTGAAACAGCGGCATGAACTTTGAGCCCCAAATATTGAGCGTCCAGACCAAGATGGTCACGGCAATTACCATGAGTGTTCCTTGCCAGTTTGTAGGCGAGTAATCTGGATACATTACGACGACCGAGGACTGTATCAGCGTGCCGACAAGGAAAGGCCCGGAGGCTGTGCCGGCCTGCCACGAGAGCGTTGACATCCATCCGATGAAGTAGCTGAGCGGCTTTTGAACGCTAGGAGGAGAGAATTCCGAAACCCAGTGATATTGGCCGCCTGCAGTTGGGGCCATGGATGCCATCTCAGCAAGAGACAGCATCACTGTGCTGAAGCCGAACCAGGTCCATACGAAACTCCAGATGAGCCCAGCTGGGCCACCATCGGACAGACCTGTATAAGTTGCGCTTGTCATGGTCAGCATTTCGACTATCAAATTCCAATTAGTTATACTCACGTAAGGAGGACCTCCCATGTTCCTTGGAGAATAACAGTAAAGGCGAGTGCGGACAATGGTCGATAATTCCTCTTCAACTCCTGCACCTTGCCCATGCGCTCCATGTCAGCGCGATCGGCTCTTGTGTGACCTCGTAGAGAATCATGATAGTCCTGGCTCTCATCTTCATCGTCAAATCTTGCCGCATGCGTCCGCGATTCCAAAGCAGTCTGCTTGTCCATGGTCCCAAGCGGCTGGCTACCCCCAACACCGTCGTAAGCAGACATGGCTTACTCGCAGCAGATATGCAGGAACGTGGCGCCACAGGTAAGCTCAAACAAAACCAAAGAGTACAAAAACGAAAAAGTAGGCGCAGCAGGGCGAAAGGAGCGAAGAAAGGGATTTCCTCGTGCGAGTAAAGACATGCGTGCATTAGATTGATGTGGGCTCAGCCAGGCAGTCTGCCGCATCCCGGTGGGACCACTAAGCCTATCAACCACCGGGCGATGATTCCTCACATGGACCAGGGTTCAACGATGCACATGGCTTTTGTGCGCCTGTTACTCAACAGAAATCGTTACGGTGCAGCTTGCATGTGTTCCATCTGCCACTAGTCCAGCCGTGCCACGGGCCGCAGCCCTCATCTAGAGCTTTTGGCGCAACCGGTTTCTTGGCTGCCGATGCAGGAGGTCGTATACGAATTGCATATACAGTACACATGCCGCGGCTCAGACCAGAAGAGAAAATGCCCCGAACCGAGACCATGATGCGATCTTCTGAAAGGAAAGGAACTCTGAGAAAATTTCCGGGAGAATTCGGTCTACTTAGGCCTCCCAACGAGGTTACAAGGGCTTCCAACGCCAAGCGACCTCGGGAAGATTGGCGAGATGTATATGGTCTGATTCAGCTATTCAGTCTTAGGCAGTAAACGTCGAGGAAAGACGAGGCGAACGACGGCTCGTGTCAGGGGATGAGTAGTTTTGCGTATGTAGTCGAATTCATATCATGACATGCCATGGCGCCATGGCAGGCATCCCGCCATCTCGTCAACGTATCAGCAAGTTGCAAATGGCATCCCGCCATGCAGCAAATTGGCACGCCTTCGCTTACAAAACGAAGGCTGACGCTAGCAAAGGCGAATAGGGCTCTTGCGTGTTAGAGATCTCGGCATTGCTGGCTTAGCATGCCAGGCGTCGCGTCTGCACGCTGTGTGGACTGGAAGCGGCCCTCCTTCCGCTGTTCCGCGTCGGTGCAAACCAGGCATGGAAGGAAAATGATGACATATAGGGTGCCAAGTCCGCGGTTCTGGTGGTTGAGCTGGGATGCTCATCGGAAACAAACCAGCTGGAGGGCCTTGTCAGATCTGTGTTCAGCTGTAACTATAGAGCACAAGGAGTCCTGCTGCGCCGCACCGATGTACTCAAGTCCCATGGCATTCTTTTCATTGCACCGTACGCCTGGACTTTTCTTGTATGATATACCATGGCAGCAGAGGCAATACCTCCGCCCTACGTTATCACGGCACATGATAAGCGTGGCCTAATCGTCGTTACTGGCGCTGTGGTGCTCGCCTTCGTGTGGTCGTGTTTCTCGATCCGAATATGGCTGCGATTAAAGTCAAGGGAGTGGAGATCCGATGGTGAGTTGACTTGGCCTGCTATGCCGTATGCCAGACCCTGTACTGAGGACGTGTACGTCCAGATTGGTGGCTGGCAGCGGCAACGATACTAGACACGGTGCAGACAGCAGTCATCTTCCACCTAGTTGACCTTGGTCTTGGGGCATCTCAGGACGGTCTATCGTCATCGCAACTGGAACGAATTGGAAAGGTAAGTTGGTGATGTGTGGGTGATCGGTCCTTCTAGATCGGCGCCAGAACGTTCACGCAGGGCAAGCACGCGAAGAAGTTCATGGTCGATCCTGGTGGGGAACCACGTCTGACAATCTAAACAGGAAGGCTTCACGACTCAGATTCTATACATCCTCGTACTATTAGCCTCAAAGTTGTCGGTGCTATTTCTCTATCTACGCCTGTCGCCCGGAGGATCACACCGCCTTGCAACATGGTCACTTGCAGCGCTTTCAGGCGTATGGGCACTGGCGTCGATAATACTCATTGCGACACCGTGCAACACAACGCAAGCATACACGCAGTCGGCTGATTGTTCCAACAGGGTATACCCCACAGTATCTCGACTTCTTCGGAGCCCTCATTGACCAACTGCAGTGGCCGAAATGGCAGGCCGTAGCCGCCTTGGACATATTCACGGAATGTCTCATCTTCATGATCGCAATACAACTAGTCTACTCCCTGCATATGCATTTCTTCGCAAAATTTCTCGTCGTCATGGCGTTCGGCGCCCGTCTTCCCGTCATAGCTATTGCTGCCATACGACTCTACTACATGAACGGGCGGATTCGCGGCTCAAGTTGTAAGTAGTCACGACAAAAACTAGCAATGGAAAGGAGATATTGATTTACTGTAGATACATTCGAGTTTATAGTAGCTACACAATGGCAGATGGGTTACGCCATCATGAGTAGCACCATCACAGGCATGGCGCCGTTTTTGAAACCCTTCGACAGCAACTATGTGGCCAGCTACAAACACTCGGATCAGAGCACCCATAACAGACACACTGTACCAAACAGTTCGATGGACACTTCAGTCCTCCCTCCCCGGCGGAAGATGTCTTCAGGCGGTCTTTCAGAATCCTACTTGATGGAAACGCTGCCGAGTAGGAGAGGAAGCAAACAGACACTACCCGAGCGCCACAGCTCCTTGGAACACATACGATCAACTTCAACATCACGAGCAGCGCAGTCTGCCACAATGACGGCAGACGAGCAATTCTGTCCTACACACCGGTACAGAGGCCACGAGACAGAGGTATGGGTTGGAGAAAGAAGCCTTAGTATGACCCAACAGGAAATGATGCAGGGAGCATCGAGTGGCAATAAGAGACAGAAGCTGGTAATTGGAAAGAAGAAGGAATTCAAGATCGAGGTGGATCGTGTGAGTCGCGACTTTTAGCATACGTGGCTGGCGGTATCCTTGACTTTGGTGGTGTACAATTGGGCGTCGATGAAATACCCCTGGTGATTTTTTTTGAATTTGCGCTCCTTGTGGTTTATTCATGCAAGGTGTATGTAGAGGATGCATTAACAAAAGTTGTCATTCTAGTGCGAACCTATAATACAGCTAGCAAGACTATCAGCCCCCGACCATGCAAGCTTCCGACGGTCTTGCTAGGTCCAATAGTCAAAATGATATCATGGGCAATACTGCTTTTGCGGTTCCGTGATGCTCAAATCTGTTTTGGCCATACCCGAGGAAATTCGTCAAAGAAACAAAGACGGGTAATCGCAAGTCGAGGGTAGGAGGACTGTGGAGACGGGCGCAAGAGAGCGTCGCGCTCAAAATGGGGAATCAGTCGAAATATATGGAGAAATGGTGGTGATGTGGAAGCCTTATGCGGAGAAGCGACGCATAACCTTGGCGATGACTGCTGTATGTTAGGCATTGGCTCGAGACAAGAACACGCGATTGTGCGTACCGTGAAGAGCGACAACGCTAAAGATGAAGACAACGGACAAGGTCATGACCACCACGGGGTCGACCTTGAGTCCGGGAGACTCATCGGTGTAGAGCCCTAAGAAGACAAGTTAGCTATGGTATGTCTTCTCTCTTGCCGAGCGTGTACTTACTCAGCATGGTGCTTGAGCTTCCACCTGCGCCTGCTGCCCTTGTGCTGCTTGGTCGCAGGTTGGCCGTCTTCTCAGCACGGTCAGCGGCCGCCTTCCTTCGCATAACAGTGGCGGGGCCACCCGGGGGCTTTGGTGAGGCAGGGCGCGCTGTCGTTGTGCCTGAAGAGGCTGCATTTGAAGGCGAGGTGGCACGTTGAGAAGACTGTCAATAATCGTTAGTTGTCGCAAGCATATCTAATGGCTACCATTGTGCCAGGGCAAAGTGTTACTAACCATGATGAAGTGGGAGAATAGTAACTGGTACGAGGAAGATGGACGCGTGGGGAGTGAAAGGTGTGCTTGAAGCTGCTGGTGATAGTCGCTCGTCCGATCTCAAAGGCCACGATTCTGGAGCTGGGGTTGCCGCAGCTGCGCTAACCCTGATCTCGCGTATAATGGCGCTAGCAAGGATCACGTGCCTAGCTTCCTTCACCACGGCACCAGTTCCCCCGAACAGGCAGGTCTCAATTGGCGTCGCGGGTCGTCAATGTGTACACGTAAGCGAGTTTCACCACAAAGAACCATGGTCTCAAGCCACTTTTCCCATTACAACGTTAGATGTACGAGCCCAAATGGCATCCCAACATCATCGGGGTAGCGTCATGCCTACCACTCGTTGACGCAGATGCCCTTGATCAGATCCGAAAAAGCTAGCAACCGATAATAGCAACATATGCTCAAGCAAACTCCTGCAAGCCCCAATCCCCAAGCCTCATAAACCGATGCCGACCTTTGATCCTGCCCAGCAAACACCCGTGTAACCGCCCGTGAAAAGGTATATTATCTCCAGCCGACCCAGACATGTAGACGAGCTTGCTGAAAGAGCATCGTTAAAACTACAGCAAATATTCGCCGACGACCAATTGACCTGCTACTCCCATGGTTACCTAGGTATAGTTGAAAGACCGACATGGCGTGACCGGGACACCTGAAATGCAGTAAACTCCGGATGTGCATCATATCCCTATAAGCAAAACTCCAGATTTTAGCCCCAAACAGACGCCTGAACTCCCTGAGTAGGTGTGTTGCTCCAGGGGCCGTTGTTCCAAATCCCTACGCCCTTGTCCGTGGCCGTAGCGGAGGGGTTCATAGAAGCAGACGTTGTGGCCATGTTGCTCTGCTCGCTAGCGTTGTACGAGTTGTAGCCCAGAGGCGAGGGCAGAGGAGAGTTTGCACGCTTGCCCAGCGCAGCACCGCCTGGTTGCTGAAGGTTCTGGTTCTGGGGACGAGTGCCAATGGGAGCCACGTTGGAGCCGTTGGACTTGTGGCCGGGCACGGGAGGAGAGCCACCAGGCGACGAGTTGGAGGTGCGGCTAGCCTGCTGGGCATCGAACAAGTTAAAGGCCGGGTTCTGGCCGGCAGAAGGCGACGAAGTGTTGTTGGAACGGGCGTCTTGGGCTCCACTTGCGGCATCCTTGTCGCGCGGGGGCATCTGGACGGAGCCGTCACTCTGGCCCTGCATGCCGAAAGGGTCAAAAGCGAGGGGGGACTGGCCACGACCAGCGGCCGAAGTCTGAACGCGTACGTCCTGGCTCGAGGTCGGGTTGTTGTTGTACAAGGTGGACGTCTCGCCATACAAAGCACGGTGCTGGCGGGCGATGAGTTCGCGGCGCTCATCTTCATTCATGGCATTGGGGCTCATGGAGCGATCCGACTTTGAGCCAGAGCCCGAAACGTCTGTATTATCCTAGTCAACCACATGTCCTGCTTCTATTGTTGCCCAGATTCCGAGTCCTTACTTCTGTGGTATTGCTGTTCCTGGTGATAGTTGCGCAGCTCACGCTCGCGCTGAGCCGCCATCCGTCGCTTCGCCTGCGCCATCTGGTCCGCGTCGTTGGGTCGGGGCGCATAGCGCTGGTTCTGGTAGAAGCCCTGAACATTGGAGGCCGAGTGGGAGCGCGAGCCGTCGTACTCGCTGACCGAGTGGTGGCGCTGCGGGCCGCCCATGCGTTGTTGTTGTTCTGTAATCTATGTTAGTAGATACAACTTGGTGGTGGGTCATGGTGGGGTGTGCGTACCAAAGTCGGGGTAGGGACGAGGACCACCACCACCCATCATAGGCATGGACTCGCGACGGTTGGCGCCCATGGGCGTTGGAGGAAATCCAGGGCCAAAAGGCTTTCCGCTCTTGGCTATGTTCTCAATGGCGCGGTCAACCTCTGTGTCATGTTAGCGCAAAATGATCTGTCATGTTGTTGCAGCCTGTCACTGCTGTCTGGCTGTCTGCATGTCTGCATGTCACTGCCAGGTTCATGTTGCAGCAGACAATAGACAAGCCCCAACATCAGGAATAGAAATCAACGCACCCTCAAACTGCGAGGCAAAGGCGTTGGCGGCCTCGCTATTGACCGTGGAGCTCGTGCCTATATCCGTGTGAATGGCTGGACTTTGCGCATTGTAACCCATTTGGTCAGTACCTGATCGCGAGGGCGGTGGCGGCTGCTCCCATGATGACTGTCGGCCAGGAGCAGGTGTGTTCCACGACGCGTCGTTGTAGTAGGACATGTTGGCTGGACGAGTGGTCGTGTGCGGTGGGTTATCCGGATTCGGGGTAGGCGCGCAAAAGAGTAGATGCAACAACTACAGTAAATATCCTGCACGCAAGCAAGCAGTCAGCATCTAAGCTTGCTGGAATAGACAAGGTCACGGGCAGCAATTGGCGATGGCGGATCCGGAAAGGTGGCCCTCGACGGCCGGACGGAGGTACTCGTGGGCGATATGGGGGCGGGAAATGAGGTCGAGGCGGGCAGCGGAAAATTTTGGTGGAGAGGGCACATGTTTTGTCGACAGGGTGGTGGTGCCGCTTACCGAGAAATGCAATCCGTGTACTCACCTTGACCGCGACAAAAGGAGCGACAGCTGTTCACTAAGCTGGGAGCAAAGTGAAATCACCGAGAGAGGACAGCTGAGGCGGGTAGGGGTGAGGGAGGGACTTCGGGAGATATCGCGGGAACGAGTGAGGATTATTGTCGAAAGGGGATGCTGGATTCATTCATGGCGCTAAGCAGGCCGAGCAACGACCTATCCACTTAATTCATCTCCGCTCGCAAGACACGGGCCTCAGTAGCTGCATGCAATTAGTCTATCAAGTTATCCCGTTTGACCAACCGCTCACCACCATCTGCCACCGACACGCCGCAGCCTTGCGCTTGGGAGCCTCGATGACCGTCCCAGGTATGTGCAAGCAATCGGTCCACTGGCAGCCAGAATGTGCAGATGACGTCCGTGACGGTGAGGGACAGTTGCAGCTGCATGGAGAAGTCGAGCTATGCGAGACATGTATGGGTGCAGCAGTGGGAGCGCGGTTAGCGAACCGTTCAGCTTCGGCCTTGTCCACTGCCACCACATCGGCTATTCACCAGAGTGGCACAAAAACCGCCTCCCATCTTCCTCGCACGTGGGCGCCCGACGTCTCTGTACAGTATGTAAACCAATTTGACACACAGGCACTGTCTGTCAATGCGACGACGTATCTGCGCCACGACCATGTGCGAACCTGACGTTCGCAGTCTGCAGTCAGTGCCCCGCGCAGGAAAAGGGCGACTGGCGAGATGGATGCATGACACCCCACCAACTGCCAGCATGATCAACTTGCCCTCCCACTCCCCCAAAACCCAGACTGCTCGTGGACGTGGACGTGGACGTGGAAGTGGCCGGCAAATGCGGGCACTGCGGGGCATCCAAGACCATACACGGACAGCCTCCAATGGGCTCCCACCAACGACAGACTTTTGTGAAAATATCCTTTTTTGTGGCTTACATTCCCCATCGTAGTCCATGCACCACCACGGTGCCAGAAAGCATACAGCCGACAGTTGATCGTTATCTCGCGCAACCAAGACCGACATGCACCCGGCACCCGGCATCTAGCTCTTCCAGACTTTCATTTGCCCTTCCAAACGTCAAGTTCAAACATTCAAGCTTCCACCAGGTAGGCTGCACGTGATGAGCCACTAGCCGCGCTTGCTTGCTCATCGCCCGACCATGGCTGCCCAAGCACTTACCCACGTGCCTACGACTCGCCTAGACTCCATGGACATCAAGAGCTTGCTGTCTTAGGCAACCGGCATGCATGTTGGCTGGCTACCAAGTTGCTCACCTGCACAAATGCCGTCACTTAGCGTGAACATGTACCCCGTCTACCCCAGCTTTTTTTTTGCCTTTGCCTAACTGCCGTTGCGCCATCACACTCAAAAAGGAAATCTGATTCTGACACCCGTGCTCAAGGAAAGTTTGCTTCTGTATATCCCGAATTACCCTGTCACGTCAGAGCTCCTGAGAAGGGACTCATTGTTACTTCCGCGAGCATGCCTTCCTCTTTTTCTTGCACGTCATACGCCCAGCACCGACTGGCCTCAGTACTACTCGACATGGCCACGCATTCTTCCAAGCCTCCGACAGTAGCGGGAATGTGCCGCCATTGCATCACGGGTCCAGCGTTTTTTTCTTGTACACGAAACACGAGACGCCTTTTCGACAATAACTCTCATCATGAGGATATTGGTACTACTATTCACTCGGCAGCCGTCGATGATTATACACTGTCTGCCTTGTATTTGCTTTTCTCTTTGCTTCCAAGACTCACAATACTAATACACCGCGACGACAAACTTGTGTGAATAATGACAACATGGCGGCAACGGTTCACTTTGCCTTGTCTGCATGGACATTACATAGCAAACTTCTTGCTACTGTTTTTACCCAGCAAAACACAGAAAGTCTATTCAGGAACCACACCGAAAGCGCACGCTATGATGAACCTAAATACAACGTCTCTTTTGGACCTGCCTCCAGAACTTATCCTCGAGATCCATGACCACCTCTCCCTGGATGCACTGTTGGCACTCAAGCTTACGCACCCTCGACTCCATCAGATCATCCGTCTTGATCGACAGCGTTGGCAGAGCCCTCTCTCCCACTGCTCACATCGCGCTATCCAACTCTACCTGGCGCTATCGACTGCGAAGGCCAGTCATCGGTTCTGTAGGCTATGTGCGGCCACCATACCCGTTAGTATGTTCAACTCATCAACGAGCCCAGCTTTCATCCAGGCAGCAGATACGGATGATTTCCAAAACATCATTGAACTGCCACCGGGCATCTGCGCCTTGCACGTAAGCAGACTGATGAGGGTTGTCCACACTGGGCCCAGGGGTCCAAACGAGTGGACTAGTACTCCAAGCAGGATGTGCATGCACTGCGGCAACATCGAAGGCTGGGCAGACTGTGACTGCAAGTGCGATAGCTGCGCGGTCGGAATAGTGAAGACATTCACCCGCTATCTCAACAACACTAGAGAATGCCAGCAATACCGTTTCTGGAAGGCCGATTCCCCAACGAACAAAACCCGAGATGGCCATCTTTGGGTGCGAGAGACTGTGATGGATGAGAGAGATCACTATTCAATCATCAATCTTCCAATCAGGCCCATGTTGGATGAAGCCACCACAATGACGCAACATTCGCAATTGGGTTACGGTTCCTTCTTCCGCAGCAGCTTCTGGTTGTAGCTCATCCTCAGCCTTTGACCATGTATCATCTCGCATGTATCATGTCATCCCGTATGATTTGTACTCTTTTAATTTATTGTATCATTTAGAATTCTGTCTTTTCCTTGCTCATGAACTCGTCTTTCTCTTCTGCAAGACCAGCCTGTTCCACATCCACACTGCCGTTTCTCCTCTGATATCTCAACTCATGTCCCCATCTTCGTACACTCATCAAAGCCCACCACTGCGCAATCATCAACACGAGGCCAAAGCATGCTGCGCCGAATTTGATGACGCTGAAGCTCGTGGAGCATTTTTCTAGCCATTGAGCATTCCACCCAAAGCCTGCATCGATGTCGCGACATATCGAAGATCCGTCAAGAGCGTAGCTCGGGATTACCGGGTTTAGCAACCGAAAGTCGAATGGCAGGACCATGTTCACGAGTGCGATGGTTACGAAGGACAGCGTCGTGGTGTGAAGGATGGTGTAAGCTGACACGAGGCTTGGTATTGACTGAGTATCATTCGTTAGCTCTCTACGCCTCACGAGTATCCAAGTCATGTAATCCGGACGGTCCGATTGGTCGCGGCATGATACCGGATGTAGCATGAAATACAGAGTAGGAACTTTGCTTACCCAAACGGCGCCCACCAAGCCTAGTGTGCTTGCGCAGCCAGCAAGCACATTATATGTTAATGAAAAGCATGCGCTATCGAGATCAGAGCCCGGAAGTATGAAGGAAAGAGCGAGGAGTGTGTGTGCGCATAGTGTGAGGGCCGGAAGCACGACAGCCAGAAACCTGATGAGGATCATGTTAGTCCCAGTCATCCGAACATACGCGGGCGCATGCGACATACCTCATCTGGCTCTGCTCGGTCGACAATGCCATATTTATCAAGTAGCCCAAGTATGTCCAGATCGAAACTAAACGTCACAAGCAGCGGTTGCTCTGTCAAGAAGTGCGATGCGGTACGATTGCGTTGCGCTGCGCTGCGGTCAAGGTGGATGTAAAAGCAAAAGACGTCGGTCGGAGGAGATCCGGGGTATCAGAATTGGAGGACCAGCAACAACGCGAAGAAGCAAGCGGCACGACGTTGATGTAAAGTGTAGAATGTCAAGTGTGAAGATATGAGAAAGCTTTCTTGCGCAAGCCCCGAATGCGCGAGTGTGTTAGGTCAGATGCCTGTTTTCGCCGACGGAATGGTGAGATCGTGTGGTCGATATCGACGCCCTGTCCACCAAAGTTTAGCTCCGGGATGCGCGGATGCTGGCGAAAAGAAAGTGTGATGTCACAATAACGCGATGGTTTTAGAAAAGCCGCTGAATCAGCAGCTGCTACCCACTTGCAACAATCAAGAATACGAGTCGCAACACTTTGTCCGACAGCGAAAACGCGAGAAATGGTAAACCCCGCAAAAGTAGCGAGAGGGTGACAGTTGGGTGTTGAGAAGGGACGGCCCTTTGGACGATTCGACACGCAACTTGTGCCTGCAAAGAGAAAGGCTACCTATCTTGCAAAAGATATGTACACCACGCATGCAGTTTAGTCCGGACGCGCCAATGGGATCATGCGGCATGCGGTAGTCCCAGTGGAGTTCAGTCCCGGACCTTGGCGGATTAACAAAACAAAGCCTAGATCAAGCGCGTCATCTTTGTGTACGCCATTTTGCAAGAGACGAATCGCCTCTGCTCGAGCTACCTCCGGTCGTGCCCTGGGCGGGTAGAATCTTGGATGGCGTCCCAACTAGATCGCACTGAACCCCGCAAAGGAAATAAAGAGGAGGGGAAAATGTAACATGGCACATTTTGCATTTCGATGCGCCATTGTCATGAGATACATGGGGAAGGAGAGAGCGTCGGATCTCCGCTCTCCCATGATCCGTAGCGAATCACGCAAGTCTTGGGCCGCCTGCTTGTTAATCACATGCTTGTCTCCCATCATGCCCCTTGGTTTCCGCTGTGCGGTGCTGACATGTGTAGATTGTGGAATGTTCAATTTCACGCGACTTTTTCTTCGTCTCTGCAAAACAAGCCTAAACGTCCAGCGGCAGAAGTACAGACCTAAAAGCTTAGTCGACTGACAGCGACGATCGCAGCCAACAAGGAAAAATTGATTCAGGACTTCAATGAAAGCTTGGCAGGCTTGATTGACTCGTTAGTGTGGAGTGTGGAGTCTTGGCAAGCGAGCGAGTCCGATGTGTGACGGCGCGCTGACGTGGTAAGTAGGAAGGTAAGACGCGCAGCACCAATTCACAAAATGTTTCCAGACAGAGAGCAGTATGCATAATCATCATTGCTATCTGGTATTGCTACCTAGCGCGCCCATTTCAGGGCGACTCGCCGTTGTGTATCATGAACTCGCAATTGAATCAACCGTCAACCATACCCAACGTCTATGCGAAAACGTAGCAGGGGATGCCGTACTAGACGAACAGTTAGCAGAGTATATAAAAGGACCGGGACTTCACGTACGTTGGTAGGAGCATTGAATTTCAGGTTCTTGTCCAAGTCGGAAATCTCCTTGATTTCGCTGTCCTTGAGATCGAAGCTCGTTACATCCAAGTTCTGGGCGAGACGGTGCTCAGAGTTTGACTTTGGAATGACGCTAAGACCGCGCTGTGTCGACCACCGTAGCAGAACCTGTGCAGGTGTCTTGTTATGTGCTTCCGAGATCTTCTTGATGACGGGGTGGTCAAAGAGAAGAGGAGTGTCGGCGGCAATCTTCATGTCGCACTCGATGAAGCTCTGGGGACCAAAAGACGAGTACGCAGTGACCTTGATGTTATGCTGGTTGGCCAGCTCGATGAGGTAGGGCTGAACGTAGTATGGGTGGTGCTCGATCTGAAGCGTTGCAGGCTTGATCTTTGCGTACGTGAACATGTCCAGGAGGAGCGCACCGCTGTAGTTGCTCACGCCAATGCTCTTGGCCAGTCCCTTGTTCTTGAGCTCCTCGAATGCCTCCCATGTGCTTTGTAGGCTGGCTTTGCTGTGCTCAATCTTGCTCTTGCCGTCAACGAACCAACCCGGTGGGTAACGCTCCTTGGGGTCGACGTATTTCAGGGCGACGGGGAAGTGAATGATGTACAGGTCAAAGTAATCGACGCCCCAGTCGGCCAACTGCTTGCGGCAGATGAGCTCGACTTGCTCGCGCTCGTGGAAGGTTTGCCAGAGCTTGCTGACAATGAAGAGGTCCTCGCGCTTTACGAGACCATCCTTGATGGCGCGGGCAACACCTTGGCCGCACTCGACTTCGTTGCCATAGTCTATGAAAACGACATGTCAGCTTCTGCATGTTCCCAGATGTAGGAGGGTATGTACACGTGAGCTCGTGTTTTCATTCCGAGAAATGGCGCTAGCATTCCGAGGCAGCAGCAAGAATGCAAAAGGGCCACCGGTAAATTCGGAGTGACGCGCCGCCACGTCTTCCGGTCCAAGAAGGGATCACGTGAGTGTACATACCGCAAGCACCGTCGAAAAGTCTGTATCCAGCCTTGATGGCGTTGTACACGGTCTCGGCGCAAGTGGCATTGTCGACTTTCCACAGTCCAAAGCCAACCTGAGGCATCTTGTTGCCATCGTTCAGCGTGACATAGGGAGTGTTGGGAGCCATTGTAGCGAAGCAGTTGCGATTAGCAAAGCTATTTCTCAGTAGATGGGAGGGTAGCGAGGGTACTCGTTGTGAGAAGCAAATACGTGCAGCAGGTAGTAAAGAAGAGGCAGGTTTGAATGAAGAAGCAGAAGAGCTGACGGCGGCGCGAAGCGTATTAATACTACCGGCGCGGCAGTATCGCCCAGCAATCATGTCCCTGATATTGGCCTTGAATTTTGCAGACGGATCAAGAGCAGTTGGCGCCAGGTACAACAGCCTGCCGTCTATATACGCCGTGTCAAAATCTAGTCCGACATATGACCCTGCGTCTTCACCCGGACGACTGGGTAGGCATAGTCGATCTGCGTCTTTACCCTGATGGGCCATGCTTCCGCCTCTCATTTAACCTTGTTGCGCCGCATCCTGTGGCGCCTATTCACCTTAGTCGTCGGCCTCGGTATCTGACGTCGACAGTTGAAAGCTCTGTTCCATGACGTCTCGAGACGCCCGGCAGTTATTGACAGATGGGTAAATAGCGGACCGTCTCAACAATTCGCTATCAGTCAATTTCTTCGTGCTGAAACGGCATATGGAGCCATGTTGGTGGTAAAATAAGCACGCCAGCAATCACAATCACCGAAGAGACGATAGTGGGGTAATCTGTGCCCCTCACTACCCACATTTCTTACCCTGCCACCACGCCGGGCACGTTGGACGGGTAAATTGACCGCACGACTCAAGGCACCGGATAATTAATAAGCGCCAGAACTCGTGATTCACCATCCCTCCGTGGCAGTGGATAAACAGTCTTCTCTTGTGGAGAGTGTCTGATAAGTAACAAGTACCTGTAGTTGATCAAGGACAGGGTTTATTCTTCAAGTGACGCTAAATCGATAACACAATACACTGGTCGAACCAAAAACAAAAAGCCCATTTGGGGCTCAGTCGTACAAGAATCTTGATAACACCCAGTGCACATGCGCCAATGTGACATTGCTGAGTGTACTGCTCCACCACACGCGTAAACTACTTGCGCGAACTCGCCATCTCTCCATACCGACCACGCTGTTGCGTGGTATCATAAGCTTGTAGAACCCTTGCTTGCGACTCGTCTGTTTGAGAAAAGGCATAGCCGCGCTGTTTGCGCATACGCTGCACCTGTCGGACTTTACGGATCGCTTTCTGGAATTGCTCCATGCTACCACATATGTTAGCACTAATTTGTATGCACAAAGTTTACGAGAGACGTACCGTGGCCTGTAATCCTGAATGTTGTACTTTTGAATTTCCTGGACATGATGATAGCTCTGCGGGAAGTACATTCTTTTCGCGTACTTCCATGCGAAGTCTCTGATCAAGCAAAGCGGCGGTAATACCACAATCATCGCCCAGAAACGCGGGTCCGGGAAAAGTCGGGCAATGACGCCTACGTACTCGTTGGAGATGTTGATCATCGGTGCAACGGTGGCGTAGAGGGGCATGAGTATGAACCAGAGTAGCATAGAGCCAGGGATTGCCAACACAGTGTACTTTGTCCAGATGTTGGTGATGAGCGAGGCTTTGAGAAGGACGGTCGCAAGGTTAGCAGTGTAAGCAGCTGTGCCCCACACCCAATGACCTGCGTTTCGGCCGTCCCACTGCGGCCAGTCCCACAAGACGAAAGCTTGGGTGCCAAAGTAGAGAATGAGGGAGTGATAGAAGCCGTTTCCAACCCATGACCAGAAAGAGTGCATTCTGAAGAACACGCCAGACTGACTCAGGCGATAAAGCTGCGGATAGCGGTCCAGTAGTCTTGCGCTTACGAATTGATCGAAGATGCCGAGCACAAAAGGTGGTGCTGCTGTAAAGAAGACGTTGTACATTGTCAGCGTCCAGGACTCGTATATGATCTGACCAGAGAAGCCGTTCTGGAACGAGTACCAGAATTGTGTCATGAACATGGCAATATTCTTGTAGAAGGAATACAGGATGACCTTGCTGACACGCTGGTAGCTCCATGCGCCGTGGACAAGAAGAAGCTTTCGTAGGTAGCGGAATTGACCGATCGCAATATCTGCGCTACGAGCTGCCTGTAAGCCCTCGACACCACTGATACCGACACCAACATGTGCAGCTTGAATCATAGAGACGTCGTTGGCTCCGTCACCAATAGCAAGCAGGATGGATTTGAGATGACGCTTGACGAGCTTGACGACTAGTGCCTTCTGCAGAGGAGAAACACGACAACAAATGACAGCCTTGCATTTGACTGCAAGATCGAGGAACTCCTTCTCGAGATCACGTTCGAGAGCGTACGTGAGCGACTTGCCGTCAATGACCAGAGCGAGAACATCCATCTCTGCACCACCTTGACTCTGGCTTGTAATGGCTTGGAATTTCTTGCGGATATTATCTCTTGTGTCTTCCTTGTTTTCTTCGTTGATGATGAGTAGACTCATATCCTCGCTGATCAATTTGCAACTCATGCCGATGTTGATGGCAGTTTCTTGGCGATCTCCAGTCAAAACCCAGACCTTGATTCCGGCAGATTGGAGAGTGGCGATAGTGTCAGGTACGCCGTCTTGTAGTTTATCTTCGATAGCGGTTGCTCCAAGTAGAGTCATGTCGTGTTCGATGAGTTCAGCAGCCTTGTCCAGTTCATCTGCGCGGTTGCCACCAACTGTCGTTTGCGCAGTATTGAAGATGGTCCACCATTCTCGAAACTCATCTTCGCCGATTTCTCTCATAGCCAGACAAAGTGTACGGAGTCCTTCGGAAGCATACTCTTCAAGATGCGTGAGCGTTGCCTCTACATGAGGATTGTCCTTTCCGAGTCTCTCCAAAATGACGGTGTCGGCACCCTTTGTGTAGCACACGATCTTGCCTTCGGGTGTGCGGAATATTGTAGACATTCTCTTCCTTGTCGAGTTGAATTCGCAAACGGCCAGGAGTTCGTATTCCAGTTCGCGGCCGTCAACCTCGATGATGACAGCACGCGGCTTTCTTGCAGTGAACTTGTAGCCAAGGGTCACCGCGCCTTCCACCAAAGCTCCCTCGTCGGGAGAGGCGGCCTGATACTTGATGGCAGCCTTCTCGCCCTTTCTTTCCGGAATAACAGTATGACATGTCGCGAGTAATGTCAGGAATTGGTCGATGATGTACTTGTTGTGATGTGTCTTTCGGTTTTGCTCGAGCTGCTTGAAGTCGTGAATTCCAACCTCAACGCCGTCCTCGATTGTCCCGCGCCTGTCTTCGGGTACCTCGTCAGCATACTGTATTCCGGCAATTGTAGACTGCTTGAACTCCATCATGTTGCAGGTGAGAGTACCCGTTTTGTCCGAGAAGATGTATTCAATCTGGCCCAATTCCTCGACCAAAGACGATGTTCGGCATTTCGCGGGTGTGTCGGTTGGTTCGTAATAGATGTCCAGATCAGAGTCGATGAGACTACCGGTGTAGTATTTGACGATTTCAATAGTGACGAAGAGCGAGATGGGAACCAGATTGGAGTATAGCACCCAGTATGTCAGCAAGTCACGGAAGAATTGTTTGGCGCCATTGAACCTGTCGAGGCGGAGATAATCGACGAGACTGTCTCTTTGCGTTGTTTGGATAATGACATCGCCGATGGAGCTGATGATACTCAGTGCAATGAGGATTAGCACGAGCATGAGAATCTGCTTGTTGACCATCCTCTCGACCGCGGTGGTCTTGATGGGTGTAGCGGTCGCGTTTCTCATGAGCTTCGTTTCGTGGCCGGTAAAGACGACGACGCCATGGATCCATGGTGTGTTACGAAGTGTAGCACCTCGCAGCAACAGTTGATCAGGTGCCAGGGGTAGCTCCTTCTCTCCTCCACCTGCTGCGATAGTCAAGGTTGCTTCATATGTATATAGACTGCTGTTGGGTTGTTCTGATCGTATCCTGCCACCTAGTCTCGCCAGCTCGGCTGGACTGACATAGTCTGCCGTTTCCGGAATAGCCTGCTTGATCTTGAGATTGGTCTCTCCGTCCAAGTTGGCTGTTTCGATGTAGCATAGACCCTCGGGCTCGGAGGATGCGAGAAGGACGAGATCGGTGGGGAAGGGCTGCTCGGATTCGACGCGCACGATATCTCCTACTGCCACATTGACCCATTTCGTGTCTGTAAAGGTAGAACCCTTGAGGACCTGGGCTTTTGAGTTGTTCAGCTCCGAGTCGGACTGTTTCCGCCGGTAGTCTTCAATGTACTCCTTGACAGCTGACACCAGGAGGACTATGCCGAGCGGAACGATGGTAGTGAATCGCGACGTGGGGGAGATGCCGGGAATCTGCTGGAGGATGGCAGTGAAGAGGAAGAAGAGGTTGGCGTATTTTGAGAATTGCTCGTAGAGGAACTTGGGGAGGAAGGTGACGATGTTGTACTTGCACGTCGAAATGTGGTTGTCGACGTACTTGTTGACGGCATTGGCGGGTGGGTTGTTCAGGTGTATTATGCGGGGTCCCAATGTCGACGGGTCGGGTGTGCCTCGGCCGAAGCCAAACTTGAAGGTGCCCAGCCCCTTCTTGGGCTTAGCAGAGTGGCCGTCGTCGTGTTGACTTGCTGTCTCGTTGCCGCTCGGCTGGCGTTGGTGTGCTGCGTTCTCGGTCAAGGGCAGGTCCATTTCTGAGTACTCATTGCCCCGGCCAAACATGTTCTTGACCCGGCCAGTCAGGCCACCTCCGAGGCTCAGGATACTATTCCTGTTGTGTGCGTTCTTGGAGTTGCCGCGCTGGAGGCTCGGCGAGGGCTGGTCGTAGGCTCCCCCGGCTGCGTAGTAGCCCTGGGTTGAGGCGTCATCGTCGTGGGGAATGTCGGCATCCGAGTATCGCTGGTAGTTGTGCAGGTCCGACGTTTGCGAATAGGCTCGGCTGTTGTTGTTTGCTCCTCCTAGATAGGGCGTCGTCGCACCTCCTGGTGCGCCAGGCCCTCCCGGCAGGCCTGCTGTCGTCGACCTGGCACCGCCAACAAAGTCATCATACGAGACCGAGGGCCGGCCCTCGTCATGGGCGGCGGGCCGTGGTGGTGCGCCTGCATTGTGTGTGGGTTGATGGTCGTCAAAGTCAATCAGGTTCTCGCTGTGAGACGGTCCACCCGGTGGCCGGCTGGCCATAGCGGCCGAAAGTGCTCAGCGAGCGTCCTTCTCCTCGCAGCGCGTCTGCTCTACTGCTTCATGTGGATGTGGTCGAAGCCGCCAGTTTTGGACAATCCGGATTCGTAGTGTTGCGGGCAGCCACGGATCTCTGCTCTCACTCTTGCCAGAAGGAATCCGCTGAGCTTGGTCTTGGCCGGCGTTTCGAGTCGTGCGTTTCGCCAGTGTGCGAGCTGCGCGCGCCTTTGTCGTGATGGCCTCTGTATTGTAGCGGAAAGAAAGTCTAGGCTGCTAAGTCGTCTCCTGGGCTGCAAACTGCAAACTGTCACGGGCTGGCTTGCAAGGGCTGGCTGACTGTCTGTCGTTGAAAGATGTGCGCACGGACCTAGATGCTGAGGCAGTGCCTACTACGACCCTAGGCAACCTGCTGCAGCCGCGCCCCTGGTGTCTCGTTGTACTGACGAATTATAATCCCTCGCCGCCTGACATGTGGCTCATAATTGAAAGCTTCTGCTTGCTGAACCGACGCCAACATCTGCACACTACCACAACCCGCACTCCCACGCCCATTACGCGGCGCCACGCTGTGGGGAGGGCTGTGGTGGAGACACTGGCTGCGCACGCCAAGTCTAGTTACAGTATGAGTTGACGTGCTTGAGATGCGAGCTCATCCCAATTTCCCTGGTACTGGCATTACAAAGCCTGCTTGGTAGGGGGAACATGAATGTGACATTCGCGTCTCCAAACATGTCTTCCTCTCAAACGCTATCTTGCGACCCATCGCATGTTGATCTCGCGTTGCTGCTCGTCTCTATATTAATGAGGCTGTGGCCGCGTACGTATGTAACAAAGCTGTTCTAGCGGGCGAGTGATGCTTAAAATAGCACTCCGTGATGCGTCCATAGCTCGTACCATGTATTGTCCGAGGCTTCCAGCTGCAAGGCATCCAACTACCAAGTGTCATGTTCCATGATGGTTCATCTTCCACCACGTCCCCGCAGTGCTAGTGCGCTGCAAAACTTCTCTCGCCCCCACCCAGCACCAACCCCCACTGACACATCTAAACCTATTCCGACTCCACACAAATCTACATTATATTCAAACTTATTTAACAAACCTCTATCAGTCAAAAAACAATGCCCGGCTAGCTCAATCGGTAGAGCGTGAGACTCTTAGTCATCACGTCCTAGCAGACACGATTATTCAGTACATCTCAAGGTTGTGGGTATGTCTTCTCTCTCATACTTCTTATATATTATCTCAGGACATCCCGCTAACCCTTAATAGGTTCGACCCCCACGTCGGGCTATGCTTTCTTTTTCTTTTTGGTCTGCGCAAATATTCTATTGGTGTGTGCACATGACCTGTCTCTCGTTAACAGGCTCACCTAGGTAGTTATCATAAAATACTTTACAGTGTGGGTAAGCGCCTAATAGGCGTGTCTGGCGACTACACTGGCCTTTTTTTCACTAGTATGTTTAGTATTTTATGACACCCGGGTGGGCTGTACACAGTAACTTTTTTTTCAACGTAATTAGTAGCTACGAAGACTTTATTTCGTAAAGATAGAAAGGCTATGTTATTGAATTCTGTGCATTGCCCTAGGCTGTGTCATATCCGACGTCGTAGATACCTCGATCTTTTACGCAAATTACAATCGCAAATGTTACAATCAATAGTCTGGTCTAAGGAAATCATCTGATACGCGTATGATGTAATGACATAGCGAGCGTTGCCTTCTGGAAATAGCTTTACTACTTTGCAACACATACCCCGGGTAGTGTTAGAAAGGCTGAATCACACACACTATTGTATCCTGTGTCTAGCACTGGAGTACCTCGCTATGTACTTATTATTACCTTGTTACTATCTTGTTGTGATCACATCTAACACTACCCAGGTACTGCGAGTACACTTCGATGTCCTGGTCATCATCTATGAACCTAAACACACTAATACATATGTGAATGATAAGTTTTAGCTATATTTTAGCAACTTCTTGTTCATCATCACTAGGGTCCATGTCATGATTGCAAAGAATTTGCGCGAGGTGTCATCCTCGAAATTACAAAATAACATTTCTGCAAGTAGATACTTTGATAATAATCAGAAAGCTCACTTGTTCAATCTAGCCGCCCTCTCAGGATCATTCCACCAAGCACACTGTTCCAACCTAATCGCTGTACCCTCCTTTTCCATCTTCACGCCTCCCTTCATCGGAGGGTTAACTACCAGCTCGTCTGTTCCAGCACCCTCATACCTCTCCCACTCAGAGGTGCTGCCTAAGCGATGCGTGTTTGGGTTGCCTGTAACAATAAAGCTCGCCCAGTAAGCAGGGTAGACCTCGGAGATTTCCGGGAACTGTGTATTGGGCAAGCCTTGGAAATATGATGAATCGCTGGCATGAGGCACACCTTGGTATGTTGGAGTAAAGTTTGGAGTGTCGAAGCGCGCTTTGTAAACGGGCGCTGAAGTCTTGGAAAAGTCAATGGCAGTGAGCTGCACGGGGCAGATGTATGCATAGTCCCCGTACGATTCTGCCAACCGCTGGTATTGGCCGGAGACGTAGCTCATGGTACCAGCCTCTGGCTTTTCCTCGGGATATAAGGCTTGGAGGTCAACGAGATCTTGAGCTGAGAGGCCTGGGACGAGCGTCTTCCAGTAGTTGACGAATTCTTCGTTTGTTTGCAGATCTTGCGGTACAAAGCCGTATCCCTCATCCGTGACGGAGGAGATTAGGAGGGGAATCTTGAAGAATGTGCCATCCGCGCCTGATGTGGACCCACGCTTCTCGAAGAGAGGACCCGGGGACACGGGCTGCCAAGGCCAAGTGAGGTTGCGGTTATGTGCGCTGAACACTGAAGAGGAGATGAACTGAATGTCGTGGGCTTCGGCACCTTGGAGACATTCAAGAGCCGCAGAGCTGGGCGTTTCGGGACAATTCAGATAGTTCATGAAATCTGCGACTTGGCGTTGGTAGAGCGGAAAGTCAACGCCGGGGAAGGCACGTGCGGTTGGTGAGCCAGAGGATATAATTGCCTTGCTAAACAAGGAATTGCCAGCATCAGAACCATAGTCATGGTAAAGGTGAATGCCGACCGCGTGGCCACCTGCACTCTGCCCACCGAGTGTGATCTGGTCTTTGTCGCCTCCAAACTCGTCGATGTACTTTTGCAAGAACTCCAAAGCCATTCTCTGATCCCTGATCCCAAGGTTCAAAAGATCGTCTTCTTCCATGAACTTTCCGGGCAAACTGCCCAATGCACCTAGTCGGTACTGGACAGTGATTACCATAAGAGGTTCCGCACTCTTCTCAACAAATAGTGCGCCATCAAAACTCTTGTGGGAGCCTGACACGAAAGCTCCACCATGCAGGTAGACAAAGGACGGGAGCTTGGTGTCCATGGGAATATGTGAAGGTCGGTAAATGTTGAGAGTAAGACAAGCTTCCGACTGGCCAAGCGAACTGTACATGTCCTGAAAACATGCTGGGCCTATGCTGGTCGCGTCCTTTGTGCCGTCAAATGCCGCTGGCCATGTTACTGGCTTGAACCTCCCCTCCCCAACAGGCTGTGTAGAATATTCAACATTCAACCATGCATCCACGGCGCTGCTGAACTCAACCGTCTTCTTCAAGTTGGTCATCAACTTGGTGCCTTGGAACGTTCCATATTCCGGGAGGCTGATGAGCAAATCCTGATCTGGTGTCTCATAAGTTGGCGGACTGGGCGATTGTGGCGTGGTCGGTCTCGCATAAGCAAAAGCACCATAGTACCAAAACAGTAACACGGTGCTGCCGGAGAAAATCATGATGATGGCTATCCGTCGTTTGAGCCATCGTGAGGAAAACCGGGTTGCTTTCATACCGTCGACGTTCCGGAGTTTTACCGGGGGCGAGGCAGGGAGTCGGTCCGCCATGTGAACCAAACCGCGCTACTCGTCCTAGAAAGCGGAGGGTGCGGGGACACAAAGCGCTGTACGGATAATGAGGTCACGCGCTTGCTCTGGTTTGCACTAGTGTAGCGTGGTCGGTGGTACGCGATAGGCATACTCGTGGTGTTGACGGCCGCGGCGCTGCACGTGGATGGCGAATAAGTCAGTGCCGAGCGCCGTCAGGTCGGTCATCGACTCCGGCCAAGCAAATGTGGGGTAAAGTGCAGGGGTGTGGAGAGCCTCGTCGCGAACCTTTGCTAGGTACACAAGCCGGAAGCATGCTCCAGTAGAAACCAACTGGATTCTGCCTTTGGCAAACTGCGCTAACGTCGTCGTTCGATAGCTCTTTACCATAATCTGGCAGATTATCAGCAGTATTGCTTTTGCGCTAGAAAGCATATTAGAGACTACCAAACTACCCAAGTACTTGGGCAGCGACTACAAGCAGACGGACCTACACGTGCAGACATAAGAGGCGACTCGCATCGATGGCGGTTAAATGCACCATTGCAGTTAGGTTTACCCCACACGACTAGGCTGTGTACCCTAAATCAGAAGGTTATCCCCGGGCGGTTGCTTTTCTAGCACCGATACCGGTAAGTGGAGGACAGGGCCAGAACACCATGATGGAAAATTTGTAAAGCAATTTGGGTTTAGATGTACAGGGGAGTTGACTAATTTGGCTAGCTATCTTTCTTTCTAGCCTTCCAAGGTTGCAATGCATGGGATGCATAACCATGTAGTATCGTCGCCCGCACCGTTACTCTGCATTTATCTTTACTTGCTCAGCTCAGCAAACTCCTTCTCGACCGCGTCAGCCATGTCAGCAAGAGTGTCAAACTTCCAGTTATACACCGGGTCGTCTCTGTTTCCCATGACCGCACCCGGTCGATAGATCCAGCTGCTCTTGATCCCCATATCCTTTGCCGGATGATGATCATGATATTGACTTTGTGCAGTCTGTAGTACTTCATGTTTTTCGACCCCAAAGTCCTCCTTGACATGCTTGAGCATATATTCAAAGTTCCTGAGATCAGGCTTGTAGGACCCAATGTTTTGAGCGGTGTATACAGCGTCAAACTTGTAGCCCTTCAGTCCATTCGCATTGCCGATCTGAAATGAGTCGTTGTCGACATTCGATAAAACAACTAGCTTGTAATGCTGGGACAAACGCTGAAGTGCTTCGGGGATATCGGGAAATCCAGGCCAGTGCCCTATACTTGCTCCGAATTGGTTGCATTCGTCTTCGCTTGGTTTCTCCAACCCCAACGCTTCGCATAGCTCGGGGAGTACCATAGCCAAGACCTCGGAGTATTTGAGATTTCCGTGTTCCCTTTCCACACGCGCTTCGATCTTGTGCATGACTTGCATGATATGCTTGCGCTCCATATCTTCTTTCCCGGATTTCTTGAGCATGGGCTGCAACGCTGTCAGGGCACCAGCTTCCCAGTCAATCAGAGTGCCGTAGACGTCAAAGGACAGGAGTTTGAAGTCTGTGAGCTTGGACATGTTGGACTGTCGGAGGTTCGGTATGCCGATTGAAGCGCGAATGAGTTTCCAGAGGTTTGGTATGCAGATGTCAAGAGGTAAAAAGTAAACAGTTCAAAGTTTTCAAAGTTGAAGTAGATGGGAAAGTTGTTTCGGTGGACGCGCTGATAGCGACTTATACTGTGCAATGACTCCACAAATATCGCTGTCCAAGGGCCTCATGGCACCCCCGCTTGGTCATGACGTTAGCGGGGTAGGCACTCTGGAAAACTAAAACACGCCCTACAAACTACACACCTCCACGTTAGCTGTCCACGTATGTACATTTGGAGAAAACGCGCCCTAGGAATGACAAGCCGGATAAGCATGATAATGAAACGGCCTATAGACGGCTGGGTCAGGGTTTAGATAGACGCTGCATGCGCTTTGTGGATTTGGAGATGTTGAGCTGGGAGGAGAGTGGACAAAAACACCGTCAATCAATTAGGCAACTGAATTGCGGATTCGTGAGTGACGAAAGAACACTACTATTCCTGACCCGGACACACCGATAACGTGTCCGTGCACCTCATGCCCGGATTCATCTCATGCCCCGCCGAACACCGACGCGTGTCTCAATACTACAACTTTGACGCGCAATAACTCCACAACTATGGCTCCGATTGATGAAGCGATTGCAGATTTAGAATCGCGCGATTCAGGAGAGAAATTCACATTAAAAGAAGTTGCTGAAAAATAGGGGGTTAACCGCTCAACGCTAGGGCGAAGATGGAGGCGCGTGACAGGGCCTAGGAGCGATGGATACGCTCAGCAGCAAGCTATTAGCCCACAACAAGAGTTAGAGCTTGTACGATATATCACTAAGCTCACTAAGTAAGGCCTACCTCCTACAAGCGAGATGATCAGGAATTTTTTATTAGAAGTAGCCTATCAGCAGCTCAGCGAGAGCTAGGTTACTCGCTTTATTAACCAACACGAGATCTATCTTATCTCGAAGTGGACCACCGCCATAGATTGTACGCGCCACCTAGCTAATTCTAAGTCAAAGTATAGACTCTACTTCGAGCTGCTGCACTAGAAGATCACTAAATATCACTTTAAGGCTCGAGATATATACAATATAGATAAGAAGGGCTTCTTAATTAGCTTAATAGGCAGAAGTAAGAGGATATTTAGCAGGCGTTAATAGAAGAAGAAGGAGGTTTAAGCATCTCTCTAGGATAGATCACGCGAGTTTCTAACAGTCCTAGCCTGCTGCTGCGCTAATAGGAGCTCGCTACCTCTAGCCCTTATCTACGCAGCTAAAAATAGAGCTATACGATTAAGTTAAGTAGAGGATATTAAAGTAGGAGAATATAAAGTCTTTGTCTTATTATCTCTAATAGGCTAGTTAAATAATAACGTAGGCCTAGCTTAGCTAGAGCAGGTGTTTAATCGCTATACAAAGCAGTAATTAGGGAGATAGCAATTACTTATCCTTGTGATGGATCAAACCTACGATCCCTCACGCGATCACGTGCCATACAATCACGTGCCACGCTGGCAGTTGGCCCGTGCGAGGAATAATAAAGTTCCCCTCGTACTTGTATATAGATCTGTACACACAATCTCACTTATTAGAGGCATCCTAACTATTGCAGTGTACTAGTGCCTTTACATCCTTAATAGCTATAGATCTTATGTTACGATAGAGTTTATCGACTACTGTGATTGCTATAAGATTCTCCTTATAATTCTCCCCCCCTATTTAACTTACACGCTCTAGCTGCTTAATGTAGTGCTATTTAAGCTACTCTCTTATGTGAGGGATCGATCAAGAAAGATTGGATTTGACAAGATACAAGCTATCGAGCTATCGAGCTATCTACGTTGTGAGCCCGAACTTATGCTGTGGGCGCCAAGGCGCTAGTCCGATAAGATAAGGATCTTATCGATATGGGGGCCATGGGCCGAGCGAGTCTATGGATCCGTAACATCTTAAGCCTACTCTAACGAGCTTACTAACTATCTCTATAAGGCTTAAGGCCTTATTCTAATTAAGAAAGAAGACTTCTTCCTACTCTTCCAGAGCGCCTAGATATCCTCCTTTATAGAGAGCTGTTGGTTGGCTTTGCACTAAGTGCGTAAAGGGAAATAACGATAACTAGGAATGCATTCTGTTCGGTGGTTCTAATTGATATCTACGAACATAGGTGCTACGAAGGTATACCTAAGCTCTTGCGCAAGGTGGGCCGAAGTCGGGCCGAAGTGTCCAGCAGCCGACGTCTCTACCGATACTCACGATCCGACACTGGAAGTCTTTTCTTTCTGGATAGCTAGTAACTCTGCTTGTATCGGTAGTGACAGTGTATAGCATTAAACATCAAAGCTTGTTGGCCTCTGCACCCATCCATCTACTCGGACTGTCAGCTTATTGCCGTCAATAAAGCGTTCAAGAGCGCGGTTTGGCGATGCCTTCGTGAAGGCGTCTGCAGGATTGTCTTCGCCATTGATCCAGCGGATCTCCGTGATCTCGCGACGCTCATATGATTGGCGCAGCGCCATAATATCGATCATGAGCGCTTCTCTTCGTTGTCCCAAGCTTTACTAGGCACTCGTACAAGAGTACGAGTCTGTACAG